GCTCGTCCGGCTCCAGCCCGTCCAAACACTCGACGGCCACGTCCCGCGGCAGCTGGTCCTCGCCGAGGCCGCGCACCGCCCGGTACAGGTCCGGCCCGTCGAGGACCGCCGAGAAGTCGGCGCCCAGCGAGACGCCCAGCGCCAGGGCGGCCGCCGCAAACGCGACGCCAAAGGCCGACCCTTGCTCGTAGCTCATGCGCGCCGGGAGCCGCACCACCGTGTGCTCCCGCGCCACGACGAACTGCTGGTACGCCGCCTTGCGCGGGTCGCGGTAGTCGGTGGAGATGACGGCCACCTGTCGTGCGTGCAGTGTGTCAGCGACGAAAAAGAAGCAATTGTAAGAACCTGTCGTCAACCGTCACGTACTCTGTCGCCGACCTTCCACCTGGTGTTGCCGGGCGATACCTGCGCCACCTCGCCCGCCAGCTCGCGGCCCGCGATGCACGGCAGCGGCGGCAGCCCAAAGCCAAAGTCCCTGCCAGCACGGTCAGACACATTAATGTCCCGTCTTGGGATGCACACGTTTAGACGCACGGTGCCTTCCAGTCAATCGGGTTCAGGCCAATGGCCCTGTTCCTCACCAGCACCTCCGACTCGTGCGCCAGCCGCGGGACGGGATACTCGTCCACGAGGTCGTACCTCTGCCGCGGCGCGCGCAGGAGCAGCACCGTCTGCGAGGGGGGCGTCTCGTCTGGGACTTGAGAGTTGCCCATTGTTGTGCGAATCCCGGGGGCAAAAGTGATATTTTGAGGTTGGAAAAGGAGCGCACGCGGCAGGTGCTTCCCTCGCGTCGGGTGTTTGCTGGTAGATTTGCATCCTGCCACGGGCCGGTAATGCAGGCTCGCCGAAAACCGGCCGCGACAAGGCGAATTGTAACTTGTGTGTTTGCAAGACGACATGGACGAGACGATGGCGCAATTCTGGCATCTGGCGAGGCCATCGCGCATCGGGACCCACTGCCCCCGTTGCGTGTGGCCTCGTTCACGGGGAACCCTGGCAGGCACAAAGGCTATCTGCGAGGACGACCTTGATTCGTCGTGCGCGTCGTCGTGGTAGATCCTGCGAGCACGTCATGGCCCTGGCCGATATGAACGTGGCGGCTTGCTGCCGGCGCGTTTGGGGGCCTCTGTTGGCAGGTGGGAGGAGCAGGCACCGTGGGTTTTGTACAGTAGTCGCTACAACTACTGGTGTTTGGTTGTTTGGAACATAACAAGTCAAGTGTATTTAATATTGGCGGGGCTTTTGTCGCGCAATACTGAAAGCTTGCATGTGGCAACGCTGCTGTGTTTTAAACAGAAAAGAGGAGAATGGGCACACTTGTAAGCTTGATATCAGAGGGCTACTTTCTGCATATTTTTGTTGTTTCTTTTTGCTCCGTGGCCCAACAGTCAAATCGACATATTTGCAACAGGTTCCCGTCGCTGAAATGCCGGTGGCTGTTGATAGGAGGAAGATGCCTCGAAAGAGCGTTGTGAGCATGATGGCGCTGAAATAGCCAGAGTGTAAATAGAGTATTCGTGCCTCCGTTGATGACATCATTGAACCAGCTGGCCCTGTCTCCTGTCGCCATGTACCATTTACAGACGCAATTTCCAGTCCTAGCACTCCCGTTTTCCCACGTTGAATTTCAGCGCTTCGTCCCAACGCCGCCAGCTTGGATCGAGTCAAACGCAGCATGTTCCTGGATGAATGTCATCTAGAGACAGATCCGACAGAATACTCAAGCTGGTAGTATTCATTGCAAGTTCCGTGAATCTGTCAGGTCTTCGTCTGTTCTTCTGACCCGGGACTTGTAGTCGGGTGCTCACTTTGGGATAACTCCGTGCGTCGCCTTGCCGGCCCCGTCTCCTCGGGCCTTTCGTTTTTCAGGTGCAGCGTCTCTCTTTTCCATCTCCCCGTGTAGCCTGCGTGCCTACCGTTATAATTAGGGTCGGAAATATTTGCCCATAGACGTTATACTTAAGACAACGGAGGATCGCTGTATTGCAATAAGACGCCCGAGGTAGATTATTGGAGTGTTTATGCCTCACTATACATGACAGGCAAGAAGACGACATTTCTACAGCTTTTGACAGCAATTCAATCTGTCTTGTTTCACTCTCTTCTACCTATAATGCTACTTTTTGACGAGACTTGCCGCCGCACATCTGATTTGAATATCTGGCCTGGCGAGGTCAGCCACTCTCTGATTATCCATGCGAAAATACGACAGCTTTCAGCCGTAGTAGTCATAAAAAAGCCAGTGGACAAGCATGATATCTATTCGCGCGGGTCGGGAATAACCGTAGCCAAGGATGTGACAAGGGTTCAATATGAAGGCTTGGAGCAAAAGGGGCTCAATTTAATAATAATCTCGTAGGATATCAAAGGTCCTGAGTTACTACGGGAAAGGAAAGGAAATATGACCGCCTTATATACATGAAAGGAACGCCCGGGTCTAGGGTCCTTGCCCGGGCATGTGTTCCAACTGTGTAACCAACAAGTCCTGTATCGGCGAAGCCCCTTTGTTGGGCTTCACGATCTGTTGCGCCTTTTCCGTGTAACAGAGGAACCATTCCCGATGAGATGGCTCAGCAACTCCGTGGCACTGTGTCTCGCTTCAGCAGTGCAGACTCATGGCGTGCTCTTTGGCCCCCCTGAATGACAAACCCGGGGGTTCATTGTGAGTCTGGCAGAAGCGCCGTGCTGTGAGGATATTCAGGTAGGCAAAGCGGAATACTTGGTGGCCGACGTGGCGTAAATCAGCGCGTTGGCAAGTGACCGGCGTTAGCTTTAGTTTCCCGCTTTACCTCGCACGGTAATATAATGTACATGTATAAGGTAATTTTTAACTATTGAATTGATAAAAGACAAGTAACTTGCGTTACTCATGTAGCATCGTAAACCTCATAAAACCCGCACATATAGTAGCATCAAATCAAACAACAATAACAGCTCGCATACTTAAGTACGTATAAAGCCCGCTAAATTACACAGACGCTACCATGTTCGCCCTCCTCTCTTCGCCTACCCCACGTGAACATCCGTTAGCATCACGGTCCTGTATCGTGCTTGGTTTGGCTATTCATCTCACAGAAACAAGTCAAGTACGACATGCCACCCATATAACGAGCCACTTGCATAAAACCAAATGCAGCGTTGTCACTATTAGAATTACGGATATGAGTAAATCTATTCGCTTCGCCCAAAATACCCAATGATAATTTCCCACACGGCTTCCAAGTACGCACACGGCCTATTATATGAAATAATAAAATTAAACAAAATAGTATAGGACCAAAAAAGGGAAAAAAGCACGCCACGTCACCAAGGACGGTACTTGGGCCACTCAATAGCAGCCACGTCCTCGTAGCACTCGGTCTCGTAGGCAAACTCATGACTGAACAGCGACCCCTCCGGCAAGTCGTCCAGCTCGGCGCACTGGGCAAACAGGCGGACGGGCACGCAGTTGCCAGGGATGGCCTCGGGCCCCCGGAGCCCCAGGGCGAACTGCTTGACGAGCAGGAACGGCCGGCCGGCGTAGTAGGGGACGGTCTCGTTGCAGACGGCATACGTCTCGGGGTACATGAAGGTGTAGGGGACGGACCAGCGCGTCAGGCCGACGCCCCTTGCGCCGGGGCCGGCGTCGAGGCGGGCGGTGCTCGCCGTGTCGGAGCCCTGGTCCCGGGCGAGGCGGAGGCCCCATGGCGTCGGGGGCGTGCCGGCGTCCGAGAGGACGGTCGAGTTGGCAAAGTGGAACTCGAGCGCCGTGCCGTTGATGTAAAAGGTGCGCGGGTGGTCGGTCTTGCTGCCGACGCCGAGCAGGGACAGCCCGGCGCCGACGTGGATGCCGTTGATGTACGTTTGGTGGATTGATGGCGAGAAGTCGCGCGACAGGTCGGTGACGTTGACGACGAGCTGGAAGCCTTGTGATTTGGACGTGGGGGGCGTGGCTGTGGGCATGTCGCGGGAGCCGATGATGGGCGAGGCAGCTGCCAGGCTGGCGAGGCTGACGATGGCGGATAAGTACATGGTGAGGTGGTGGTGAGAGTGGTGGCGAGAGTGGTGGTAATGACACTAATAAGAAGCGGCGACGAGAAGCGGCAATAAAAAGTGACGGTGAGAAGTGATGATGAGAACCGGCGATGAGAAGCGCAATCACAGCGGTGCCGCAATAGTCTCAAACAACCCAGATGCTCAAGTGTGCAAGATATACGCCACCCAGCTCGAGGACGACGACGACAAACGCTTCTTATAAGTTACATCCGCCCGCCCGCCTCAGCAATATGCACCTACCAGCCAGTGACACGAATAGGCGAGGCACAGGCGCACGAGGCATCAGCTGGCTATGACGACACGCCGTCTCCGCCCAACGCCAAAAGCCAGGCAGCCCGCACGGGACGAATGGCCGAATGCAACGCCGTGCCGACAATTGAGAGATGGGCGCCGCCTTGCAAGACGACCCGGACAGAAGGTGGCCTATGCGGATGTATGTGCACGGGGCGCAGTGACGGAAATAGAGGCGGGAAGAAAGAAGAAACAAAATCTTGGGATGGAACTGCCATTATATTGACGCTACGGAGTAGCCATGGCCACAATGCGGCGCCAACTGGGCATCGGATCCCAACCACCAGGCACGGCTTCGCGGAGATCACGACTATGCATTCCACGGACGGGTGCGCGGGTCGTGGCCATTTGTTCCGACAAGGTCAAGATCGACGGCCTGTTTGCCCCAGCCACAGCGCCGGGCCAACCCAAGTCGAGTCACATATGGGACAAACAAAGAAATCCCGGCTTGCTACCGTAAATCACAAGACTCTCCGGGTCCAAAGAGCTGGCCAGTGCGCCCGTACTCGATCCAACGGCGGAGGCGGAATGACTAATTCTTCTTTGTAACTGATAACTACCTAGGGAGGCATCTACACAGTACAATAGGGGACGCAAGTAGGTTCATGTATGTATTTGGTACAACGTCTGCAATCCATCTCCGCATCCCAACCGACTGAAACTATGGCATGGCAGGGCAGTGGTGCAGCCAAGTGTCGCCACGGTGAGACATCAGCCTGCGTCGCGACAAAAAGAAGATGCTTTCCCTGCCGGTTCCTCACAGCCGCGCCTGGGTCCCAGCAACTTCATCCGCCATCGCCCGCCCAGCCGCGCGACCAGAAAAGATGCATCCTCCCAAAAAGGTGCCCTCGAGAGAATTGTAGCCGTGCACACCACCGCCACCGAAGCCAGCCACCTCGCCGGCAGCATACAGACCAGGAAGGGGAGTCCCGTCCGCGCGCATCACGTTGCTCTGCAAATTGGTCTCAATGCCCCCCAGAGTCTTGCGCGTCAGCAAATTCAGGCGCACGGCAATGAGCGGCCCCTTGGACTTGTCCAGGAGTTTGTGCGGCTTTGCCACTCGCGAAGCCTTGTCGGGCCAGTACGACCGGCCATTGTTGATCAACATGGCTTGAGCGTCCTTGGAGTATGCGTTGTTGAACTGCAAGTCTCTCGTCTCAATGACATTTTTGATCTTGTCCAGTTCCAGCGGCGGGCCATTTCGTTCTGCAGCAAGCTTGTTCATGCCATCGACCAAGTCGTCAAGAGTATCCTTGACAATAAAGTCCTTGCCGTGCTTCATGAAATTTTGTACGGGGACCGGCCCTTTGCCGCCAAAGATTCGGCCGATAAGCTTCCAGACACTCTTGCCGGTGATGTCTGGATTCTGTTCAGAGCCCGAGAGGCCAAATTCTTTGGCAATGATGGTCTGGTTGAGGATGAACCATGTGTAATCGTGGCCCGTGTGGCAGATGTGCTTCAGCGTGCCGAGCGTGTCTGATCCGGGGAACAAGTAAGGCGGCAGCCTGTTGCCGGCAGCATCTAGCCACAGAGACGAGGGAGCGGGAAGAATACGGATTCCGTGATCCGGCCAGATGGGGTTCCAGTTTTGCAGCCCCTCGGTGTAGTGCCACATTCGATCGCGATTGATAAGATGCGCCCCGGCCTTTTCTGAGATGCCTACCATGCGCCCATCGACATGAGCAGGCACCCCAACCACAAAGTGCTCAGGCACCTTGGGACCAAGCCGGTCCAGCGGCCACGATGCCTTCACGGCCTCGACATTGCCGCCAATGCCACCGGACGACACCAGAACGGCGGCGCCTCGAAGCTCAAAGGTGTCGACCTCTTTGCGCGACGACTTGACGCCCCGCGCAGCGTCGTCCTCTTCCAGCACGCGGCCCTTGACGCCAATGGCTCGGCCCGTCTTTTCATCGACAACGATCTCGTCCACTGCGTGACGGTGCTTGAACTGCACAATGCCCTTCTTGGCGGCGCTCAAAACGGGTTCCTTGAAGATTCGAACAACCTCGGGGCCGGTGCCCCACGTAAGATGGAACCTCGGCACGGAATTGCCATGGCCGCCAGCCCTTCCATCGCCTCTCTCGGCCCAGCCAACATTGAACATGAAGCCCAGGCCGAGGCCCTTGACGTAGTCCTCCATTTCATCTGTAGCGAAATCCACAAATGCCTTTGCCCACTGCCGTGGCCAGTGGTCCTCGTGCTCGCGGTCAAACTGCGCTGAATTGAGCCAGTCGTGCATGGCCAGTTCTCGCGAGTCTTTGATGCCAACGCGGCGCTGTTCGGTAGAGTTGACAACGAAAAGGCCGCCGAGGGACCAGAAGGCTTGACCACCAATATTGTTGGCATTTTCCTGATCAACAATAATGGTTGGGACTTTGCGCTTGGACAACTCATAGGCTGCGACGAGGCCAGCCAGGCCATGGCCGACAATGATGACTGGTTTCTTCTCGTCTGCCATGGTGTATGTGGTAAGTTGATGGATGGGGGATGGTACGTGATGCGTCGGTGCGGATGTAGGAGTTGAGATTCAACTGACGGCAAGACGAGGTTGCAATCTAAAGAGGGATCGAGATGGAACTCCAGCCCGCCAGAGTCCGGGGTTGACAAGGACTAGGATGATTGTGATGAGGAACTGGGTTAGGTGAACGGATTACGGGTGTTGATATGGAGAAAAACTCCGGTAGTATTCATGTACGTCGACTGGTAAACGGGGATGAAGGGTCAATGGATGTGACCGGCTGCGTTTCTGGTGGGGCAAGTGACGCCGTCGCCACTCGAAAGTCGGAGTCAAGGCGCGACACGAGACTTGACATTGGATGGGCTGCTCTGACCCCGAATCAGGCTGCTATTGATGAGCATCGGTCCATTTTCCGAGTCGATTGACGTCTGGTATCACTCAGTGCCATGCAAGCTTGGAACAATGACATTGTGGCTGCCCGTCGGCCCGTGTCTCGCAGAAGGAGCCAGTGACTCGGGTGCACATGCGTTTTGTAGGTTCGTACATGTAGGTGGTCACTGGACGGCCATCATGCCACTCCAAAAGTTGCAAGTGGTGCCACCCAACTGTCGAGGTTGGACTGTCCTGAAATCGTGCATTTGAGGGACAGTCAAGTCGGGGCATCACTTGACCTCACATGCAAAGTTTGACGTGCAAACCAGAGCCAACTGCACATGCTCATTCAACAGGGTAGGCGGGCAGAAATGCAGTCTGGTGCCTTCGAACGCGCCTTCCCGATGTCACCTCGTCAATCCCTCATCATGGTCACAACTCCAACCTTTACTCAATACAAACATGCAACCATGGCATAGATTCATCAAAATTCGCAGTCGAGAGTTAAAATGCGCTTTTTAAGACTATTTATGTGCTCGTCACGTACAATGAGGCGATGCGTACCAGTTGCACACTTGACCATTTGCTGCTCTTGACTCTTGACTCTCGAATCCTTTCCGCTACTCCGACCCTCAGTGTTTTCAGAGTTTCGACACCACAAAATCGGCAGACGACTCCGCATCCGCAGCATATGTGATATGCTGCGGTGTGATGAAAACACCTCCGTCGCAGATATCGTCGCCCTCGTGGCAAACAATGCTTACCCTGCTTGCGTCAATGCCTCGCACCGGCTCCTTGGACATTGGGTCTCCGAAAATGACGACGGCCTTGACTTTGGACATGGACTTGGCGTCGAGATTTTTGGCCGCATTGTGGACAGCATAGCCTCCTTGAGAATATCCGCTCAATACGAACTGTGTCTTGGGACATTCGGCGATGGTGTTGGTGATGAATTTAGCCCTGGTGAGTTGTGTCAGCACAACGAGCACATGTTTGTTGCCCGAGCGACCAGTCAGCCAGGGTGAACTTACATGGTCACTCCAGCAGCTGGGTCTGCCCTGAGATACCCGTCAACCGTTGCTGGATACTCAACGCCCTGAATGGCGACCGACTTGGAGGACCCGATGGCCGCCTCGAGAGCCCGAAAAAAGGGCGGCCCAACGAGAGCACCAACGTTACCGGGATCACAGGTGCCTCGTGCGAAGACGACCGTGACGTCGGCACATCCCCTACGGTTGGCATTTATTTTGAGGCCAAACCCCGCTGCCAAAGCAGTTTCACCAATGCCCAAAGCCGTACAGATGCCATTGACGGGAACATTGACGGGAAATATTTCCACAATGGCGGCTAGAAATGCATTCAGGTTCAAGTCCCGTTTTTCGATGGCCGTATATTCCACATCCGACACCGGAGCACCCGCGACGAAGCTAGAGGCTAGGCCAACAAGAACTGCCTTTGAGAAGTGCATAGTGTCGATATCAATCAAGTATGCAGGAACACGGGGGACGGAGAGAGAAAAGGAGAATGCCGCAGAAAGCAAGCTCGGATGTAGTGTCGCTTGAAGGGGGGGCAACCTGTCTGATATCTCCAAACATACACACCATGAAGCTGAGGATGTTGTCGCCCTCTTATACTGCTCTTCGTTGCATGTTCCCAGTACCATGCAGCATATGACTCCTTTACCGCCAGGAGAAAGTCGGGCTCAACTATCCCGGATCGGAATGTAGAACAGATTGGAAGCCTTCTTGATAGGCCAAATAGCTTTCCACGATTGGATGATCTCCCGGCGCTATTTCTCATGTCCTGCACCTGTGTGTCTCAATCGCGCGGCGCAATGCGCGCACCTTGTTCAGTGTGCCACACGATGCGCCCTAGAATCCGTCAAGCAGGCTGAGCTGTCTATTACACATGCCGACGCCATAAGTCTTTACCCGGAGCAGGCGCCTCCGCAGAGTCGGCTGAAGGCTGAACCCATCGCAAGATGATGTGGAAGTACATCAGGGCCAGGTCTTTGGCCCATCCGACACTCCGGTTTTACGCTTCCCGAGCTCAACTCACCAGACTGCCGCAGCTCAAATGCTTACGAGCTGTTTTGTTAGCGCTGGAAGATCAGCAGCAAAGAAACATTGAACGTTGACAGCACTTGACCCTGCTGTGCTCCCCGCATTTCCAACCCTTGCGCTACCCCAGATCCTGCTAGGCTTCATTCGGCGCGGATCAAGCCATAACAGGCACCACGTCCGATTGCACAACGTAATGTTGGGGACACTGCCTGCTGACCATAACCCATCACCTACCATTCAGAGCCAGGGTAAGGTTACAGGACCTCGGCATGCAAACAGGGATCATGCAGCTGCACATGACTTTCCTTTCCGTCCTTTTTGCCAGAAAAGCAGGCGCCAGGAAGTTGGATCAAGACTTCAATCCGTAATGTGTGTCAAAGTCAGCGGGATAACTCCTGACCCGCAGCCACCAGGCTTGGCGGCGCAAGTATACCGTACCCTAGCTTCCTACTTTGGAAAGAATGAACGCATTTCAAGAGCCCCATATTCACATGAAATATCGAATTTCAGCCCTCTTGGATCAAAATATGTCGGTATATTGCCCGAGTTGCAGATTTCTCCGCAGAGCATTACACCTGTCCTTTCAAACATGAAAGCCAAGAAATTCCGACCCGGGGAAAGCCCACAGTCCGCCATTGTTTCAGTTTCAAGCGTAGCCATGGATGGATGGGCTCGTTGGGCTCCTTTCGAGGTGTGCAGGAACGACAACGTAGCCAGCAAAAGGAAGCCAATCCGCAGGCGGGGAAAGTGACAATGGCTTGTGACCCTTTGAGAGCTAATTCCATCTTTAACGACACTTGGAAGCCAGAATACTGAGGATCTGGACAGCTCGATTGTGGCCTCATGTGAAAATCGAAAGGACGTAATCAAGAGCTACAATATCCACTACTAAATAACACAGGGTTCCAACTTCCAACAGACGTATGCCATTAGTACGGCACGTTTCCTATGCCGCGTCAAGCAGCGAGTCCCGAAAATCCTGTGCCAGCGTCGTGTCGGCCGTGCGCCTCGCAGCAGGGTTATTAAATGCCCCCGTTCTGGAACCTGCCACTGCATCCTCACGTCGCATCCGGGTGTGTGGTTGACAGCGTCGTCGTGCGTCGGGTGCAACAGCAGTGCGCGAATATGTACTTGATCGAAGACGCCTTCATATGACAGTCGGCTAGATGCGGCGGGTTCTTGGCATCGAGTATGTTGGGCATGTTGAGCAACGTGTCACGGGATAATTTCAAAATCTGTGTTTTGACAAAGAACTAGGTCGGGATAAGAGTCGTTGCCGTGATTCAGACTTGTCTTGGGCAACAGGTAATCGCAGGGAGGGCAAAGACTATGCCAAAGGTACTAGAAATCAAGTATTTCCAACAGAGTACTACATGTCCTATAACGGTACTAGTATTTCTCTCCGGATGGGTCGTTTTATACCGGACACGTGATGGAATGAGGCGGATCTTTAACTAACTCTGCTCCCATAACAGTTCGTTTCTATATTCACTATTGCATTAGTTCTTGTGCTATTGTTTCACACGACAAGCAAAAGTATTATCCTGCACATGGAAACAATGGGATGCAAGAATCGGCCGGCCACACCCGAGACTGTGACGGCCATTGTTCCCATTTGGAAGACCCGATTGGATATCCGGGGAACGAGATTCCCGCGCTTTGCACACTTGCAGGAGACAATTCTGTATTGAAATTCGGCCTATATTTCTATTGGAAGGAGCTTGTTGTTGAAGCTTTGCCCTCGGCACACGTGCGTACCGATGGCTAGAGTGTATTGCCAAAAGGCTGCCCTTTGTCTTTCTTGTTTGTCCGAGTTTGTACAAATGGACAAAAGGTGGGAGCGCATGTGATTGCTGTGGCATGTGGATGAAGTCGATAAGCTTGGAGTATTGAGGGACACGTCGTGGTTCTCCCGCTATGGCTGCTGATGCCTATGCTGGCAGTTTTGGATGCTGCCTGTCAGGCACTTGGGTTGGGTGGGCGCGATGTGAATTGACACTTGACTGTTCCCGGATGTAGGTCCCGGTGCGTTGAATGCCGCCAAAGAGAACGAATATATGACCCTCACTCTATTATCGCTGACGATAGTTCTAGTCTCCGTTTTAACGAGTCAAGCACCGATCTTGGTACTCGTTGGCCGTTTGGCAGATTCAGCCTACCTCAACAATACGCTTCACAACTAGATGCGCCGCACATCATTTGCAATACGGCATATTGTCCGGCCACGCTAATCGCCCAACCGATGCGGGTTCTCTACTTGGAAGTGGACAGCTCTAAGAGCGCTTGAGCGAATTTGTCTCGTCAAATGGGGCACCTATGTATAGTCCTGGAAGCTAGGCTCTTATGTCGCTATACTACTAGCAGCTCTCCTATTCTTCAACCCGAAGCTCGGCCAGCCAACCACCACCACAACCGCAATTGCGACACCATGATGCTTGCCAAATTCCCTTCGTCCCCCAATCCCTGCTGATCCCTACTTGATTTCGAAACTGCAACGGGGGACAAGTGGACGAGATCACGTGATGGAACCCAACGGCCAGCATGTCCTGTACAACCAGCAGACGGCGATGGTTTCGAACTCGGGAACACATGTCCGGCAAGCCATTGGGAATCTGCGACATGACCTTGTCACCGATTGCAGTGGCCACGCTCCAGGCGACCGGCCTCTCGACAGCGTCCAACATGTGCGCCCAATTCCTCGACCATTACCAGCAGCAGGTACGTACCGGCCGAGCTCGCCACCACCGGAGCGCCATCTGCCATACTCTTGGTCCTTGGACTAACATACTGCTTGTCAATGCGGGCAAAAATAGCGTCCGTTCTCGCTGGACCCCCTGCAGCTGCTGCGGTTCCTCCTGCTGACGCTGCTCACGACGCCGCCAAACTACCACTGGCAGCAGTTCCTCGAGCGGCGATTCCCGGCGCACATTCCGACCCGGCGGCCCTACGAGGCGATTGAGCTGCAGCAGATTGTCGAGGAAGGCGGCGAGCGGCAGGCACGGCCGCCCGAAGCGTTCAGCTACCGCAACACGCTGACCAAGTGGTTCATCGACTGCATCACGCTGGGCGCCGTCCTCAACACGGTCGCGTTCCTCGTCATCATGGGCGTCTTGAAGGCCCGCTCACCGGGCAGCATATGGCAGAGCGTCGTGGATGTAAGGGCCCCGAATCCGACGCGTCGCATGCCGCTAACGCAGCCAGGATACGGTTCCTATTATTGTTGCCGGATACAGAATCTGGCCGCTGGCATCGATTGTGAGCTTCAGCGTGATTCCCGTTTCCAAGAGGATTGTGTTTCTGAGCTTCATCGGCTTCCTGTGGGGGATATACATGAGCCTGGTGGCGGCTCGCGTGTAGATTTGCAATTGGCGGAGAGAGCCAACATTGAACATTGCCCAGCTGGCCTGTGCTGTGATTTCCCTCCGGGGGCCCTGCCGGGGGCCGCCTGCGGCCGGCGTTTGCGTCTGTTACGAATCTGCCAAAAGTGCATGTGGAGGACCTATAGATAGAGATGGTACTATGGCTGGGTATACATGTCGGTATTCTAGAACATCCGCAATGTGACGTCCACGATGCATTCAAGTTTATATTGCAAGGGACAGTCCCAGTACGCTTCTACGGTATATTTGCGCCAAAAAAAAAAGTAAACACTAAAATACATCAATGACCGTTTCTTCCAACACGTGTATTATTTACTCTCCCCTCACTTCAACCACTGAATACCGGCGTCAATGTTCCCCCACCACGCATTCGTAATGTCCTTCCAGTAGTGCGAGCGCGGCTTCCACTGCGGGTCGGAGCCGACCTTGGGGAACAGGCTCTTGCCCTTCTCGACGTAGGTCGAGTTGAGGCGCATAAAGGGCAGCGGCTTCATGGCGGCCTTTTCGGCGTCGCTGAGCCGGGGCATGATGACGCTGTAGCCCTCGCGCGCGCTGCGGCTCAGCATGCGGCAGACGAGCTGGGCGGTGGCGTCGGCGCCCAGGGTCCAGCTGGCGTCGACGTAGCCGATGGACAGGGCGAGGTTGGGCACGTTTTCCAGCATGCAGCCCTTCCAGGCGTAGCAGTCGGGGATGTGGACGGGGGCGCCGTCGACCGAGGTCTCGATGCCGCCGGCGATGTGGAGCTTGAGCCCCGTGGCCGTGACGATGACGTCCGGGTGCAGCTCGCGGCCGGACGTGAGCTTGATGGCGTTGGGGGTGACGCGGGCAATGACGCCCGTCTCGACGCTGGCGCGGCCCGTCTTGAGGCACTGGAAGAAGTCGCCCCCGGGGCAGAGGCACATGCGCTGCTCCCACGGGTTGTAGCGCGGCGTGAAGTGAGGGTCCATGGCGACGCCCTTGGGCAGCTCGCGCGCCGTGCGCTTGAGGATGAGGGCGCGCGCGAGCCGCGGGAACCAGGTGCAGAAGGTGGTGAGCAGGAACGCCGACAGGATCCACTTGAAGCGGATGAGGCTCCGGGCCACGCCGCCGGGCAGCAGGAAGCGCAGCGCGCGGTCGAGGTAGTCCTTTTGCGGGAGGGCCAGGATGTACGTCGGCGAGCGCTGCAGCATGGTGGTGTGCGCGGCCTTGTCGCACATGGACGGCAGCAGGGTGACGGCCGTGGCGCCCGACCCGATGATGACGACGTTTTTGCCCGTGTAGTCGAGGTCCGTCGGCCAGAACTGCGGGTGGATGACGGGGCCGGCAAAGTCCTCGAGGCCCGGGATCTGCGTCTGCAGCGGCTCGTCGTAGTTGTAGTAGCCGGTGCCCAGGAAGACGAAGCGCGAGCGCAGCTTGATCTTGTCGGCGCCGTTGGCGACAATGTCGAGGTTCCACGACGACGAGGCCGACGACCAGTCCATCTTGTCGACCTTGTGGTTGAACTTGATGTGCTTGTCGACGCCGGCCTCGGCCGCCGACTCCTTGAGGTACTTGAGGATGAGGGTGCCGTGGGCGATGGGCTGCTTCTCCTCCCATATCCGCCACGGGAACCCAAACGTGTACAGGTCCGAGTCGGATCGGATGCCCGGGTATTTGAAGAGGCTCCAGGTGCCGCCAATCTCGTGGCGCGCGTCGACGATGCAGTAGCTCAGCTCGGGGTTGCGCTCCTGCAGTCGGTAGCCCATGTTGATGCCCGAGATGCCGGCGCCGATGATGACGACGTCATAGTCGACGTCTTGTTTCCTGTGTGCCATGGCGGCTGTGTTTCTTGCTCGTCTGTGATGGTGATGTCGGCGCCTCGTTGCGAATGGCGACGAGAAAAGCAAAAAAGGTGGAGTGGCCCCAACCCTAACCCTGCGATGGTGGTGTGCGGGACGCGATTTCGTCTGGACGAGGCAGCAGGAGCACGGCGGTTGGTGGTGGGTGCACTGGTAGTCCGAGAGACAAGGCGCAAGGCTTCCCCGGATTCTTATACCAAGACGCAAAGCTTCTCCAGAGACGGATGGGAAACGAAGCCGCTGGACGGGGCGGGCTGCGACTTTATTTCAACCCCGGCGCGGGCCAGAATGCCCTCCGTAGCCGCAGGCCTCGGCATGTGTCGACGACGGTGTGTCGCCTCAGACAGGAGACGACGCATCGCAGTGGCCGTCTGTCCCACGAATGCGATTTGTCGACTCCTTGGTTGCCGTCGCCCCCGCGGGTCCGGCTCGCGCTGTGCCTGGTTCGCCACGAAGCTTGCGACGAGTTGGGGAACATCTGAAGAAAAAAAAAAGGGCCCGATCGTCGGCCCACTCTGGACGTGCACGACTGGGCCGCAAATGGCCAGATTCGCGAATTGTCTGGGGCCAGACGACGGCGCGAGTTGGCGGCGCCCGCCCGCCGGACCTTGAAGTGGTTCCTTGGATCCGTTCCAAACGGAGCGCCCGGGGTGCCCTTGGTTGCTCCGTACCAGACGACTGGACCTCGTTGCGGGTTGACATGTGCTGACGGGACGGTGTCGAGGTTGCGCATGTGCCTCGAGGGTGGTCTGATCCAGGAGCAAGGACGGACATCGTGAGAACACTGAAGCTTCTGCCCAGGCCACGGGTAGCTGAGCGTGGCATGACGCAGGTTCTCGAGCAAATTCAAGTTGGCACCTTGATCGGATGTGTCACGTGCTCAGTCAACTCTTGGCACGTGTTCCGTCAACAGACAACACAGGCCTGATGTCTTGGCACAGACCCTTGTCTCCAACCTACAACTGTCACCGCGACATCACATCATCACATGGAAGCGTCCGGTCCTTTGGTCCCTGGCAAAGCTCAGCCACGACCATGCTGCGTACATGCTGCCAGGGCGAATCCGCAGATCAATTTGTCCGCTTATCGCCATCCCATCGTGCAGCGACGAGACTTGGGAAACGTGAAGGCGCATTTCCGTTGCTCAATTCAGCACGACACACCCGGGCCGCGGCTCAACAAACAAGTTGTCACTGCATAGTTGACGCGGTCCAGCCACTATACAAGCAAGTCAGTCATTCCTTGCACAATGGTGGAAATGATGAGCAACAGCCTCTGGACGTCCATGGTGCAGTGCCACGGCGCGCCACGCCCGTCCTACACATGAACCGGGGTTAAGCCCTGTGCTTATGTTATGTATACAATACGTGCTGCAATTTACGGACATGGGGAATGAATCAATATCATTGGTAGCTATATACGACGCCAACCATGTAAGATGACTGGCTAGCCCTACTATATATCTCATACATGTCATACACACATGTCATGCTGCCCCTGAGGCGCATCACCATTTAATAAACGGCCCTACGCGCTTCCCTATCACGTCCAGGAACGCGTCAAGAAGGACCTTGGGCAGAATGGCCAGGGCCCCGAAATCCAACAAGACAGAGTAGACGGTCTTGGTCTCACAGGCGGTCTGGCGGTCCTCGCCATTCATCCTCCCCCTCAGCCAGGCCAGCGCCTTGGGCGCACCCGTAACAGCCAACGACTCGTGGTCGGTGCTCTCGTCCCGCAGGTACTGGACCGTCGTGCCTTGCTTGCAGTACCAGTCGACGAGGGCGTCGGTTTCCGCCACGGGGCTCACCTCGTCCTTGGTGGCCTTGTACACGAGCAGCGGCGCCTTGGGGGCGTGCTGCCCTAGGTCGTTTTCGCCCGCGATCCTGACCACGGTGGGATTGGCATAGAGCAGCGAGGGGTCGTCGACAAACTGGCTCAAGTTCTTGCCGCTGAACTCGTTAATGTTGCCCAGCAGGCACAGCTTGTCGGCCTTGTAGAACTCGTCCTTGTGCTGGGGCAGGACGTGCTTTTGGATGAGGGCGTCGACCTCGGGGTACTGGTGGGCGAGGCCGAGGATGCCGGCGGGGATGAGGCCGGCGGCGCCGGTGCCGTCGACCTTGCCCAGCACGGTGGTGATGTTGGGCACGGCGCCGCCCGCCGCCGCGCCGGCAATGACCACCTCGGGCGCGTACGAGGGCTGCAGCTCCGCGGCGAACAGGGTCGCCAGGCTGCCGCCCGAGTACCCCCACAGCGTGACCGTCGGGTTCTTGCCGATGCCCGTGATGGCGCCCGAGTTGCGGGCGGCGCGGATGCCGTCCAGCACGGCCTGGCCCGCGAGCACGTTGGCCAGGAACGCGCCCTTGGGCCCGAGGTAGTCGGGGACGATGACGACCCAGCCCTGCTCGAGGGCGGCCTCGACGAGCAGCACCTCGCCCTGGGCGACGGACGGGCCCGAGTCCAGCTGGAACGCGTACGACGGCGCGCAGTCGATGTTGGAAGCATCGTCTACTGCTTGGTACGAGAGGACCTTGTTGAAGTTGGCGTTGCGCGGGACGAGGACGGTGAGCACCGTGGCCGTGGCGTTGTTGAGACTATCCGTGGTCCGGTAGAGGAGCTGGTAGCTCGCATCGACATGGACGGGATACTGATTCTGGGAATGTATCAACCCGGCTACCGCAATGGGGTTTGGAGGCGGCCGGTGCCGGATAATGGCTCCGGGGGCATACGAGTCCAAGTTGTCGGGGACTTTGTAGAAGTCGTCTGCGCTGGGCAGCGGCGGAGGTGCCCTGGCCTCAAGCACGGCTCCAACACCAGCGTCGCCAGAGATGGTCCAGCTGAACAGGGTCAACCACAAGGCGAGTTGGCAGATCATGGTGGAAATCATGTTCGCAGTAGCAAGTAGCTGGGATCGGCGTAGAGGCTTATCCTGCACTTCTCAAACCAGAGCAGGAGCAGCATCACTCCTTTATATACTTAATTTGCTAGCCAGGTATATACATGCCATGGCTGGTGTTTCTCTTCCATTATCTCGCCATGTTACTGATTCGCCCGAGGATGTCGGCCGTCCGTCGGCTCGACCCCCTCGCAGGGACGCTTGCAACGTCAAAGCCAAAAGACGCTATTGCTGTTCGGCCGCCCGCCAAGCGACCGTAATCTCGTATAGGAGAGGCCTCTTTCTTCTGGCATCGCGTACCGTCCTCCGTCGGTAGTCATGGTAGTTCCAGAAACGGCACGGCGTTCTATCCACGGCGTGCCGAGCCAATGACACATCCCGAATCGGTCGTGAAGCGACAGGGCTGACACGGCTGACCATAAACAAGTTCTGAGACAACATACACGAGACCCCTAGGCGCGCCCCGTCCCAATGCAACTCTGTCGTAGCTTTTTGGCCGTGGAGCCGAACAGTTTTGGCATAGCCCATAGCCCCGAGGCCATAAATGGCAGCTCGCCAACTAAACTTGCGAAATTCTGTCCTCTCCACTCGCCGACGAAGCCAAAAGGGGCGATCCTTGGGCCTGTCGACAAGGAGCATCAGGAATCATCCGCGTCTATAGCCACGGCTATGCCGGTTACGAACACAAGGTGTCGGCAATAGCGGTACCTTTTCCCGCAAAGGGTTAGTTTGGGGGATTACATCTCTTTTGTCACGGTCAACTAATATGCTAATCATGATTATATGATCCCGCACAGACGGGGCCGCCCACGCCCGACGGGCCGGGAAGCCTGAATCGCATAATGCAACAGCGCATAGCTTGTGGCGATGGCAGTCATTTACCGCATCTCCACGCAACCAGTTTGTCGAATCATTGGAAAAGGGGGCCATGGAAGGCCAGACTCGTCACTGAAGAAACGGCACCTACGATGATGGGCCGAAATGTCCTGAGCCCAGGTAGATGCTGGGAAAAGGCGGCCATGTCCGCAACCTAGCGTTAAATGTATGTTTCTATCGTTTACCGTCGTGGAAAAATGACACAGCGTGCGCGCCGTCGACCAAGATACTCTGGTTCTTTGTCCTGTGTGGACACGGCCACGTCCAAGGCGGGATTACACTTGAAAAAGTTGACGGACTGAGGCCAACCACCATCTATTCCGGCGGCATCACAGGCCAGTCCTCGCTCCTCGGGTTGTGCATCGAGCCAAACGTGTGTCAGGCCACAATGTCCCGGTTCGTCATCGACGAGCAGCCGTCCCCCAGGCACTTGTCTTCGCAATCATGGACGCCAGGTCCTCCCCTCCGCGCGACCGCATCGTGTACCGCCCTGCGGGAAACAGCTCGTCGTCATGGTATCTCGTCACCCACACTGCGTACGCAAGGAGAAGCTGGCTGTAGCAGGGGACTAGCTTGAACCTGACCGGCGTCTGAGCCACGCCGTTGGTCTTGCCTTCGTTGACAATCTTGAAGACTCGGTTCTTGGCGACGTCTAGGTCGAGACCCTGCTCGCTCTCGACAATGGCGGACGAGGTGGTGTACCCGACCAGACGCCAAAGTGGTTGTGGACGAGGGCGTCGTCGACCTGCAGGGAGTTGGCGTGCCCGTCGTTGCCCAAAAGGCGCCCTTTTGCGGGTACGGCTTCGTGGTGGTGCGTGGCGGCGGCCGGAGGCTGGGATAGTACTCGCTCGATGATGACGGTGAATCTTTTGCCTGTCAAACGGCTTGCCTGTGGTTCGGAGGCGCTCGTCTGCTGCGGACGGCAGATGATGTCCTCGCGAGACGATATCTCTGTGCACAGCGACAATGGGTACGTGTAAAAGTTTGCGTCGGGGTTCTCGACCAGTCTCATATATAAGCAGCACTAGGTGACTCAGACTAGGGACTGTGAGGTTGGCTAAGGACTTATAGGGAGGACAGACAACAAATCTAGTACATACGACCACAGCCGCTAGCAGCAATCACGATCCCGTCCGATCTCGTACGATAACCTAGCGAGCGCTGGATTAGTAGTTGGGTCGGTGACGACCAGCGAATACCCAGTGTTGTATGTCATTTTTTTGGTATCTTTTTGCTTAACCTCTCAACGAAAGACATACATACCATCAATACTTGACTCGTTGGGTCATGTCGTTCATGCCGTCGGTCGCATAGGCCCACGGCTTGACGCGGACGGTGCTCCCGGGAGGAAGATCAAACTTGTTGATTTCATCTTGAACCTGCGGGTCGGCGGCCTGCATGTCCTGCGCATCAATGTAAGAGTGTCTCCCTTTGAGCGGGATCCTCCTTGTGATTGCATTCTTGTCAAGGTCGACAATGAGCTCCTCCAGGGCGTTGGTCTTGCCGTCCCCCGAGACGATGATCTGGGCTCGGGCTGTGCGTCACGGCCGGAGTGCTTCTGTTGGCGTTTCCAGATAGGCAATGGCCTCTGCCTTGGGAGGTCCTTGGGGGGGGATGAAGCGAAAGGATCTATCCCCCGCCGTTTCTTTCACCAAACTTCTTGTTGGTTACTGCTGTTGGTCCTGTTGAGCTGAAGCCTCTCGTGATCAGTCACGGGGATGCAGTCGAGGGCGTCACGCCTGTCAACGTGCTCCGTTTCTCGGGCCGTCGCACAGAGACGCCCAAGCTGCAGCGAAGCAACGTGTAATGATTAGATAAGAAGACAAAGAGCGTAGCCGTCAGGGGTCGTCCATGTGTCAAAGCTTCAACCAACGTTGACCTCTCCACCGCCATTTCCGCCATCCCACGCCCGACAGAGCTGGATTCCCATACTTGACCTCCATCCCCGCTCATGCTTCCTAGAAAAAAAGCCAATACGAAGACCGGGCTAGGTCCAAAGAAGTTCTCGCCCTTCTGGGCCTCCGCCAAAAAGAGAATACTCCCACCATCCCTCGCAGCTTTGGAGACGGCTCTACTATGATGGTTGGCAAAATGATAGTTTGGAGATGGAGAAACTAGTCGGTTACCAACCAGGTGGCCATCATCCTATTCATCTCGGAGACGAGCTTTATAATGGCCGGTTCCGTGTTATTCATCAGCTAGGCTACGGAGGCTCCTCCATAGTATGGCTCTGCCGTGATCAAGGTCAAAACAACCGAACGTACGTCGCCGTCAAGATCCTCGTCGCTCACCTACAGGAAGCAGAATACCGCGAATTGTAACCCGACTCCGGATGTCCCCCACGCTCCCAAATACATGGTTCAACAGGTCGATTTTCACGAGACGACCGACCTGGGGCTCATCTTGCCGCGGGCCGTCATCATCGACTTTGGGCAGGCTGTGAAGACGGCCGGGGAACAGCCGCCGTTTGGCATACCGACCGATTATGCGGCGCCAGAGGTGATTTGGAAGAGAAGCGGTGGCCGGGAAGTGGACACATGGTCGTTGGCTTGTACTCTGTACGAAGTTCGCGTTGGCAAGCACTTGTTTGAAGTCCCTCATCTGGTTGTGTTGGACGAGGACGACTACGAATATGAGATTTCCTCCGTGATAGGAGAGCGAATGAAAGAGCTTGGAGATGGCAGTGTGAATACGGCGGCGGCGGCTGGCCAGATTTGCAAGAGGGCCTTTGGCGACGATGTCACTGCCGAGCAGGGGCAGTGGGCGGAGATGCTGGCCGGTTTGCTGAGGTACGAACCGCATCAGAGGCCCAAGGTGCAAGAGTTGCTGAAAAACGCGTGGTTTGACACGCCTTAGCCATCGTTGTTCTTTGTCAAAGCCCAAGGTTGCGCGGTGTTGTGCTGGTTTTGGCAGTGGACGCTGTTTTGAAGAGGGAGGAAGAATGAGTATCTGGGTTGAGTCCTCGGTTTTCCCAGACAAAGGTATAGATGAGTGACCCAATACATATACATGAAGGGAACAGCTGTGCCTAAAGCTTCCACCGGGTCATTTGTTCGGTATGTGTAACCTCGGGGTCCTTTATCGGCGATGGTCCTTTGTTGGGCTTTGTTGTTGGGTTCTAACCGTGTAACATAATCGCTTGCAGAAAGCCTGGATATCGCTTGTACGAGGCCGGTCAGCCTCGTCATCGTTACGCAGCGGCCTGGCTGTCTTGCACAAGAAAGCCTACATGGTGGCTGTGTATGCGGGTTCCTTGTTGGACGGACAGGTGACCCGAATCCAACCTTTGTTTCGGATAGTTTCAAAGAAGGACCCTGCATCTGCACGCTGTCATGTCGATAACTGACAAAAGTGAGTACGACAACAATAGAACTGGCAGATGACACTAACGGCCCGGGCCGAACATTGAAAGCACAAACCGACCGGACTCTTTCACAAACTTGCTGCGTGCCGGCCGCAGATGTCTGGGTCCGGCATTGGTCGCCGGCATAAAGTGAACGGGCCACAAGATGACCCGGGTGAAACAAGTCCATCATTGTTGATCTGGTTCAAGCAGTCGTGTTAGAAAAATGGATTTAACAGTGGCATTTTGAACAACTATGCAACAAGTGCCTTCCAGTCCATACTTGTCGCACCAAAAATGCGCGTGGCCACGCCATATTCTTTTGTGTGTTGGTACCCGATATATCTTGTGACAATATTTGCCCTCCAGAGTCGAGAGTCGAGACGGTTCACTGCTGGCACGAGCCCGTGCTCCCACAATGTTCGCATTGAACGTGGGCAGACTGCTTTTGAGCTGCAGATGTAAACAAGGCCGTCAGAGAGTCAAAGGCATGCTCACGGCCGTTTCAGTGATGATGACACGTCGAACAAGACAATTCACAGCAAAAGGCGGACCTCGCAAAGGCCGTGCCATGTGCATGACGTCGCAGACGCAGCAGAGGAGTCGATGTGAGTATTCTGTGCCAAATAGGTATATATTGGCCCGGCCATTCCTCCTTCTGACTGTATTGGCCCTCCAGATAACTCCCTACTTCGATTTGTATCGATCATCCTACTCCCACTTTTGTTTACATTGATCAATCACTTTTCTCAATATTGCCCTCCGCACAAACACGATGAGTGAGCAAGCGACCGCCGAAGAAGGCAGCCACGACCTCGAGGGGTCGTTGTTGCAAGATGCTCAACCACCTAGTTGGGCGCCAACGGGCCCCCTTGATTTTGTATCCTCAGCCTTGCGGCAAATATCGAAGCAGGAACCTCGAGACCGAGATTTCGCTGCACACATTCTGACCTGGACGATGGTCGCCAAGCGGTATTTGATGCCGACACAACTCGGGCAAGCCTACGCCATCCAACAAACTGGGGATGCCTCGAACCGCGATTTTAACAGATCTGAAGAGGACATCGTGTCCGTATGCAAAGGGCTCGTGCGGCTAGAGACAACAGAAGAAAGCAAGAAGGTCAAATTCGTCCGCAAGCCTGACCTGGACCAACTGCTACACTATGGATTGGTTGACCGCAAGCCTCACTTGACCATCATCAGGACTTGTTTGACCTGCCTCCAAAGCGATAAATTTGCGGAATCCGAATCAAGCCCTGAAACCATGGAACGTCTGGTCCAAGGCAAGAACATGTTCACGTTCTACGCTGCTACGAGATGGATGGATCACCTGCCGGACTTGGACGCAGAATCGGGGGAGCTGGCAGAGGGCGAAGAGCTGATCACACAATTTCTTCTGCGTGGTAAAGGGACCACGGGTTGGTTCTGGTTTCTCGAGCGGTTTTCAAATGAAAAGGTTTTAGAGCTACACGTAGCTGCTATCATCGGTCAGGTTCCGGTGATGAAGAATCTTCTGGAGATGAGGAAACGCGACGTTAATACCACGACCTCGTACGGACGGACGGCTCTACACTTGGCCGCGAAATATAAGCGTGCGTCCCTCGTGAGGATGCTTCTGGAGAATTCAGCTGAACTGCATATCCGTGATGCGACGGGGAGCATAGCACTGCACTACGGGGCCATGTCCAACCGCTGGCACCTACTAAAACCACATGTGGACACGGTACGCGAGCTTGTGAGCGAGTACAAGAAAGGCGGCATGAGTGAGGACATTCGCAGAAATTGTACGGCGATTCGCAACGGGTCAAATAAGACTCCGTGGGACTACGCTTTGGAAGCCGGGAAGATATTCCACGGTGCGGAGCTAGTGGGACGTGCTGCGTATCAGCTCGCTGAGGCAAGACTAGCAGCTCAGTATAAAATAGCCAGACTGATAACCTTTTGGCCCTATGACGAGTCCATCGAGAAAGAGGGCAACTATTTTCCTCCCTTGCGGCAAGTCAAGGCACTTGAATCTTCAGAGGCGGGCATGGCCATACTTGTGGAGGCCTTGACCAAGAGAGGCCAGATCGTCGGTGACCGGCGGACGGTGCAGGTGAAAGACCTCACGCAGACGACATCGAATTTCGGTGCCATCACCTCCACCAAGTGGGCCCTGCTCGACATGCTCCTTGGGATAAACGAGAAAGGCATCAAGCTACTCACCGATGCTTATGAACGCCAAATGTGCTTTATGGCCTGGATATTACTTCAAACGGGGGCCGAGGTACACCATCGAAGAGAAGGCCAGCCCTCGGCCCTCCATTGCGCAATCCTTTTCCGTTCAAAGTCGTTGGTGTCTCTTCTGCTTGCGTACAAGGCCAGTTTAGAAATCCGTTGTTATTATAACCGGACTCCTCTAGATCTTGCGATTGAGCTTGGCGAAACTGATATTGTGCGTCAGCTGCTGGTTAATGACGTCGCCGAAATTCGGAAAGTCACCACGAACATGATGTCTACGGCTCTACCTCTCGCAATCCTAGACGGCCGCAAGGAGATGATTCATATGCTTTCTGGTCTTCAACTAACGCCTATTGATGCATTAAAAGAAGAGGCGAAAGTTACTCTGGCGGTATTGGCCCGGGAGTTCCGCGAGACAGTGAGGAACAAGAATCTACAGGGCAGTACGGTGCTGCATCTCGCCCTTTCAAGCCGGAATCGTTCTTCATGTTACGAAATGCTTTTGAGTATGCTGATGTATGGGGCTGATGTTGATGCGGAGGACGACAAGGGACGGACGCCTCTTATGCTCGCGAAGCAGATGAGTCTACACGCTGAGAGGATCCTTTTGGAGATGCACAGCTCCAAGCCCGACATGGAGCAACAGGTACCAGACCACCAGCTTCAACAAGCACCAGCCCATCAGCTTCAACAGGGACCAGGGCATCAGCGTCAACAGGGACCAGGGCATCAGCGTCAACAGGTACCAACCCATCCGCGTCAACAGGCACCGGCCAATCCGCGTCAACAGGCACCAGGGCATCAGCGTCAACAGGTACCAACCCATCCGCGTCAACAAGTACCAGACCATCGGCGTCAACGGGACTGACAGCTTCCGACGACTTTTCTGAAAACTAGAGGCTGTTATATGTGGTGGTTACTCTGGGCTTACGAGTACTTGAGATTGTGGGAGAATCGTGTCTTTCTTGATTAAACATGTCTGAAATATAAGTCTGCTCACATTTTGAACCATGGTTTATGTCGTAGCTACAGTGACGGTGATGAGCATTGCATCTCAAAGTGATATAGCCCCAACCCAATTGGTGTGGCAAGGACAGAGTAACTGGGCTTGGAGCGCAGTGTTCAATTCAGACTATAATACTTCAACGTTAACTTTGAGACATTGACGGTTCTTGGTTTTCCATGGAGCTCTAAAAGACGAAAGGTGCCTGTAAATATAAGGGGTCGTTGAGGGCCTTGTGCCTGAGGCAGCCCTCGCTTAGGACCGACTTCGGGCCCCGTGACCTTCGCCTTCAATGTTTAATGTTCGAACGTTGTCTGGTGTAACCGTCGACCGTTATTGGCCCATCGCCCTTTGTTGTGTACCAACCGTGCAACAATTGGGGTAATAGAAAAATGCGAAATATACATATGCTATCCTTGAACTTTTACTACACTGATAGAGAGTTATACGTCTATTTTTAATCCTCCAACTCTTCCTCTTATGCCAAGTTTCCAAGGCCATCTTTGATAGTGTATAGTTTGCAATTGGAGTTGTAGAGCAGGGTTAGGGTTAGGCACGTCACCTGACTTGCCGAAAACGACATCCGGAGACCCCCGCCCCCGAGTTTGGTCCTTGGACGTTATTTCACGGCGTGAATCTCGGAATAGAGTAATATGCCCTCCTCAAAATCACTGGAGCATGTACTGATACGGTTGGGAAGTGGAGGCGAAATACCGTTGACTCCATATTTCACCTTGATTCCGAGAATCACGGCCTCAAGGCTACCCCCCGCCACATTTCGGCCCCAGAGCCGAGACATCCCGGTGCACCACAATGATGGATACTACACCAGGGTCCAGATGATAAAGATGGGTCGGCGGGAATTCCGCTGTGCCGCCCTGCCACCAAGGCCTGGAGGCCCGTCTCGGAAATTCCGGTGGAGACGTGATGCATTATAAACGCGTCCTGCTCCATTGGTGTCCCCGTCTCACCTTGAACCGCAAGCAACTCACTTCACTGTCTACGGTCGGCGGACAAAATGACGAGAAAAGTGTCAGTGTCGGAGGTGCTACAACACTCGAGCCCCGAGAGTGCGTGGATCGTGGTCGACGGCAACGTCTATGACATGACGGACTTTGCGCCCTCCCATCCCGGCGGCCCTGAAAGTGAGCGAGCATCACCACTCACCATCCACGGTGCCTCGCTAACACAAACTCAGTCATCCATCAATACTCGGGCCGTGACGCCTCGGTGCCATACAACGAGGTCCACGCCCCTTCACTAATCAAGTCGTCTCTGGATGCCAAGCACCACGTCGGCACCCTCGATGCCGCCACAGTCACGGAATCATGGACGGCGGCAAACACCCCCGCTCCCCAAGCAAAAGCAGCGTCCTCAAAGCCCCCCCTAGCCGACATCATCAACATGTACGACTTTGAAAAGGCCGCCCACCAGTCATTCACCAACAAGGCGTGGGCGTACATCAACGGCGCGTCCAACGACAGCATCACCCGCGACATCAACATCGAGACCCTCAAGAAGATTTGGTTCCGGCCCGCAGTCATGAAGAACGTCTCCCGCGTGACGACCAGAACGAGCCTATTCGGGTGCCGCCTCGACGCGCCCTTCTACGTAGCTCCCACGGGCGCGGTCCGCACCGCCGGTGAAGAAGGAGAATTAGCCCTCGCCCGAGGCGCCGGCCCGTCCGGCATCATCCACTGCATCTCCACGCCGGCGTCGTACCCGCACGACGAGATCCTCCAAGCGACGCCCGAGCACGCCTTCTTCCAGCTGTACGTGGACAAGGACCGCGCCAAGTCCGCCAAGCTGCTGCGCCAAATCAGCGCCAGCGACAAGGTCAAGGCCGTCTTTGTCACCGTCGACCTGCCCGTCGTGTCTAAACGGGAAGACGACGAGCGCGTCAAGGCGGAGAACACGGTCGAGAAGCAGGTCTCACCTGGGCAGGACCAGAAAGGCGCAGGTCTGGCGCGGCAGTCGGGCTCCTTTATCGACCCAGCCGTCACGTGGGACGACATCCCCTGGATCCGGAAACACACTACTCTCCCTGTTGTTGTCAAGGGTATTCAGAGGTGGCAGGATGCCCGGACGGCCATGAGCCTCGGGTGTGAGGGGATTGTGGTGAGCAACCACGGCGGAAGGGCGGCCGACACGGCGCAGCCATCTATTATTACTTTGCTCGAGCTGCATAGGAACTGTCCCGAGGTATTTGGCAAGATGGAGGTGCTTGTCGATGGCGGATTCCGGAGAGGTTCCGACATTGTAAAGGCCGTTTGCCTGGGGGCCTCGGCCGTCGGGGTAGGAAGGCCGTTTCTATATGCTGTCAACTACGGCACCGCGGGCGTGGAGCACGCCGTCGCACGTAAGTTCTGCGCGTACTGAACTGTTATTAGCGACAGCTTTTTTCTGATTTTGTATTATTGTAGTATTGCGCGACGAAATCGAGACGGCGATGCGGCTGTGCGGCATGACCGACTTGATGGAGGAGGCTGGTCCTGATTTCCTAAACACCGCGCCTGTTGATCATCTCGTGTATCATGGCCCGCACGCGTACCTTGGTCGGAAGCCGAGAACGAGGGCTCGCTTGTAGGTTGTTGTTGCTCTTGCTTTCTGGACAGCGCAGACCATGGGGTTGTGATGGCGGAGTGGTGCGCTCCGTGAAGATGTATTCTGTGTGTGGAAATGCTAGAGTTGTTAATAGCGGTTGCGAGACTCGAACTTGCTATGGTGTTTCTTTTTGCAATTTTGGGAAATTGTGCCTTCTATTGCCGTCTGGGTGATGAAGGCGATAAAGTGTGTAGATAAATACATCGCGTTGAATATATCACAAGACGATCGTGACGGGAGCCAAGCATCGGCATTTCGTGTGCACAACCCGTTATCTTCATCACTAAATAGAGTATCTTAGCATCTCATGTCTGTACGAAGGTCAACGGGGTTTTTAAAGGTCAATAGCTCAAGGAGCTCAAATTGATACATTGAGTCGGCGAGGGATAAAGGTCCAAGGCAGCGTTGGACGTGAGGCCTCAATGTAGGTCTCCTCATGTCTCCTTTGTGTCTCCTTTGTTCGCCCAACGCCTTTGTTATGGCTTAGTCATTTGGCCAAAGATATCCCCCAATGCTGGAGAATTGAAGATCCTCCAAGTGCGCAGACGTTCATCTCGGTCTGCAAATTTTTCAATCGTCACGGCTTGCGAGCTAAAAACCCTGAGAAACCCAGGCCCTCATGACAGGAATATCCCCTGGTTTGGGAAACAGGAACCGCTTAGTGAGGCCGTTTGTTGCATGTCCCCTGCTTTCGCTAACTGTTATTGTCGGCCGTGGTGTTTGCGTCTTGGCTTAGGAGGACATCATAGCTAGCACTCGAGAGTTTTGACAGCTTTGGATAGCGTCGTCTTTTGTATTAACAACGTGATTAGAATGGAACAAAGGGAAAGTAATTTGCCACTGTACAAAATACCATCACATGATTGAAGTGTTCATCTTAGCCCAGGTCCAATTTGTCACAGTATTCCCCCCCAGTAGTTTTGTCTCCTTATGTCTTTGCTGCATTACTTGGCCTCTGTTTTCCCGCTTATTATTTTCATCGTATTAAGAAAATTATTAGTAGTACAGGAACCTCGATATTTGTCTTCTACACTTAATATCTCTCTGGCATTTCTTGCGGTTCACGTTCCGGCCTTGAAACAGGCATCTCATGAGGAACGGACGTGTTATACGGCGCTGATGCCGTCGACGTGCCCAGTTCGCCGTAATAATTGGTCCCGTGCTGCCAGGCCGGAGGGGTTGACACGGAACCGGGCGTCATTGCTGTTGAAGACTTGCCCACGCTACCTCGGTGCATCTGATCAAAATACTCTTGTGTGTATCCCTCGGAGCCCTGGTCCGCCATGGGGCCGGAGACGACTGGTTGTTGAGGACTGGAACCGGTCGGTCGTTTCCTTCGATGAATTAGGAAGAAGGCTAAAGCAACTGCCAAAGCCAGGCCAGCTGAAACCGGCAGAGCATGGATTAGCCCCGTTGAAGACAAAGTTGGCGTCGGGCTTCTTCTTACCAACTCCCCCGACGACGCCTCCCACTATAGCGCCGACGGGTGGAGATGGCTGTGGTATCACGGTATGTGTAATAGTCGGTGGAATGGGAGTGGTAGTCGGAGTAGTCGAGGGTGCAGTCGAATTATAATTAAAGTAGATTGGTAATGTTCCTCCTTGGGTATTACACACCAGCCGACTGTATCCGCCATACGGGGAGCCAGCATACGAGAGGACTACGCAAGAGGGCAGTTGTGCCTCGGTGCTATTTATATCGATAGGTCAGCTTTTTTTCTCAGATGCTTCTGTCCTCTGTTTCGCACAGATGAGCTCACTTACCAGAAAGTCGTGCCATCGTAACTGTCAATTGTCCCTGCATTCACGGGGTTATATGGTTCGCATTGTGTCACAAGGGTGCAATTTGCATCGGGACCGCAGCAGCTAAGTACCAATTCACGCGAGTTAAAATGGCACCACTGGCCTGATGGGCACGCCGACCAGGCTACGGAATAATTGTTAGTGACTAGACTGGCAACGTGTAGTTCCTTTCTGGGAGGGAAACTAGACGCGGTATCACTGACCCTGAGTTCCCGAGACATATCCGCATCCTGTGGTCTGGTCAGGGGGAATGGTACGTCTGAAGAGCGGATTATCAGGAGCAGGCGTCGGAGGGGGAGTCGCTTCGTCTCGTAGTACAGGACTTGGCCTATTCCCGCCAGTCTGGTATACGAGGTTAGAATGAACGCCGATGCTTGCATAAACCACAAGCAGTATTTCAATCGCGTGTTGATGAAGAAGAGTCATTCCGTGCCGGTCTGCTCTTGTTGAATATGAGGCGGGTAGGAAGTGATGAACTCTGCCGAGATTTGCTCACCCACAGCGCGACGCCGCGTAGTATTTTTTCTTCTTCTCAATTTTCCAGGTTGCGTCGTTCTGTATTATACTAGTCTGACATTCCTTTGCTTCCCTGGGCATGGTCTCATCCAGCGCCGGTTTAAATAGTAGCAGTACGGGAATTCGGCATTTTTCTGGCGTTAGGGTTTGAGCTGTACGAGCTGGCAGAACCAGAAATGGCCATCTATTGCTCGGCTGAGCCGTGGCACCCCGGGCTCTACCGCCACATGAAGCCACTCTCCTGACCAGGCATCTTCATTCCATGGACTGGACTGTAACTACAAGTTGCCTTGAGGAATTAGGCACAGAACAGTGTTGCTGGATATTTAAAATGAGTCGTTCATCTTGAGCGCTATCGCGAGTGCAATAATGCCAGACTACTACTTGAACCAATAAGTAACAGCGTCCAATATAAGCTGTAGCCGCAACTCACCGTTCCAGATGTCGTCCACATCAATCGCTACGCAACCGAGGCATGATGCACTCAATCTAATGACATGGAGTTATCATAGATGTTCACGAGCTCCATATAACTTTATGAACACCAGAGTGCTGCCTCTGCAAGTGCTATCGAGCGCTGATTATCTGCGCGGTTATGTCGGCCACGGCAGTCATTGACCTCAGCAATCCTTTCTGTTTCAAAGGACAGAGTCAAAGATGATTGATCTGTCACCAGACAGTGAACGAAGAGCAAAAAGTAGTAGAGATCTCGAATACATGAAAAATGTCTCAATTTATCACCATTACTAGGCTCATTACGGAGCGGTAACAAACAAATCGAGCAATTTGAAGATTTAATCATAAGTTTGCGACTACGTTGACAGGTGCGATTAAAGATAGCGACCACTTTTACCAACAAAACCAATAATTCTTTTGCACATATACAAGCAGAAATACGCCTCTCGGGTCATAGTTCACGGAAAACGTGGCATTCTCCAATGGACCGATGTAACCCTAAGCTAACCCCAACCCTGTAGGCCAATCCATGAGTTAGATCCACTATCATGGAATAATAAAACTGGCCTTAGTTTGCCTGTTAGCCGCTTGAATATGTATAATAGCCAAGTTCGTCAGACTGACGCTAGATTTCCGTCGTTGCAGACATTTAGATTCCGCCAGCCCTACATATTCATTGAATGTAATACTCAAAGACAACACATTGTAGTTATTGCTGGTGCTTAACAGACGTGGTAAAGTAATCTATTTCTCTACTTTACTAACTGTCTCAGATTTCCGCAGCCGGCCGAGCTTAAACTCCACGGGAGAACTCCATACAGCGACTGTGGCTTCATCCAATGGGCCCAAACAAGTTCAAGTCCAACTTGACAGTACAAGACAGCCCGGGCCATTAGTTGAGCGCGGCCCTGAGGTCACTTGCAATCTTGGTATACTCTTCGTTAATCTGCTCCGGCTTGGACTTCTATATTTTTGCCACATTAGCCTTGTTCTTCTCGCAACTTGTACCCTTTGTAGATTGACGTACCTGGTCTCCCGGTGCACCCTCTGGGTGCTTCTCATTCGCCCTGTTCAAGGAATTTTGAGAAATTTCCGAAAGTTTGTTGATATTGTCCTTAACATCTTGAGGACTGTCTTTGAGCTGGTCCTTCAACGTATTTATCAAGTCTACCTGTTGACCTGCCGTCTCCTTCCACTTCTCGCCCTTTCCTTCGGGATTGTTCTGCTTTTTCTGTTCAAAATAGGCCTTGACCTGTGCATTCTTGGCATCAAAGGCGTTGAGCGCCTCGTTTGCCTTGGCAAGGTCCTGACGGGCAGAAAGAGCAGGACTGGCGATGGCCAGGCCGGAAAAGACGGCAAGAAGAACACTTGAAGCCTTCATTTTGATAAATAGAGCGGTGAGAAATTTGGAAATAGAAGTAGAGACTTGTTCTTGACAAGTTGTAGCGTAGTTGTTTGCGGTGAGTGTTTGATTTGCGAGTTTGTATGATTGGGAATGCTGTCGAAAACGAGGGCTGCATCGAATATATATATATTTTTCTTCGTAGCCGACCTCGAGTATGGTAAACATGATCTACAATCATGCATCGGCATGAGATGGTGCTTCTCGTGCTACTGAAACAGCAACCTGACTCGTTGAAAGCCTATCTGCAGTGCATGACTGCAACCTGCGGCGACTTCGCCTGCGCATTATGTTCATTGTACACGATAATTCACACTGTCAGTTCAAGAGCACCTACCGGCACCTCCCTCGCAAATCCACGTTTCAAGCGCTGGCGTGACTCGTGCGTGATGACATCCCACCCCGAATCACCGATGACGCCATGCAACGGTCCCCTGCGGAGATGTGACGAGTGCTATTATTACGAGTAAACGTTCAGGTTTTGAGTTTTGAATCCGCCTTGGTCAAATCTGCACAGGACACCCTGTAACCACGTAGATCTCGGTCTCTACGGCCCCTGGCTATATTCGCTCGGGAATTGATGGGGCGGCATGACCTAACGGATGCATGGCTTTTACAGCATCTGGTTCTTTCAAATCTTCTCTGTTTACCACCATGGGTTTCTGCCACCTCCATAAAAATACCTTGACGAATGGTTAGTAACACATTCGTGGCAGGCCTTGAAGTAAAGGGCTTCGCGTTTGTCACGGGTCGCGTTTAAGCTGCGCAAGTGAATTGGTTTTTATTAGGCTACTATGTGAGAATTGCATGGACCCATAATTTAGGCTTAGCTGAAGCTTATTCTTCTCTTTTGTTAGCGTTTCGTAGATATATATGTAACGTGAGGGCACCTATGTATTAAAAAATGTGAGTCCAGTCTCTTATATCAACGGCCAAGGCTTAGAGTCTAAGACTCTACCTTTTTAACTATATGATATTTATTCCGTCGGTGATTATGCGCAGTGTATTTATAATAAGCCAGGGTATAGTGGTTTCAGAGCCGTTAAGAAACCTAGTCACACCACCGTTACAATAAAGTGCGTGCTGGTCGATAAAAAGCGAATTAGAAGCTGTAAAAAGTCATGCGTCTGTATTAAAAGTGTTATGCCGCTCTGTCAATTTGCATTCGCTCGCCGCCTCCGCTGCCTGTCTACGCTACCAAGTCAAGATGGAATCGAACTTGAACACGAGTTCTGCGTACTCTGCAAATATGACGCTACCCGATAACACACGCGATGGTCAATTAAGCACCTGGCTACTCCCTATTTCAGGATGTGGGAGGACTTGGCGTAAATGCAAGCTTGACTGGTGTCATGCACTCAAAGTCATGAATCGGTTGTCGGGGTTGCCTGTTTTTAGAAATAGCTGCCGCGTTCTAAAGTCAAGACTTTCAAAGGAATAGTCTCTATACTCGTCTTCTTCAAACAAAGTACCAGAAACCTGGCGCACTAGTACTACTATTAATAATGCGGGGGAAGTGTGTACTTTGAGTCATTCTAGGGCCTCACGGATGTGTCACGACGGGAATGGCGTCAAAGGTCATCTAGCTGACGTACTAGTTCTCGAGGATGTAAGACATTGACACAGGTGGTAGCGGGCCGAGAGCGGCAAAAAATGGAAACGATGAGTTACATGATTCACATTCCCACTGTTTTGTTTCATGTTACACCGATTCAGTTCATGGTTGCCGACACTCTTGGCCAGATGGCAATGCCGCTCGCCTGACGCCAAAACGTTTTTATGCGTTTCAAGATGCAGCTGTGAACGAGCCTCGTCATATTGGTCAGTTCTGTCTGGCATCCCCGAGTCTCATGTTGCCGGCGCCGCTGGGATCAGGCCACCGCAAGTGTCAAAACTCGAGACCCCAGCCTCTACTCTTGAAACACTCGAAACAGGAAAAGGCTTCCAACTTCCCAGCGTTGCCGCGCGGTATGAGATGATTCGCCGGGGCGACCCTGTCGTCATCACACAATCGTCCCCGGGTTCTGGGCAGGCGCGTGGCGACGATCAGGTTCCATCAGGTCCGGGAAGCCCTGCAAGGAAGCTTGACAATTGTAAGAAATGATTTGAAAACGTAAAAAGGTTACTTTTACGTGGTGAGTAATAGGCACTTGTCGCCTAAGCTGCTGTGGCTAAAAGTGGCTACGCAGAGCGTCTTCATTAACGGTCTGTTGCGATAGTATGTGCTAGTAGAGATGGGAAGAATACTCACAGACCAGATAGCGGCGGTCCGCTTATCTGACTAGGAGACGGGACGACTTGTTGTTCTTGTATTGCACCAGCGGTCATGTCTAAAAGGTCAGAGACAAAGGAACTTATGACCAGGCCCCTACGGTATACACAACAACTGGTAGCTACATCCCTTCTATTGCCGAAAATGCTAGGGAATTCTATCTCTAGTTCTGGTCCTCATCCTGAATCCTCGAACAAATAATCAATCGGCTCCATGGCTTGAGGATTAGGGACAAGGGGATCTATAAGCGCTTTAGGGGTTAACGATGGAATTGCTGCTTGGTCTGAAATCTATACATACAGCGTGTAACACTAATAAACCTGCGCAACCGTTTCTTCACCATTTCCTGAGGACGTGCTTCTTCCTTAGGGCTTTATTGCCTTTATTGCGCCTGACTTCTAGGGTAAAGCCTTCCTGCCAAGGCTATGCCTCGGCTCCTTTGAGCCATTTGGTGACTCTGTCGCATCCTCTGAGTCGTCCCCTCAAGACTCCAACGGGCGAGAAGATAGGGCGCTCGTAGATAGTGGTGTAATCGCTGGTTGCAGTCCAAGTAAGCAACTATTAGCAGAGGTAATGCAAAGAAACCACCTAGAAAATAACAAATATCAGGACAACATGGTGTTTATTCGCGCTCTAATCGTGTGGTGTTGTACAAGTACTCTTAAAATCCAGCGATCAGTCCTTGATACAGTGTTCCTGGTCTATGTACTCTATGTCTATCAGAAAGAAAATCATTTTTAGCAAATTAGCAAATCCCATTTACTTTTTTTAAAACCCAAACCAAGTACAGAACCCGCGTCCCATCCGGTGCCCTACATGCCATTGCCTGCCTGATAGGATGAAAGCATCGCCTGGTGCTTCTCGATGGCACACTTGCTGAGTCGGCACAGCTCGGCTACCAGGTTATCCATCTTGGTCAGGTACTCGGTTTCGTGAGAGGTGACCCTGCGAATGGGCATGCTCCGGATAATCTGAGAAGTCTTGCCCAGAAGCTCCATGTCATGGACAGCGAGCGCGTGGCCCGGGTTTTGCAAGATGTTGAAAAACAGATTCATCAGTGCGGATAGCGGGTAGAAAACGAAGAACCTGATCCAATGTCAGAAACGCAAATACCAACATTTTCCGCGGTGGTATTGCCTGCTGCCGTCTCGAATCTGATGCAGCAGGCAACATCGTCTCAACCTACCAGAATGCCTCTCCTGCAAGCCTGCTTGCCGACATGCTCAAGTATATTATGGTCGATCTGCTAGCCTCCACGGACAGATCGAAGCTAGACTGCACACCGAAGGAGATTTGTTGCGGATCGCTGCTCCCTCTCGTGAGGCAACGACTGCTCGCGCAATGAATCGTGTTCAGCAAGAAGTGATAGTCGAGATGCAGCTCGATGAGGAGCATGTTGATGGACATGCTTGTCACCCCCTCGAGTCTGGTGTCATTTTTAACGGAGAGATTGGGAGAAAATGCTTCGGGAATCGAGGTGCGCCACGTTTCCAGCTCTTCGTCCAGCTCCCTGATTGTCTTGAGCAGCTCGGCATCGGATTTTCGCAGAGACGCATGGGAGTAGAGCGACTGCACAGCCTTTGACTTAAGAATACTGAGCCTCAAATCGCTGGGAAGCCAAGGGTTCTGCATCTGGCCCGGTTGCCGGGGGAGGAAGCGGCTCTGGGCGTATCCTTCGGGGAGAGTTAGATCACAGAACTGATCGGGAATCGCTGGCGGTTGTCCGTTTCGCAAAGAAATGTCCTTGTCAAGCACGTAACAAAGCCAAAAGAGCAGGCGAAGATGACGGTCCTCATGCTCCTCCATTGTGAGCTCACGATCTTTGGGCGTTGGTAGCATGACGGTGTGTCCGCCAAGGGCAAAGACTGTTCTGCAGGCAAGGGCGTGGTACATGGAAGACGCTTGCAGGCGGCCACAAAGTGTCTCGTGTAGCATCTATGACAGAGTCAGATTTGTTCCCCTGGCCTTATATATGTAGCCGCAGTCGGCCGAACGGATCTAAGAAGCACGTGCATTTACATACCAGCATTAGGATTGTTTGCAGCGTCGTGATACTCGTGTCCTCTATGATGTCGGACAGCAAGATTTGCGCATCTCTGGCACATGAATCCATGTCAACATATGGTGCTCCATTCGCATTTGGACAATGGGAGCTAGCCAAGGAGACGAAGGCGAGGACGCAGGCTTTTGCGGTAACACGCTCAAGCGGAGGTTCCATCTCGTCTGGACTGTATGCCAGCCGTATCGTCTCTTCAAAGAGAACCGGGTTCATGAGTGGAAAGGCCAGACTGAATTCTGAGTTTGTAAATGCAGACACAAGACCATGGACGATCCATTTGTCCGGAAGGCCAGGCTGCTTTACTTGAGCCTGGACTGACACAAAGGTCGGGACAATATCAGACCCTGAGAAATGGGATCGAGGTGTATTGCCAGAAAATAGATGGCGAAACCTGGGTTCTTGTCCGCATCTTTCTCGTATCCATTGCTCACAATGGGGGGTTAGATGAGGGATGCCGTTGCGAGGGCAAATGGCACCAAAGTTTTGACCTCCAAAGTAGATGTTGCCAAGGGGGGCGATGCCAAGACGTCTTTGAGGATTGGTGGCTGCAGATTCTCCTCGACAGAACAGGCAAGCCGGATACGCCTTGAGCTTGGATGCCGGCCCTGCAATGGTCAAGAACTGAGATTCGGATGGAGAGGACGATGACTGATGTTCTGAAGACTGGAAACCATCGGAAAGAACATGGCGGTGGGACGAGTCGTTGTCCTTTGGAAAGCTTTTCTGTCCTTCCAGAACATCCCCTTTCCTGGAACGGTATGAGCAATTGCGAACATGGGTCACATCAGTACGCCGCAAAGGGACAGAGACACTACTCTTACAGTTTTCTCTTGCGACCGCGGACCCGGTTAAATGTACAGGGAAGGCTGTGGTGTAGACACCAGTCGCATTGCGATGCCGTTTCAGATACATCACATTGTATCTGCAGACACCAACACGGCCGCGTTAGCTTCACTGGGCTCGGAGAGCAAGGGATTTAAATGGCAGACGCTCTGCATGGGGTCTCGCACCTTGCGCTTATGGCACGAATCACAAGCTGGCCGTCGTTTGTTCACCATGCCGGAGGACATGGAGATGGCCGGCCCCTCTGGAGCGTACAGTAATCGGAAGGAGACTTTCTGTCTCCCAGGTTCGCAGGATCAGACCTGAAAACTGCACCAGCTGCACAATAAAGGACGTTGTCGCTTCATGGGCCGCGTCGACGCAGCGCCGCTTACATATCGCATCAGACACTGGTCGGAGACGGTATCGATAGCCTAATTAGTCGGGCTTAGCAAGCATCCGAAGGCCGCAGAAGATAAGATGGGCGCTGGTTTGACTCATAAGCTGACGACGAGGCTGCCGGAAGCGTTGACGCAATGTGATGAATTCTGTCAAGGTTGCTCGAAAGGCCGAATAGGCCGAGTTGGAGTCGAGCCCATGTCTGATTGGCTGGGCTGAATACACGATACCGCTGAGTAAGCGGCTCTGCGTTCCCGGCATTTTGTCTATTGGCTCAAGGTTCTCCGTATGGAGCCAACGCCGTGCAACTAGCCGTGCAACTAGGCGCCCGAAACAAAGTGGACGAGCCACGGATGTATAGACAAAGGAAGGCGGCCACGTTTTGGGGTGCAGTCTGGAGCAGATTCGTCTCAACTTGGCAGGGCAACACCGAACAGACAAGACAGCCCTGTGGCCGCCACCCTGGCAGCCGTCTCGTCCATAGCTTACTAAGCCGTGTGACCATGTTCTCAGGTCGGGGACGAAACGCAACTCCAACGTCGCCCATGTGCCATCAATGGCAAAACAGCGCCCCCAACATACTCAATCCCCACACAACGACGTGACTAAGCGGCAACTTGCGATGGACAACAAGGCCACCGAGTTGTCCGAAAGCGAAAGCGTGGAGAACCGAGATCCACTTGGCGGCCGCCGAATCCTTGCGGCTCCTTGCCGTACGACACGACAAAGCCCGATAGGGCGAGGTTTGCATGCTACATCAGATTCAGACCGTCATAGTTTATCTCGGGCAAGCTTGGTTCGCCTGGCCAGTGCGGACATGGCGAGAAAAACTAACTTGATTGCAAATCTCGGACCAATCCGAAATACCGAGCCGGGGGTTGTGCCCCGATCCTGTCGAGATACATATATATAGCCTGTACGCTGGAGCCCATGTGAATATTCCTGTAGTGCTTCTTCATTTTTGGTTTGAATTTCTTCCTTGTCAGGCGCCGGTGTGTTTTCTCACACTTTGGTTCTAGTCTGGCAACCGCCACTATAATTCACCATGTCCGCCGACGACACCAGGACTCTCGCCAACGATGGCTTTCCTGATGGAGAGGACAAGGCCCTGCCCACTACGCAAGAATGGGCCATGAAACCCAATGTTGCCAAATTCCATGAGAGAAACCAGGCCTCCGGCTTCCCCCGTCGTGAACTCGGCGTCACCTGGACGGACTTGACGATCAAGGCACGAAGCGCGGAATCCGCTCTGCACGAAAATGTCGTGTCGCAGTTCAACATTCCCAAACTCATCCAAGAGTCGAGACGCGAGACGCCCCTCAAGACAATATTGGACGCTTCACATGGCTGTGTAAAGCCAGGCGAGATGTTGCTCGTCCTCGGCCGCCCTGGATCCGGATGCACCACCTTGCTCAACCTCCTGACCAACAAAAGACGCGGCTACGAGCACATATCCGGGGACGTCTTCTACGGGTCCATGAAGGCCAGCGACGCCAAAAAGTACAGAGGCCAGATTGTCATGAACACAGAAGAGGAAGTCTTCTTCCCTACACTCACCGTGGGCCAATCCATGGATTTTGCAACTCGGCTGAAAACACCATTCAACCTGCCCAACGGGGTGAGCGACAAGGAGGACCATCGTGCAGAGACCAAGGAGTTCCTGCTAAAGTCCATGGGCATCGAGCACACATTCGACACAAAGGTCGGCGATGCGTTTGTGCGTGGCGTTTCCGGCGGTGAGAGGAAGCGCGTTTCCATCATTGAGTGCCTTGCCTCCAGGGGCAGTGTGTTTTGCTGGGACAATTCGACCAGAGGCCTGGATGCCAGCACGTAAGTAGAATCCCTCCCGTTTGGCGTCTCGACCAGCTAACGCGTGTACTCTCCAGTGCTCTAGAGTATACCAAGGCGATTCGTGCCATGACCGACGTCCTTGGCCTCGCATCCATCGTTACCCTGTACCAGGCCGGCAACGGCATTTACCAGCTCTTTGACAAGGTGCTGGTACTGGACGAAGGCAAAGAGATTTACTACGGACCAATGAGGGAGGCACGCCCTTTCATGGAGGAACTGGGCTTCATCTGCGACGACGGCGCCAATGTGGCCGACTTCCTGACCGGCGTCACCGTCCCCACGGAGCGCAAGATCCGTGGCGATATGCGGCACAAGTTTCCCCGGACGGCGGCCGACATACGCGCTCGCTATGAGGAGACGCAAATCTACAGCCGGATGAAGGCCGAGTACGACTTTCCCACCTCGGCCGGCGCAAAGGAGAAGACGGAGCTGTTCCAGCAGGCCATCCACTTGGACAAGGAAAAGGGGCTGCCCAAGAACAGCCCCATGACGGTTGGCTTTCTTGGACAGGTCAGGGCCTGCATCATCCGGCAGTACCAAATCCTCTGGGGAGACAAGGCCACATTCATCATCAAGCAGGTTTCCACCATTGTGCAGGCTCTCATCGCCGGGTCTCTGTTTTACAACGCGCCCGCGTCCTCGGCGGGCTTGTTTGTCAAGTCGGGCGCGTGCTTCTTTGCCTTGCTCTTCAACAGTCTGTTGTCCATGTCGGAAGTTACAGAGTCGTTTAGCGGACGGCCGGTTCTTCTCAAGCACAAGTCGTTTGCCTTCTTTCACCCCGCGGCCTTTTGTATCGCGCAGATTGCCGCCGACGTGCCCGTCATTCTCTTCCAGGTCTCCGCCTTCTCCCTCATCCTGTACTTTATGGTTGGTCTGACCATGGACGCGGGCATCTTCTTCACTTTCTGGATCATCGTGGTTGCCACTACTTTTGTGAGTGTTCCTCTGACCAATGTCCGACGCTCGAGCTCGCTAACAGTGTTTTGCTAAAGTGCATGACGGCCTTGTTCAGGTCCATCGGCGCCGGGTTCAGCACGTTTGACGCGGCTTCCAAGGTTTCCGGGTTCCTCATCACCGCGTGCATCATGTACACGGGATACATGATTCAGAAGCCCCAAATGCACCCCTGGTTCGTGTGGCTCTTCTGGATCGATCCTCTGGCCTATGCGTTCGACGCTCTGCTGTCAAACGAGTTCCACGGGAAAAGGATCGATTGCGTCGCCAACAACCTCATCCCCAGCGGGCCCGGCTTTACCAGTGGCGAGAATCAAGCGTGCGCTGGCGTCGGCGGCGCTGTACCCGGCCAGAGTTTTGTCGATGGTGATGCGTACCTCGCGTCGCTGTCATATAGCCATTCGCACCTGTGGCGAAACTTTGGCATCGTCTGGGCGTGGTGGGCGCTCTTCGTCTTCATCACCATTGTGATGACGAGCCGGTGGCGCTCGTCCTCTGAAGCCGGCCCGAGTCTCTTCATCCCCAGAGACACGGCCAAGGCGTACAAGGTCGGCCAGAAAAAGAGGGAAAAGGACGAGGAGGGCCAAGGACAAGTCTCAGACGCCGTTGTCTCGAGCGCATCTTTGAGCGACGAAAGAACAGAAGCAGAAGACGAAGGGCCGACAAATCTTGTGCGCAACACGTCCGTCTTCACTTGGAAGAATCTGTCGTACACGGTCAAAACGCCATCTGGCGATCGACTGCTCTTGGACAATGTACAGGGTTGGGTCAAGCCCGGAAACCTCACCGCTCTGATGGGTTCCTCCGGCGCGGGAAAGACGACGCTGCTGGATGTCTTGGCTCAGAGAAAGACAGAGGGAACCATCCACGGATCCATCTTGGTCGACGGAAGACCCCTTCCGGTATCCTTCCAGCGATCGGCGGGCTACTGCGAACAGCTCGATGTGCACGAATCCCACGCGACTGTCCGCGAGGCGCTGCAGTTTTCCGCCCTGCTCCGACAGAGCCGCGAGACGCCGCGGAGAGAGAAGCTTGCCTACGTGGACACCATCATCGACCTCCTCGAGCTCCACGATTTGGCAGACACGCTGATCGGCGAGGTCGGCGCGGGCTTGAGCGTCGAGCAGCGCAAGCGCGTGACGATTGGCGTTGAGCTTGTGGCCAAGCCCAGCATCCTGCTCTTCCTGGACGAGCCTACCTCGGGCCTTGACGGGCAATCTGCCTACCACACGGTTCGTTTCCTGCGCAAGCTCGCCGCGGTCGGCCAGGCGGTGCTGGTCACGATCCACCAGCCTTCTGCCGTGCTCTTTTCCCAGTTCGACACGCTCCTGCTTCTGGCCAAGGGCGGCAAAACCGTCTACTTTGGCGACATTGGCGAGCAGGCCTCCGTCATCAAGGAGTACTTCGGGCGTTACGGCGCCCCCTGCCCGCCCGGGGCCAACCCGGCCGAGCACATGATTGACGTCGTCTCGGGGGTGCTCTCGCAGGGCAAGAACTGGAGCGACATATGGCTCGCCTCGCCCGAGTACGAAAAGATGACGGCCGAGCTGGACGGCATCATTGAGAAGGCGGCCGCGTCCCCCCCCGGGACCGTCGACGACGGCCACGAGTTCGCCACGCCCATGTGGGAGCAGATCAAGCTGGTGACGCACCGGATGAACGTGTCGCTGTACCGCAACACAGACTACGTCAACAACAAGTTTGCGCTGCACATCTTCTCGGCCCTGTTCAACGGCTTCTCCTTCTGGATGGTGGGCGACTCGGTGGGCGACCTGCAGCTGAAGCTCTTCACCATCTTCAACTTCATCTTCGTGGCGCCGGGCGTGCTGGCCCAGCTGCAGCCGCTCTTCATCCACCGCCGCGACATCTTCGAGGCGCGCGAGAAAAAGTCCAAAATGTACTCGTGGGTCGCCTTTGTCACGGGCCTCATCGTCTCCGAGATCCCGTACCTCATCATCTGCGGCGTGCTCTACTTTGTGTGCTGGTACTACACGGTCGGGTTCCCGGCCAACTCGCAGCGCGCCGGCGCCACCTTCTTCGTCATGCTCATGTACGAGTTCCTGTACACGGGCATGGGGCAGTTCATTGCCGCCTACGCGCCCAACGAGGTCTTTGCCACGCTGGTGAACCCGCTGCTGATTGGAACCCTCGTCTCCTTCTGCGGCGTCCTCGTGCCGTACTCGCAGATCCAGCCCTTCTGGCGGTACTGGATGTACTACCTCAATCCGTTCAACTACCTCATGGGCAGTCTGCTCGTGTTTGACCTCTGGGGGAGCAAGGTGACGTGCTCGTCGAGGGAGCTCGCCACCTTTGACCCGGTCAACGGCACCACGTGCGGCGAGTACCTGAGGGATTACCTGGCCGAAGGGCCGGGCAGCGTGGCCAACCTTCTCAATCCGGAGGCGACGAGTTCCTGCAAAGTGTGTTCGTATACCGAGGCGCAGGATTACCTGAGGACGCTCAACCTCAACGAGTACTATTTCGGGTGGCGGGATGCGGCTATTGTCGTGCTCATGGTGTTTAGCTCGTATGCCATGGTGTACGCGTTGATGAAGCTGAGGACCAAGACGTCCAAGAAGGCCGAGTAGTTTGGTTGTTGCTGTTTGTCGGCGGCGGGCGCAGTCGTTTGTTTAGTAATTTCGTGGCACAACATTGCTGACAATTTTCTTTTTTTGTTTTTCATTTTTTTTTTCAGGGTTTGGAATCAAAGAGGTCGCTTGACTGCATATTTGGCAAGGCATAAATTTCTTATTGTATAATCGCCCAAGGGGCTACTAGATATCGGAGAGTAGATTTTCAAGAAATGGTTGTAAGGGATGCAACATTATAAACAAAGGCCGTTATGGCGTATGCTGCAAGTGACTGCCGACTGACTCTGGCTGCAACAAGCAACCGGGGGTATTAGACATGATTCGGAATGAGCTAAAAGACAAATGACGGCAGCGGGCGGCAAAATCGAAATTTTGAGTGAGAAGCCTGATTTGGCATGAGCCGTTGCACGGTGTAGATGTATTGCCAGATGCGCCGTGGAATACGACCACAAGGAAAGCGTCTGGTGGCCAACAGGCGCTGAGGTCCAGCATTAGATGTGACTAGCATCGGATCAGCCAGATGTTTGCTGTTGACCACCGGCAGCTTGAAACAGTAACAGAGTGACAATTTCTTTGTTGGACCGGGAAGCGGGGAGCGTTAATAAGGCTCGACTTGAATGTACATACTGATGCTGCTGCAGCAATCTCACCACGTAACATCTCTTTGTGCTTGCGGAGCATTTTAGCACCGACTTGCGTTTTGATCAAACAAGTGACATCAACTTGACTCTTCAACTCTAGCTCTTGCGCATCCCGAAGCACGCCCTGCCATCTTTTCTTTCGGTCGGCGTGCCACCAGGCCAGCAGGTGGCCCCAGCCGATTCAAAGTCTGCCCCGAAGAATCTGGACCGCCATTAATTGCCGGTCCCTTTGTACGTAGCTGGGATGACGAAGATGAGTGCCGCGCCAAGAGATTCAATGTTGCGCAAAGACGTTCGATCGGGGGCCGCTAAACGCGCAGCGGTCAGTTTTTTTATCGCGCAGCGGTCCCAATCCGAATCGGGTCAGGTATTTACCCATGTAATTTTCGCTATAAAAATACATGTGAAATTTTTCACCTATAGCTACATGTAGTTAAAAGAGAAAAAAGTCCGGCGTGGTCGGGACTTGAACCGGGCAGATGCGTTGATTGCTTCAAATAACACACATCTCAAGCTCTCGCAGACCTCAAAAAACGCACTTTTAACTGTAAATCACACATATATTAAGACGGGCACTGACAAGGCCGTGAAATTGAATACTAGATTGACGCGAGCCACACTAAATTTATATGAGTGGAGCGTCAATCTGACCAGTTGACCCGATTAGGTTTGGGAGCGCTGCGCAGTCATAAACCAACTGCCGCGCGTTGAGTTGCCCATCGATCAGACTTGTGCCACCGAGCCTGACAGGTCGGCACGCTCCCGAGTTGAAGCCGCCTGGAACGACAACAAGGACCAGACTCTACCGTGGTCTCATTGCTTATCCTCTAGTTGGGACGAGTGTCGCTGCCGAGTGCGTCAGAGCGGTCCGCCCATCCTCTGCAAGGGCAGTCTAGGCAAGGGACAAAGCAGACCGGACGCAAGGGTTTCCTTTGCCGTTTGGGCTGCTTTGCGGACCAATAGACCCGGTGGCGAAGAACGTGGTTGCATCAATGATGTCTGGTGAGTTTGCACGGCCAGGTCCCCAGTTTATTTCTGGTTTACTGTCGAGTACGTCCCAGGACAACTCGGACATCAGACGGCGCCAGAAGTGACATGGCAGGCGTCTAGAAATAAGGCCTTCATATACGCCGCAGTTCAAGTTATTTACGGCTGCAACCTCGCGCAACCACCCACTACATCAATAGACGAACAACAGTGGAGCAAGTGACTTGAGGAAAATGTTGTCGCCTATTGACTCTAAAAGACTGGCTCAGAGGCCAAGACCGAGCCATGACTCGGCCCCTCGTGTCCGCGCCTCAACCTCACCGTTGCGCATTGATCTCAGGCGTGTCCAGCCCCGTCAACACAGCTCCCAGCCATCTTTGCCCGAGTTAGCGTACATATAGTCTTAATGCCAAGAAAGTCGCCTCGTATTATTATTCACGTACTTTTCGTATCAGTGACAGATGAAAGCACAGCAGTTTAGGTAGGATACCGGGTCATAGTGTAGCATAAAACATCTTGTTCTCGTAACGCTTGGCATGCTAGAAAGCTATATGTACAAGGGTCAAAGAGTTGACACCAACCTGCCAGAGGCGGGCAACTACATGCATCAAAATAGAAGAGTAACCCCCCGCTTGTGCTCCAACGCCATTGTCCAAACCCCTCGGGGGTGTAAGTGAGCCTCCCAGTATCCATGGCTGCAAGCAAAAATCGTATACACATCGCCAGCCAAAATGCCACGGCACCTCTGTTCCTTTTGTCCATACCCAACAAGCCCGCCCGTCGGTACAAGTACATATTGTGCAAGGGTTCCCAAGGGGCCAGCTTTATACATGGCAAGGGGTCACGCCGGAGTTCCAGCCGGAAAGCCGGTTCGCAATGTCGGTCGAGTAGCAGTTCGTAGCGCCGATACCCAGCTGCAGAGCCCCCCCGGCGGCGACTCTCCCCGAGTTGTATATGCGGGCGGCCCTGTAGAACTGGCCCTCGCCGGGGCCCGCCTGGACCAGGACCTGCTTGAGCCCGTCGCCGCTGGGCGTGCCGAGGGTGCCGTCCTTGATCATGCCTTCGATCTCGTCCTTGGAGCACGTGGACTTGTTGTAGCACGTATGGGGCCCCATGTGCGACTGCATCAGGCCTGGGTTTTTGACGCCGTTGGCGGTAGACCCGACGCGCACGCAGCCGTTGGATTCCTGCATGACAATGGCGAGGATGAAGCGGGGGTCGACGCCGCCGGATTGGCCGACCGACTCGATGGCCGACTTGAGCTCGGCCGTTTCCTCCTCCGAGTTTGGTTGGAAGTTCTGCCAGTTACAACCCGTCTTGATGAAGGGTAGGTTGATGGTCCAGAGGGCTTCAAAGGACGGCCACTTGGACTCGGTGGGCCAGCCGTCGGCAGGACTGCCGTTGCCGAGATACAGCTTGTAAGGGGCAGGGCTGCTGGGGGCAGGTCCTGCGCCCGAGGACGGCGCGGGAGCTGCAGCTGACGATGGCGCAGGAGCTGCAGCTGACGATGGTGCGGGAGCTGGACCCGATGACGGCACTGGAGCTGCAGCTGAAGATGGCACTGGAGCCGAGTCCGAAGATGGCGCGGGAGCTGGAGCTGAAGATGGCACTGGAGCGGGATCCGACGATGGCGCGGGAGCTGCTACGGGCGACGAACTGGGGACCAAGGAAGAGCCAGCAGGAGGAGCACTGGTCGGGACGGCCGCAGACACGCTGGCCGTCTGCGCCGGAGTCCCCTCGGGGGCGGGAGCCGAAGTCAGCGGTGCCGTCGGCGAGGCACCAGGGGCAGGGGCACTCGCCAAAGTTCCATTCGTGCTGGTGATGCTGCACTCGGAGCCAGAGCAGACGCACTGCGTCCCTTCGGAGACGTTCATCCACTGGGGCGTGCTGTCCGCGGCGACGCAGAGCGCAAACTGCGTGGTGCCATTGCACATGAGGGCGCCGGGGGTGCACGCCCGAGCCCAGAGATGATCCGCGACGGGGTACGCGGCAGCGGAGGCGGCGAGACCAGCCAGGGTCGCCAAGGTAGTCGTCTTCATATTGTCGATGTCGCTACAAGATGATGATATTTCAGAAACGATGGACGAGAGCTCTTCCAGAGAGCAAAAAACGGTAAAAGTAACAGAAAAGGATTGGAAACGGATCGACGCTGCGCTGCCGTCAGAGGCAAGGGAATGTGTACGACTATAAAAGTCCAAATGTCGTCTTGTCGAAAAGGAGAGTGAGCAGAGGCAGCGACCTGCGCAGAGCGTTTGAAAGAGAGGGAGTGAAGATGGCACTCGGAACCCCGGCACCGGTACAAAGAAGCAGCAAGCGTGACGATTTCGCCGTGAAGGACAAACATGGCACGTCGGACATTGTGCTCCCTATATACACAGCCGTAGACCAGACGAACGGTACCCCCTTTTTTTCTCTTTTTTTTTTCCTCATGTTCACTCGGCGTTGAGCCCCGTCCAGCATCCCGGCAAGATCGTATGTCGGCCTGAAACTCACGGGGCCGTCGGGGCAAGACTAGATGCCCTTTTGGACAAGAGGGCAAATGTTTGGACCAATTGCCCGCCGAACCTGGCGGGCGGTTTGCGAAGACCCCGGCTCGATCGGCCGGGGACTGTGCGCCACCGCCAAATCGTTGGACGACGTGGTTTTTGGCCAGGGCGCACATGTGCCGCATGCCGCTTGTGATGCGGGACTGTTCATTGACGGGCGGACAAAAAGACGCATACATACAAGGGCACATGTACGTACGACATAGATCCATCGCCAGGGGTGGTAAGCGAGGGACCTGGTGTTCAATGTTGCCACTGGCTGGCTCTGCCCCGTTGTGCTCCCTTGCAGACCAGTTGACTCGCAAAAAAAGGCGGCGCGGGAAAAAGCATACGATGCCATAGCCAGTTCGCGAGAGCTTCCAGATGTCTCTTTTGCCCACATAGTCATGTTCCGGCAAGGTCGCCTGCGTACGTGTGCCTTGTCGGCAAATACCAGCTGAACTCGCTGGCATCTTGCTCCTTCACCTCGCTCTTTGCCATTCATGGCCCTTTGCTCCGCAGGCACATGATGGGAACGTGCGCGCCCTCTCGAGTCTCGACATGCAAGGCGGGCATTGTCTCCCTCACCTTGTTGCCACCGCGTGCGCATCCACGATTGTCTCGTGCATGCGAGCGATTGTGTAACCGTCTCACAATGTCTCTTTGCCGGCACAATCCGTCACATGATAGCGATGCTTCATGCGGGGGCGCATCAAAGGCAAGCATCGCAGCCCTCGCTTTTCCCGCTCCTTTGTCACATTGACTAGCGTGAAGAAACGCGGCAGTGAAGACGTGCCGGTGCGCGACGCGCAGCATCGAGACAAAGCGTCTGGTGTTGACGCCGAGTCCATCGCTTATTTAAATGACGCGCTCGCCATTCCATGTCCTTTTCGTGTCGTCTTCCTTTAACGTTGAACCGTTGCACGCCCAGCATTCACTGACTCAACTTGTGAACATTTGAACAGAGCCTTTGTCTTGCCCCCTCTGCATGGTAGTCACCCTACATTGACATCATCAGTTTTGCAATCTGCATGTACATGCGCATCACTGCACATTTCACACACAATCACCCAAGTCGGAATTTCCAACATCATCCAGGTCGCACGCCGTCTTTCTCTACATGCTATGAACGGAGCACAATGACGATTCTTTCACGTTTTCTTTCACGACACTTCCCGGCCAGATACGAGCAACGGTCGCGTGTACCGCGAGTCTGACCATGGCCCAGCCTTCAAGGCGTCCGTCCCCAAGACACGACGAGAGCCTCACCTCTGCGCATGTCAAGCACAATGCTCACCGTGGCGGGATGCCCTGTTCCTTGAGCAGCCTCACTAACAAGAGTTGGAACGAAACCCGCCGCACAATACCGAGGGAATCATGTTTTGCCTACAAAGCGCCGCTTGGCCGCTGCACACGTCGCTGCGCTTGCCTCTTGTCCCGCTGGAAAGATTCGGTCCTCGACATGACGTTCCTCCACGATGGTGTAGGCCGTTTCTGTCATTGTCAGCACGAATGGGGGAATGCAACCGAGTAGCCACCGTGCATACGGAACGCTTGGCTTGCATCGCCGCCATATTGCTCCTTCACACTGGCCTCTCGCCGCGACGACTGTTGTCGTTCTCACCAAAGGTTCGTAGTCGTCCTTGTTGTCGCCATCTTGGCCGTCTCCCAAAGACAAAACTGTATTCCAGATTTCGTGCCACTCTCTCAGCTGTTGAACTGTCGTCTGCTTCTTACTCCCTGTAGGCTTGTCGCTGCCCTGGTCGACTTTGGCCTCCAAGGCTGCGGCCTTGTCCAGTCATTTGTTCAACTCCTTCATAACCCCTGGTCCGTCTTTGAACACTCTCTTCTCTATACCCAGCTCGAGGGTCGTCGCCGAACCTTCCATACACTTGCTCCCAAAGGCTCTGATTTGGCACTTGATTCAGCAGCATTACGCAACTTGGTTGCACGTAGTGAGAGCTTTCGTTTGATCTGATGGTACTACTTGAGCCAACTGCTTATTGAATGCTTGTTTTACGATGCGAGTCTTGTGTGACTGTGGCACCATCTCTCTTTGCTCTGTCGCACCTTGTGCAGTACAGATTTCCAGGCAACACAAAGAACTACATGCAATAGCAATGCTCGAGGCAATAGTATGGATTTAAACAAAGTGGCGGAACTTACGGCATGCATGTCATGTTCACTACCCTATGCCATGCCACAACAATGACGTTGTCGTTGTGATTGCGAACGACAATGGTACTTGCTCGTGAATCCATGATTGACATGATTATAACGTCTTGTGCGAGCGTGTTAATCTCACCCCGACAACTACTCTTTTTTTATTTTATTTTTTTAGAAACCCTTGGTACAGTCAACACGGACAGCAGAGACACCGATATCATGACTCGTATCAAAAAGAAACAGGTGCACTTTACGAAGATGCGATGCATTACGGAGTACTCAGCTCAGCTATCCAGGCGCCATGTTGAGAGTCCACTATGCTGTCAACACTGGTCTCTATTACTTGACTGGCCTTCTCACATTTTAGCTCTGCGAACCCTGTTCAAGTCAAACCAGGAATATTGTGTGTGGAAAACAAATGTGGACAGGGGATCCCAGATTATCTACCAACTGTTTAACCTGCGATTCGACAAGAGCATGATAAATGGAATCGAATCGCTGGTTCACAAGGCTGAAACCGGGCACTAGTCGCCTAATCGGGCATCATGGTTTCTTGGCCTCGTATTTGCCTTTGCCCGAATCGCATCATGGCTCCGCTGGCATTGGCAATTCAATAAACACGAATCTCCACCTTGTCAACCATGCGTTTGCAAAGTCAAGAGCGACAAAAGTTGCTGCGAGAGGCGCACCAAGCTTTCTTCACTCGGAATTTCGCCTCGCCACATGGATTGCCACGCTCTTACACAATTGCAAGGCTGTAGGTGAACGCTCAGAGAAAATTGAGAGCATTTGCATCCATGTTGGCGCTTGAAAGGGGCGGAGCAACTCCACCTCGTATTCGTGAATCTCACCAAGAGAAGCAGCAGACTCGGATATTGGGTATAATGACAGAGGCAGCCCTCATGCTATTAGCTTTGATCATGCTTACTGGAGTTGCTTTAGCCACGTAGTAGCTCTCCTGTCGAAAAACAGCAAGAAAAGTTTGGTGTCTGCAGAAACTGGTGCCTGTATAATGAAACCTGTCATCTATAGGACAATATTTGGAATCGCATTTCTAGCATGGCGCGAGATTAACGCCTGTTTGGGTCAATGGCCACGTCGCATTGATCTTTTCGCAACTCATTCGGCCTTGACCGACTACAATGCAACTTAGGCTCTATAAGCGCTTAATGTTTGAATACCTTGTTTAAAGGCATTTATCCCCATGCTCATAGGATTCTGTGCTATGTACCCTGTACCGGCAGTCGCGATAATCACGTGCAATTATTCCCATTTGTGAGATAGGCCATGTCTTCTTTTTCGTTTTGCTTGTTTTCGTAGTTTTTTAAATTCAGGACTCAGATATCGATATATAGAGTCTTAATTCACATTTGACTACATAATATCCAAACCGGTTGTGACACGGGCCGGGTAACTGCGCATGCGAATGGATGTTTAATTCAAACTATAACAATCGACTTTCCGGTATCAAAGGCCCTTGGTTTATCACGCCCTTGGCTTGTCAGAAGGCCTTAGAGGACAACAGGTCTCTATAAATACAACAAGTCGGTGAAGGCTAGTGCCTGAGACAGCCCTCGCGTAAGGCCGACTTTGGGCATCGTCATCTCATCTTGTGGTTGTGTAACCGTTGTGAGCCAACCGTGGGACGCTTGTGGTATAATTCATTTCAAAAATAAATTGGCTGGTATGACTAGCAATTTAATTGACATGTCGCCAATAGGCTCGTAGTTCCTCGTGGACATATGCCATGCTGTATGTACAAATGATACAATATAAAATTAAAAGGCAGAGCTCATCACAAGCCATGCAGTACGGTGTGATGAGTCTTACAGTGGCCCTTGGACGCGTGATGCTCTCAGTAAAGTAGTGGCACGTTTGTTGTAAACGTGTAGGAATAAAACAAGCAACTTGCACTCATTCGTCCTAACCATTTGGACACCGATATACTCGTATGCCTCAATCGATAGCTTCGACGAGTCCTGTCGTGGTTTCCCGACAGTAAGAAATATTTGAACCATCTAACCAGTATACCCGCAATAGATACACTCACAAACCTAGTTTCGTCGCAGAACTGGAACCGGATAAATCAACATGGACCGTACACAACCCTACCTGCTGTTAGACAATCTACAGGAAAAGATTTCTCACCCCAAAGGGGAAAAGGAAACCTGTTGCAATTCGGATTCCCACTCAGCCGCCTCAAAATTGTCCAAACCGCAGCCATATGCAAGACGGGTTTTCTACTATCATTGTGAAAATATACAAGACATTGGCTGGTGCATACTTTGGCCAACCAGAAGAGCACCACGTTGCGTAATATTGCCAGCTGAAGTGTCAGTGGACATGTAAATGTAAGGCTTACGGCTATGTACGTAATTGATCAATGACAACTTGCATCTCACCGAGCCCAGCATGCAGATGGTAGGGTTACACAAACAGCCCCCATCTTGGGACCAAGCCAACAGCTGCCCTTGTGTCAGCACCTTCATGCAGACGATGGGAAATGGGGACAAAGATTTGTGAAGAAGGATTTTTTTTCCTCTAATAAATGCCGCGCTTAATGCGGCTCGCGTAGTAGCTGGTCGAGCGGCCATTTTTACCTCAATCCTTGAACCAGCATTCCACTCAAGGCTCATAGTTGGCTACAGCGACAGAGACGCGACCGATGACTATCATGGCAACGAAGGAGCCTCGAGAGGCCGTGCCGTACCTTGTCACTCTTACCGTTACACGCGACGGGCGCACAAGATACACCACCATCTTCCTCGGCCCGCAAACAACCACCCCCTCGGGCTCGGAATCTACAACACTTGAGCAGACGACGGCCACAAACCAAGTACCGATGCCTACTACCGGTGGAGACAACACGGCTGTGACGGCGCTCATTGTTTTTGGCGTCTTTCTCGCCGTTGGCCTGATTTTGACGCTGTTATGGTGGTGCTGCTTGCCCCGGCGCCGACGGCACCAGAGTACAACTACCTCGACATCAAGCAGCAATTCTGAGAGACATATCGAGGACGACTACCCGCCATATCCACCGTATGCGCCACGTCAACCATATCCAACACATGCTCGGCATCCCCCAAACCCTCCGGTATCGCCTCTGGAATCCATAGTCCCCGATGGGTCTGACAGGATTGGCAGAATCTACGATCCACACCAGAACGGTTAATGTTTCTTGCGATTTTGAGACAAGACAGACTTTTCTTCGTGGGGAAATGGGCTCTAAGCGGGGGGAACAGCATTCACAGTCGCTTGAACAGTCCCCGGCCCTTGCTGCCTTGCCTTGGCTCTGTTATCAATATAAAAGGGTACTCTAGCTGAGCACTTTGGTGCTACCTACATTTGTTGACATCCATCGCCTTCAAATCACTGGTGCAATGGAGTATTTTTGTCTCGAGCCGAGATCCTTTGGCCCATCACTTCTCATGTATATACTTGCCGTCAATCTTGCCATCCCGCCTTTGCAACTGCCGCGCCTCGTCCCGTAGAATAACACCACAAACCGCATGTAGACAAGTATCGAAAAAGCTCCATTTCGAAAAGTCTTACCCCGTTTTTCCACACCCCATCAGCGGGGAGACCACACGACCGTTCCTGTTCCGTACGCCGAACTAGACGTCGATGACGATGGTGCCATTGTGCTAGACCACGGTTCCGACATCCTTCTCTGCGGCGGAATACGATGCTCGACTTGAGCCCTTGCAGTTCCCTCCCGGTTATTGACTGGTGAGGTGCAACCTCGCTCTTGGCCTCGCCGATGCTGCTTCCGCGAAGAGCCGTGGCTTTTTTGAGCTGCCCTTGAGGGTCCGTGGTATGAATCATCACTCGAAGAAGGAGAACAACTATTCCCCTGAGTGTAGTTTCTGCGCTGGGCGGGAGGTGACGACGGGGCTTTCTTGACGCTTTTCCAGAGATAGTCTCCAAACCGCGAGAGAGCCCCTTCGTCCCGTTTCCTAGCCTTTGTTTTTCTCGTCCTCGACGTCCCTTGACCCTTGGACGGGGCGGCATGGCGTGCAGGCGGCGCGGCACCACCTCCGGGCAAGGACGGCTCGTGTGGTGCTTCATCTACACGAAACAGTGATGCGATTCTTTCACAGTCTAGTTTGTGCTGGATCCTAATTGTTCCCGGCTCTGTTGTGCTGTCCGAAGCCTCTCCTTCGCTTTCGCATACTTGGGAATCGCTGCATGTCTCCGAGGTCAAGTCGTAGAGTTCTAATTCGCCGTCATCAGACTCGGCCGTGGTGTACGAAGCGGTTTCTGGACTGGGTGTATCGTAGACTAGGACCAGAGGCTTCACGACGGACAGGTCGCCCCCCTCACCGGGCTGTAGTCGCCTGACACCGGGGAAAAGACAGCAAAGTAAGCCCTGGGCATCATCTTCGCTGTTGATATCAAGCCAATTTGTGGCGCTTTTCAGATCCCACTGCGCTAGTTCTTCTTTATACAGCGGTTTTCCACATGTGATGTTTGGAGTTTCGAGAGAGTACTGGTGGCGAGAACAGGCCATTCGTTGATACAGATCCGCGGCAGACTTGACGATACACTCTCCAAGGCTCGGAAGAAATCCCGAAAAAAGATTGGGATTTTCCTCGAGTCCTAGGTATCTCAATAGAGATTCGGATAGCTCTCCGAGTGCCCTCCCCGTCTGTTCGCTTCTGCTCCTTTGTGCGGTATCCGTTCCAACAAGTGCGGCCAACGTCGTCGATCTCCAGCGGTTAGCTACTATGAGGTCAAAGTATCAGGTCAGATGGTGGGATTTGGCACAGATCAGGCAGTGAGGCATACAGTCTTTGTCAGCGCCGGCTTCTATACTATTCATAATCTCTTCAAAGATCAAGTGCGTCGAGTCGGACATGCCGAGAGGAAGCCACATTTGGTAGTTGTCGTGGAAATCGCTTCGAAAAATGTTGGAACTTATGCAGTCCCAGATCTCTCTGGATAAAACAAACAATATGCACGTGTTGTTGTTGTGCTCCGCAAGCCATTTCATCCAATGCCTTTTTCCGGCCGACGGGTTGCGACTGAGTCGATCGAGAAGCGCGTCCTTGAAAGACCACCCTGGCTGTTCGTCGCTGAGGCGGCGATAGATGGCCTGGATGTAGCTGAAGATTGCATCTCGAAGTTGTAAGAAGCCAGATTGTATCTCAGTGTCTGTAATTTGGTTGCTGTCCAATACGCCTTGGGCCATCATCACTCGAGCCAAAAGCTCGCGATTCTTGCGTTCCAGCTGATTCATTTTGCTCACCGCTTCCGCTGGCCACTCCTCCCGGGACTCCATCCTTGGTCAAAAGCGGACGACTAGATAGTGCAAAGTCGTGACCAACCTTTTGAAAGTAGTGAAGCGGATTTGTCTCTCATGAGAACCACAGGGTGTCGACAAGAGAACAAAAGTCAGGTGGACAACCTTACCAAGGTCCCAAGAGATTTTCGGCCTAACACTACGGGAGTGATCAGAGGTACGAATGGCCAGAATCCAGTGAGACAATGACATGCAGTGTAACTACAGTCAACGTTTGCTGCAGATGATGTGTCAAACTCAGCCTGCCGCAATGTCTAGGGGCTAGTCCAGAAGAAGGGTGCAGTCGACTCATGGCGACTGACCAACACCACTTCCCTCACCGGTTTTGCAGGCTTGAGGCTGTTGCTTACATATGTATCCGGCATGGCTGCCTGGGAACACCGATGGGTGGTCAGCTTCGACAAGACCTTCAGCCGCAGCATCACTGGAGCCTCACTCTGAGGAGCGTTTGATTGACATATCTTGCCGAAGGATCCCAGCACATATCTTCCTCTTTTCGTGCTCACCTTTACGTCTATTCGTAAGTATATCACTTCTAAATGCTGGATTGCTCCGCGAGTTCCCTACGATGGAAAGGAGACCAGGTGTTCACAGTGCCAGTGAGACCGAGGAGAAGCCTATGAAATTTCTGATAGCAGTAGATTTTGGTAGGCTTTCCATGGCGTTCCCCTCTTAGTGACAATAGGAATGGAGTGCTGACAGGCCACAGGCACCACCTTTTCTGGCGTGGCTTATACACTCGTGAACGCCGGAGAGGTACGGCCCCGGTCAAGGAGGCAAACAAGGTCCATGCACGTCACTGACTCGATGACTAGCCTCAGAAAGAAAGTCTGGTCACGGACTGGGGAGAGGGGCTTACTGGTGATAAAGTCCCAAGGTGCGTTGCTCTATCCAGCCTCTCGACCTTGACTTGGAATATCATGAGTAATTCCATTGCAGCATCCTCAGATACGAACATGGCGCCACTGTCAACTCTGTATCCTGGGGTTTCGAAGCTGACCGAAGAAGAAAACCCGGGGAGAAAATACACGAATGGTTCAAACTGGGCCTTTGTCCAGAAATTGAGCATTCCCTTGCCCTCGGTTCCGATCTCTTGAGGAGGTACCCAAGCAAGACGGCTCTACCTCCACTGGACCCTGACCAATGCAAGAAACTGGTCATCAGGTATCTTCAGGGAGTCAAGTCTGCAATTGATCGGTTGTTTGAACAGCGAGTAGGGGAGATCTACAATCTGCCCCGAGAATACATCATTACCGTGCCTGCCATGTGGAGCCACGGGGCACAAGAAGCGATGCGGGAATGCGCAGCAGAGGCATTTCTAGGAGACCCTAGCGAGAAGGAAGAGCTTTCCATGATCGCGGAGCCCGAGGCAGCGGGGATATATGCTCTGTCTGAAATGTTTGACATTGGTCTCGAGGCTGGCGACACGTTTGTGATTTGCGATGCCGGTGGCGGGTACGTACGTGCCGTTCAGACACGGAGATTGGTTTCTAACATAGTGACAGCACTGTCGACTTGTCTTCGTATGAAATCTTGTCAAAGGACAGCTACATTGCTCTGAAGCGCGTCGCAGGCACCCCCGGCGAGCTTTGCGGCAGTTGTTTCATCAACAGAATCTTCGAAGACTATTTGATGAGTAGGAGCCAGCTACGACATATAGACTGGAACAGCAAGAACGGCCTGCAGCTTCTAAAGTCGGCCGTGGGCGACTTTGAACGAGGAATCAAGCCGCAGTTCACGGGGCTGAACACCAGTGGTGCACTGTACCTCAACACACCGTTTCCCAGCGCTGGTCCTCGGGGTGCCGAGTTTACACTGATAGAGATTCCGGTGGATGAGCTGCGCAAACAGGTATTCGACCCGGTGGTATCCAAGATTTGCAGGCTCGTACGCCATCAAGTTGACAGCACTATTCGACCGACGAGAAAGGTGAAGAAGGTTCTTCTTGCCGGGGGCTTCGGGCAAAACGCCTACCTGAAGCGGGAAATTGAGAAGACAGTCGGAGAGACGATCAAAGTTCAGAAAATCGATAACAGGTAGTAAAGACTACATTTCGTGGCATGAATTTGCAGCGTTAACATTTTGCAGCCGCACAGCCATCGTCAGGGGCGCGTTGATGGCCGGGTTGGCCAAAATAGACAACCCTCAACGGCACGCCGCATGGCAAGACGGCGACAAAAAGAACGAACAGGGACGAGGAAGGATCTTTGAGCGCAACGTTCCACGAGTAATGGTCAGGGAGGCCCCTTGCCACTACGGGACTCGTATCTTCCGGCAAGAAAAGTCGAACGCTTCAGCGCAACAGAACGGCATCAACCCAAAGTATGATCCCAATCTGCATCGCTGACATACTTGGAACTAACGCAGCCTTGAAGTATCGGACGCTCTCGACCTCGAGAAGTTGAGGTCATGAGGTGGTTTGTCAACAAGGTAACCGTTCATGGCCCGGCGTGGCGAAAGTTTTCCAGGGCCGGCAGGACAGTTGCTAACAAGGTCCAAGGGTGACGAGATCTACGACGGCGAGCCGAAACACTTTGAGCTCCAGTATAAAGCCAACATTGCTCTAGGAGAGCATCCGCCCAAGATCATTTGCGACGTGTACTCTTCCAAGGCTGACAATCCTCCTCCGCGCCCGCACACGAGTAGACACCCAGTTCCAGGTACGCAGAGAGACTTTGAGTCACAGACGAGAATAAAGGCTGACAATGTTGAAAGGTCTTGAAAAGCCGCTCGCGACCGTTTGCATGGACCTAGACACGATACCCGAAGAGTCGCTCCACTGCAGAGTTTTTCGCGGACGAAAATACTATGATGTTGCATTCGATGTTTATATGACATTGAACTCTGCAGAGCTGACATTCGTGCTTGGTCGGGGTGCGGAGAGGTATAAGCCGGCAAAAGTGACTGTGAATGAGACGGAATGGGGTTTGTAATGTTGGTGGTCAAGCCATATTGTGCGGGGTGTATATGAGTTGATGCATAATTTTCTAGCCCTTACGTATGATATAATTGCCACCTCTCAACTATATACTCATCTCATGTGTTCTAATCTGCAATGTGACATCAAGATCTTCATTGAGCTCGGTAGTGCGCTCATTGACCCTTTTACGTCAATGTCCATGAAGCGATTTGTAATGCTTTTAAGTTTTTAAGTATTGACCCGTTGGCAACTAAGTGGGCTTCCACTTAAGTGGAAACATGAAGGAAAACCCCACTAGTTGCCAACGGGTATCCAACTTGCGGGTTGAGGCCTCGGTTCGGAACCATTCCTCATTGGTGCGTGGCACCCACCATCCCTACACTTGGCCGCTCTACGGCATCTAATTGATCGTCAACACAAACCCCCTGGCTCCAGATTCTTCAGCAGCACAATGGCCAGTAACTGCCTCGAGCGCTGGATTAGTAAGTTCTTACTGAAGATGACTGGTCTTTGAAAGAGGGGGGCGCATAACCACATGCGATGAAAGAAGGTTTGTTCGTGACAAAGGCAAGCCTCGTGATTAGCCAACCTCCCAGTAGCATCCGCCAACATAACTAGGGTATCATAAGGTTTAAGGCGTTACACTTCAAGTCCTCAAAATGGTAAGTTTCTTGCCCCGCGTCAATGTTTCCCTCCAGGCTGCCGACGTCTCAACCTGTGCGCCTTGGTAACCCGATCCTATTGAATTGAGCATGTTTTTCTCAAGCATATGAGCTGGCGCCTATATAATAGTCTTCTGTTTCCCTCAACTCGGGACAAAAAGCTGCAGTCGAGTATCAACATTTCTTCCACAAAAGCACTACAAGCAATAAATACACACACCAAGTGAGACAAGACACTGAGTATCTTTCGTGAGACCGTTTCTCTAACAAAACCAACAGAAGATTCTGCAACCATGTCTACTCCGGTCCAAATCGTGGAAAAGCTGCTGAGCAACATGACCAACGACGATGTCGTGGCCTCGCTCGTCGCCCCAGACGCCACGTACGTGTCGCTGAACCACAGCAATCCCGACTTGAAAAAAATCATGCCCTGGTGCGGAACTTGGCAGAATGCCGGGCCATCAGCATTCATCAACACTTTTACGGGTGTCGCGCACTTCTGGGACAACGAGGGGTCGAAGACGGACGCCATCTTTGGGTCTGGCGAGAATGTCGCCGCATTCGGCCGCATGACTTTGCGCTCCAAAACCGTCGGCATTGCCAAGACGGTTCCCTTTTCTGTCTGGTGCGTTGTGAAGAATGACAAGATTACCTTTATGCAGTTTATGGAGGATACTTTTGACACGGCTGCCACGTTTCGGAGTGGTGGTGCTTGGACATTCCGGGCCAACCCGGATACAAAGGAGGAGTTTTCGATTTGAAGAGTCGGCACAGATTGGAAATGGGTCTTGCAGACTATATTTCTGGATTTTAACTGGTGTCTATACCGGAAATTTTAAATATATCTCAACTTTAAATAACGCCCCTTTCATTTATCGGTGAATGATGAATCCCTCGTCACGCCTCCTTTTTGTATCCGACCGAGCCCCCTATTCGACCCTTGCCGGAGATTTAATGATTTACATTAGCGCGAATAAATACTCTAGAAATAATGCACAACATGATACGGCACGTATGACGCCGCTGTGACATCATCCCACAAACTCTTACCAGCGAGCCGGCGTCAGCCCTACCGCAAGGCACAACTGTCACGTTGCTGCCACTGTCGTGTGAGGATATAAAGATAGCAGGAGTACAGCATAAAATCCCACAGAGTCACACGATCGGAGAGCAGATGGGAACTCAACGGCAGCAAAGAGAATTGGGCTTGTATTCTAGTCAAGCAAGAAAACGGGATCAGTCTATTGCGAGCACCTAGTGCCTATTTTATATGAAGAAGCATGGGATCGGCAGTTTTCAGCTCCTTCAATTCCCCCTCTCAAAAACCATCTTGTTGCTCACCCTGCCCAAACCCGTTATACTAACCTCCACAACGTCACCGTCCTCCAAGTACCTGGGCTCCTTCATCCCCATGGCCACGCCAGACGGTGTTCCCGTGAGAATCACAGTGCCGGCCTCGAGACTCGTGCCCTGGCTGCAGAAGCTGACGAGATGCTCCACGCCAAACAGCAAGTCGCCCGTACTTGTGCTCTGCCGCTCCTCGCCATTGACGACGGTTCGCAAATGGAGATCCGACGCGTTGCCCACCACGCTTGGCGCAACGAGCAACGGGCCCAACGGCGCGAATTTGTCAAATCCTTTGCTGAAGCACCATTGCGGCACGACGCCGGCCTTGGCGGGATCGCGCTGCCAGCCGCGGGCGGACACGTCATTCGAAACACAATAGCCGGCTATGTAGTCTAGCGCCGCGCTTTTAGGAATATTCTTTCCGGTTTTGCCGATCACAATAGCCTGCGGGGAGTGAGAATACCATCAAGTGGGTGACATGGGGACGACGTACCAATTCGCCTTCATAGTCGAGCGTACCGTCCTGCGCAATGGTTGGAATCGGAACATCTTCATTGAAGCCGGCAACGGTGGTGGAAGGCTTTAGGAAAATAGATGGATAGGGGGGAGGTTTCCGCCCGCCTTCTTGAACTAGCCGTCGGACGGATTAATGCCAATCTCTGAGGAGGCAGAGGGATTTTGACGTACTGTGCTTCAGATAGTTGAGGCCAATGCACCGTACGATAGGAACGTCACTGGGTCTGAGAATGTTGCGTAAAGCGCGCACGTGGATCTTGTCACCACGTGTAAAGGGACCTACGGGCGAGGAGCCTTTGAGCTCGATTGCCCAGAGGTCGTTTTTGGCCAGGTGATTGGTGAGTTGTTCATCATTTTCTATGCATGGCTCTCCAAAGGTTTCGGTGCCATTGTCATCCACGAATCGAATGAGGCGGCTCCAGGATGACATGGTGGTGGATTTTGCTAACGCTGTGAAGATTGTTGATAAGCCTGTATGTATTTTATTTATTCGAGGTTGTGACAATATCTTGGTCTGTCTATTCAAAGTGAGGACCTGCATTATGATATACATTTATCCTTGGCCTCCAAAATCGTAGTAGTTCTTTATTTGTTGCCTTGGACTTTGACAGCTATCCCGAGGACCAGCTTCCGCTGCTCTGTGGATCGCCTGCTTCACCCGAGGTTATTTGCCTGTGACCAATGATACCATGGTCCGGTCGGAACGGTGACGATTCGGAAGCATGATGGCTTGGACAACCGTTTCGTGTGGACCGAAACTCCACCACACAAGCTTCTTCCCACATCTGTCAGGGCCGAAGGCTGAATTCTGCCTTCAACGTTTCATATTGCTTAGTCGTACTCTCTGTGTTTCTGCAATCGGTGCATCGTGGCAGTTGTACCAAACGCGACGTGCCCTATCCCATCCTCGTTCACATCTCCCAGAATGACATGCACGTCCCTCATCGCCCTTGCTCTTTCTAGCCCCCCGAAATGCGATGGCTGATGGTCAGCTGCAAACGGATTATCTCTCGTGTACGAAGACACGTAGCCAAGGATGTCGGGCGCCAACGTCATGCTCATGAGGGAAATGGTTGACATCCCGGCCAAGAGCAGAATAGAGGATATGGCAAGTAAGATGGCGGCAAATGCCTTGTTACAAGTGTATATCTCGCCGTCGAAACTGTTCACGATGACTTGGCTGGTGTTGAAGTCAATTACTTCAGAGGTGAATATTCCCGAGATATTATTGTACAGACTCATATCCGTACTCAGGTTCTCAAACAAGCAGCGAGCTCCATAGGTAGACTGCCAGTAGGTATTACACATGACCTCGAGATTCCTGCTAAGCGTCGGAAGCGGAATTTGTGCCAGCGAGACAAGCTTACCCCAGGGGGCATCGTTATTGAAGTTGGATTTCGGGTCCGCGAGCCACCTCTCCGTCAGTGAGCTGGACAGTCGGGTAGCTTGATGTATAGCGCCCAAGGATGCGTATGGGAGGAACCGAAGACCTATGCTTAGTGTTGGATAGTATACTCGCCACCACCCGTCAAGATCAACAGTCAACGCTCGCATGGCGGTGACCCAGCATTCTTGGTCGGCGCAAAAGACAGAGGACTCTGCATCTCGAGGCATGATGGCACAACTGACAACGCTGACGTTTTTAATGTTTGAGTTGTTTATAGAGACTATGGTGTACGTCGCCGTTGTGTTGTTGACCTCGGATTCACTTGGAGGAGAGCTCGATGGTTCAATCCTAAAGGTTGTCCCTTTTCCCCAGTCCAACGAGCCACCGCCTGCGCCAGAAAAGTTCCGCAACATATCTGAGTCATCTACCTGAGCAGAATAGTCGCAGTCGACAGCCAGATATCTGCTGACAATGTTGAAAGAAAGATTTCCTGCAGTTGGGATACCCACGACGGGAATGCCCAGCAAAGACGAGTATGGGATGTCGCGGCTGTCATCGATTGTGACCCAGGACCCGTTTGTAATATTGGCACCCGATGTTATTGCATCAATACTTGGTATCTTGACGTTGCCAAATAAATCCTCGGTCGAATCCGCCGTCTGGAAGGAAGTTGTAAGGGCGGTCATGTATATCGGGGCATAGGAAGTCCAGGCTTTTGACGCGCCGTTTCCGCCTGACGCCACCGTCATCAACGACGCACTGATAGGCAAGTATCGGACCGTAGAGTTGGCCGAAACCAGCCTCGGGGAAACATCGAGAAGTCGAAGCGCTGACTGGCCCCCAAGCGGCGAAAGCGCCCAAAGTGCCACCATGGCAAAGCCAATAAGATATTGACCTCGTATGGCGAATTGCCGCTCAAAAGTAGAGAAGAGCGATTGAGACCCGATAAGAAGTTCCAATATCTAGTCATGTTAGCCAAATGCCGGGAGTGGGAGCATGGTCGGACTCGAACTTACTCCTAGCTTCACGCCGCACTCGGCTGCAAACAAGCCTACCGCTCTGAAGAACTTGCCAATGATGCCGGCGAATACAATAGGGAAGATGGTGGGTGACACCGATATGGTGCGCTGGATAACTCGTCCAAATGGAGAGGTTGGTTTTCCATCCAAGCATAATGCGATGGTCGCGAGCGCTGCAGCGAATGCTACGATTAGCAAGCGAGCGTTGCATCTCACGTCTGGAAGGCTTTTGGTTGGGAAAGTTACCAATGAAGAGCGCAGCAAATATCGTCAAGACTATCTGGGCAGACAAAGGGAAAAATTCAACACGCCTCAATTGTCGTGGGACAGGCCGTACAGACGAGCTTGCCGCTTTGCTTTCATGGCCAACTTCTGCAGGCTCATATTCGGAGTCGCTAGGTCTGAGGACCAATTCGTAATTCTGACCTGTGGATTTCATGTCGTCACTGTCGGAAATGGAGTGGCTCAGAGGGCAAAGTGCAAGGTGAAGAATGCTGAAATTTGAGAGACGGATGCAGCCATTTAAGACGGAGAGTGGACGAACGAGACTCAGGATCTATTCATGTCTCTGTGTACCACACCGGCTGTGAGAACCATGCAACAGCATGAAGCAAGCCACCAGGAGAGGAACCGGTGAGCTATTGATACCAAGTATCATGCCAGTGTTGCACGACAGGAGGTCGCTTCGGGCCGTTCCATGGTGTTGAGGTGGCGCATTCAGGAGAGGTCTAGTCTGCGATTCTTAATTTAAATGTCGACACGATTGGACCGGCTGGTTCAGGCATCCTTGCCGGATCACAAGCAGACGTCGTGCAGCATCGTTACCGGGCGGCGCCAATATATCTCTCGTCACGTTCACCGCTCGACGGCACAAGATGGGCCAGCGAAACAGTGCAGCCGTGGCGCCTTTATCTAGAGCAAGATGATGATGTGCTACAATTCAGACGCGTGACTCTTCATGACCGCCAAGTTTGTTGCAAGTACATTGACTGTTCTCTGAGATTGATCGTTCAGACGGGGTCCTTGTACTCTACACATCCACTCAGCAAGCCACGAGGATTGTATGCATTCTATAGGCCTCGGGCTTGCCATTTGTCCTTCCGCATCTTTGAACAGTCGTACGACTTGACGGTTCTGTGTGGGACAAACGGTAGTCCAACCTCACACGATGCAGGTCTTGCATTCTGTGACAAGGGCTTGATTAGAGGGTTTGGAACGTAAGGGTTGAATTCAATAATAATCTCGAAGGGTCTCTAAGGGCTTGAGTTTTTAAGAGGAAGGAAGGGAAAGGTGACCGCCTTATATACATGAGAGGAACGCCCGGGCCTAGGGCTCTGGCCCAGGCACGTGTTCAAGCTGTGTAACCAACAAGTCCCGTATCGGTGAGGCCCCTTTTGTTGGGCTTCGCGATCTGTTGGTCCTTTTCCGTGTAACACATCCACCGGGGTGACCAGACACTTGATGGCTATGGATTCGTAGCCGACCAAGGGATGGGAAAGGCCGAGGAAAAAGCGACTCCTAATTCTTCTTTGAAGGCCCTTGATGTTTTTATTCTGAACATGCCGCATCTTGCAGCCTAGTCGTGCACCTGCTCAAGTAATCTTGCAACCGAGCCGACGTTGACTCCTCACTGGCCATGTGATGCTTTGGATTCTTTGCCTCTGTTTCACCTTGGCGACACTTCATTCCATTATTGGAGAGGCTGTATTTACGACGTGTCTTGAGTTCTTTGTCAGTTTCGCATCATTCATCAGGGTGCATTCTTGATGTGTCCGTGTGCCAGCACGGCAGTCCCATGAGGGACCAGACCCCTCCCATACAAATCCCCGAGCTTCAATGTCTTGTTCATGCACTCGCTTTGTGCGGCCCAAACACGACGCAAGGCCCTTGTCGGAGCCCTGTGGTGTTTGAGGCCTTGTTTGTGAATCTCACTTTGTCATGTCACCGCGTCCAAGAAAACACCGTCTTGGCCCTGCGACAGTCTTTCTGATGCCCAGAAATGATGCTTTGTAATTTCAAACACGGACGCTTTGGCTCACGTCTTTACACGTTGCATGTATTTCCGCCGCTTAGCAATAGTTTTCATTGCAACAACATGATGCATTTAATACTACGTGTTGGACCATTTAAACGGCGAGACTTTCCTCCCCAGGTGGCTCATCAGAGAAGCACATCATCACCATCTTTTACACATTTGGCTCGAAGCATCACTTTTATCAAACACTTATTCCCGCTGCCGCCCGAGAGAGAAATGTCGCCCAAGAAAGAAATGTCGCCCATGGAAGAAATGCCGTTTAGTAAACAATGCGAGATGTACGTACTTTACCTCGACACACTTGTAAGTTTAATATAAAGCAAAGACCCCTGGTGCTATTTCTCCTAGAGCCGAGGAGGCTCGCACCGCTATAGCGGAGATGCTGTGGTGTCTGGCAGGTGCAGCTATTATAGTAGCATTGTTCCTGACGCTGGGCAGGAATTTCCATCTCAGTGCTAACATTTTCGGCAAAGCAACACCGTTTCAACAGATATGTTATGGGCGTCGGTAGTTTCGTTGTGGTAGCTTCGGAGGGCCAAACTGTCGCCGACGTCGACAAGCTTATCGAACAATGGAAAAAGGAGGCGGGCCGTGATGAATTTAGAAAGGCGTCCATAGAACTTGACGTCGAGATTAAACCTAACTACAAACCCCCACCCAATTGGTCGTTGTGGTCGTACGACAACAAGAAAAATCCCGCGGATGTGTTGACAGGCGTGGAAGGGACTATCAGCCTATCAGACTTCATGCGGAAACACGGTTTCGGCTACAACATTGTGGCGAGGGGACAGCACATGTTTGCAAAAGACTATTTGAAGAAATAAGGCCAAGGAAGGAGGGTCATGGTACAATGTCGAGTTCTGTTAGGCAACTCACGGCCAGAGGTTTTTTTCTCCCGCAAGGGCTTTTTTTCATCTCAATATGGCTGTGGAGTTGCAGGATTCATGGGGGTATTTTAAATTTCCAGTATTTCAATAAATGAGTTACAAAATTATTCGTCAACTGTTCTTCAACCCTCGTGATAAAGTATAAATAAGAGCTGCAACAAGTCTTGATGATATACTAAAGATGTATATAGAAGAGTTGTATTTATACAAGGAATCGTAAAGCCAAGAGCCCTAAGGCCTCACGAATATAGCCCCCATTTAACAGCTATGTAATTCTATATAACACAAGTTATCTACGTCGTAAGCTACTTGAACGCTATTAAGCGGGCCTTTCTTTAATATTTACTTTATTACCGTTTTATGTGTGCCAGAAGTATCCAAACAGTTTCTAGTAATCATTTCCGTGCTTATTTAAAATCTGAAGTTATAGTGTGGTATTGTGATAATCGTGTATAATGCGTTGTGTAGTTTATGTGCTGCTTAGGCTAATAAAGTCGTTTGTTATTGCAATGTACAAGTACTTACTTCTAACAAACTACAAACATAAAGAAAAATCAAATGACAAAAAACATGATGGATGTACTCTTCGGTCTGTGCCGATCCTTGCCTCAAGAGACTGAAACTGCAATGCCCCTATTGCAAATCCACCAACACAGTCAGCGCTCCAGGATACATTTCTAGCATCTGTTTTTCCTGGACCGGCTCAAGCTCCCACCCTGCCTCTTCATCTTCATCCTCATCCTCATCTTCATCCTCATCTTCATCCTCATCTTCATCCTCATCTTCATCCTCATGCTTGCTATTGGCACACTGCAGGACGTAACGAGGCTTATATCTTAATTTACCATTTCTCTTTGGCGCAATCTCGATCGCCCGATACGCAAAAATAACCTTAGACGGGGATGGACCGTGGGAAACGTCCCTGTCCACTCTTCGTTGCAACATCAGTCGAGGACCAATTAAGCTGGGGGCTCCCATCGCCAGCGCATCAAGGCCGACTTTGCAAGCCGGACCGTGGGAACCGGCGTCGGTAGTGGACATGCTGAAGCCTTCAGCAATCTTGAGCCCAGTGATCATATACACCTTGTTATTCCCGACGAAACAGGCGGAAATAAAATCCTGGACACGTAACGAGGCGGTGATGCTATCTGTTACATATTGCTCACTGGCTTCGAACTCATATGTTTCCATAGCGGCGCACGTATAAGTGGTGGTCTTGTCTTTGGCAAACGTATACAGAACTTCGAGTGGGAGAGAAAGAGTCCCAACGATTCCTGCTGAGACAGAAATGCCTTTCTTGACCACCTCTTGGAAATTGGGCACACAGCTCGTATTGATTGAGCTCTGCGGGATGGCAATGACATCATGCTGGTTAAGCGGGTTGGTCAGCTCGCCAAGACTTGCGAAGATGCTGCCCAGTCGCGCTGCCGTGGGGCTCTGTGGGTTGATATCAAACGCAGGAGCGCGAAAGTAATATTGACGGGCTGATTGAGGCATGGTTTCTGGCCGTAGTTTCCCAATTGTATCGACTTGACTTGCCAAAGTTAGGAGGAGGCAGTTAGTTTCTGCAAGTATAGTCGTCCAGTACTGTGACAAGGGCTCAGCAATAGGGGTTTAGAGTCAATAGCTTGATTTATTCAATACCAGTCTTTGGTATCAGAGGTCCTTGGTTTTCCTCAAGGCCAAGTTGACTAAAGAGCTCTATTTATACAACAAGTTGTGCGAGCCTTTTGCCCTAGGTCCCGTGATTACAGCCCGTCCTTTGCGTAATCGTTACTGTGACAGTATGCCTGAGACACGCTAACGGCGACGATTGGTTATCAGGGGAAGCGGGATGGAAATTGGTGCCCGAGTAGAGTGAATACGGCACAATAGCAAGCAACCAGACAAGATGTATGCAGCTTGCCGCTTTACATCTATAATATAACATATTAAGAGCCTCCCCTGGGCTCTAATTGGTTACTAAAAAAAAAAAAAACTCTTTGGTAACTGGTCAATGTAAAAATGTGTCTTACTCCACTTACGTGTTTAGCATCGCGAACCTCGCAATTGTAGTGTTGTTGATGTTAAAGCCGCACGTGCGGCCGCAGGGCTCCCGGCAAGTCGGTGCTGCGCCGGTAGGCTATGTAACCTAGTCAATCCACACGTGCATGCAGCCGATGTCCTTCCCGCCCGCTTTGCCTACCCCTGGGACAACTTGTTTTGTGGTATCCTGCAGCTGTAAATACATCAATCCGTCAAGGTGTCCGCTGCAGGACACGTCAATCTTGGGCTTGCGCCTCCACAGGGTCTCATCTAGACATGCCCCTGGAGAATCATACATATGTAGGGCAGCAGCAATAGAAGGCTGGGAGCACCAGACATGACGTGCTACTCGTTGCCTTGTGTGAGGCCTCCAAGTTGGCAGAGTCGTTGATACAAAAGGCTGAAGGCATTCCAAGTCCGGTTCGTGAGTGGAGTCAATACCAGATCTATTGGGATCTTGATGCATACTGATGCAACGGGCCATGGCCCAGCCATTGATATTACTAGCATGATTTAGTTGGTGTGTCACACACGTTGATAAAGAAGATTAATTGATGCGTGCTATCTTTAATGGGCGCATCAAGTAATATCGTAATTTCGGCGTTGGAATGCCATAGCGTGTTAGGCCCTCTTCGGACCAGATTTGCTCAGCCAAATCTGGTCCGAGGCTTGTGCATGATTTGGCAGAACTGGGGCTGTCTTGATATCTCATCTTGACAGTTGTCATGCATGCAGATTGATGCCGCTCCTCTATCTGTTCTGTTGAGGGACCCACCAGATGTAATTACACTCCAACCCCTGTATGATTAACCACCCGTGACATGACAAGGTTAATGGAGCAAGGCCCCCTAGCTGTATCGGCGATCCAGCTCAAGTGCTACTTGACTTTTTATTGGGGTTTATGTCTTTTTTATTTACCTTATCGCCTTATCAGTCCGGGCAGGCTCCAAGATTTTTATCGCGGAAAAAAAAAAGGGCCCACTTTATCAGCTGTTAACAAATAACCTGCCAGCTGGCCCCGCCTACTGATGTCACACATGGCTAAACTTTCAGGGCTTAAATTGTACGTGCGAGCAAGCAGTCTTGCGTGCAGATGAAAGCCATCTGCACATTCTTCCTCTAGCCTTGTACTGAGATTTTTCAAGATTATCAATAGAGAGCATCATTTAATGACAATCTCCTCTATGGCCTAGCCCCTCCACATGTTCATTCGCTATGAATAACAATTTGTCCATGGTCTGGTTCAAAACAACTCGTCGTGGCCCAGAGTTGATTCTCCCTGTGATTTCGTCACCGCTTTATCGATGGCATCCGAGTCGCCAAGAAGCTCGACCGCTTGCGAGTGCGTTTCGCTAGCATCGGAATTTATATTTCGTATTTCGTCATATTCATTCTCTTTCTGACCGGCAAAGGTCGTGAATATGAAAAGGACAGCACCACACAGGTCGAGGTGCCACATTCAGCGACGTGTCTGAATGTGTTGGCTAACTGTCAAGATTCGAAATGTGATGGAATTGTGAATCACGGCATCACCTGGTCTGTTCGAGCCAGTCGCGACAGAGACAATGCCATGAATGAAGAGGAGATACTGACTGAACACGCGAGGGACGCAGTTGACTCTCCTAATCGCAACAGGGCTGGGCTTTGCAACGGAGCATGCGGTACGATCAGCTGAGCAAGCTGCATCCAACACAAACCTGCTATTTGAATGCTGAACAGCTCGAATCTCCCAATAGAACACCGCCACGGTTGGGTGTCTGTGGACGCGCATCCCGGTTTGGGCGACGAGATGCATGAGTTCAATTTGAACATGATGGGGACCGCCTGGGGACCCTCACCTGTCAGATTTGCGGACAAAGGGCTGTGAATGTCCATGTTGGCTCTTGCAGCCCTTTGTTCATTGTTTCACTGACTGAAAGGCATTATATAAGCACATGTGCACATGCAAAGATAAATTCTCTGGTTGGATTACCATCCATCGACTCCTACCTCTCTCATCCTCACGTCTCGAGAATATAGCCCACTGTCGCTCCCAAGTCGCAAACGCTTGCCAACTCGCGGCGCATTCGAAGCATTAAAGCAACCTCTCGCTCACCATCTCCATCATGGAGGAAGCAACCAGCGGACATGCCAGTCAACTCGTCGTCCAGGCCATACGGTGCCAAAATATACTGAAAGACCTTCTCTCGAATTGCGAACAAAACGACGTTGGGCATCAGAAGTCTAATTTCCTGTCCACCCAGTCCGCCAGATTGAACTCATGGTGTGGCAAGACGGGCATTTATGAATCAGGCCAACATTCTTTGGACTATCATCTTAAGGGCCTCCCCCAGACTAAAATAACAATAACAAAACTCCTGTGGGAGTTGAGTCTGTGTTTGCAAAGTGAGTGGACCCCAAGCAAAGGAGCAAGTTCAAATAAAGCGTGTCAAGCTAATAGGATGCGCCGAACCAGAGTTGCGGGAACCAGAGAGTATTGATGAGCACGCTACAAGCAAGATGCAAAGCCAACAGGAATGCGATGAAGATTCCGACACTTCTGAATGGTCTCGAGATTCGCTTCCCGTCTCACACGATCGCAACACACATCCCCAACCAAACAGGAAATGGACTCGCATAGAGAGAAATATTCACAGGCTCTATATGCAAGCTCGACTGGATGAATTGGATGGGGAAAATGATATGCAGACAAGGATTGAACGGTTCAAGAATGAGCCGGGTCAGAACCAAGTCTACGAGTTATTCAAGACAATGGCCCGGGAAAAAGCCGAGCATCAGTTTCCACGGTCGCCTCTCTGGATGCAAGAAAGAATTGCGGAATCATTCGCTAGGAGAAGAATGCGCTTTGAATATTTGAAGCATCATCAGGAGAAGCTTGCTTGTGGTTTGCATCATGAATCTCCACCCCAACCACAGAATGATGCCGCAGGGACAACCTTGACCACATTTCCTGAAAGCGATACCCAGGTAAACAAACCAGACAGCCAGAATACCACGTCCCGCGCCGGGAATCGTGGTGTCATACTCTCAGCAACTGAGAATACTCGTCTCGATACGATTTCGTCGCCGCGCACAACAGAGAGCGTTGCTTCACTCACCATGGGACACCATGACTTACCGTACCGGCCAAAACTTCAGGAATCAGACACCTTTACGTGTCCCTATTGTTTTCTTGTGATTCCCTCCACAGAAGCCGAAGGAATATCCTGGAGGTAAGCGCCGTTCAGCCTGGATAAATCACCAAATGTCTGAGAGACTAGTGCTGACATGATTACAGCCAGCATGTCATGAGGGACCTTGAGCCTTACTTTTGCGTTTTCAAGGACTGCTCGAAACCCTTTGAAGTAGACAATAGCTTTGACGGAGTTCTAGCCCACATGCATGACTCACACGTCGCTGTACCTTATTGGATGTCGATGCCGGACGGGTCCCGCCAAGACTTCAAAAACAGACATCTATTTGAACAGTTTCTTGAACAGGAATGGCACTTGCCAAGATCAGGTTTCGACTCGTTAAGAGCAATTTTTCGGAGAAAAGAGGGTTTCCGCTTTCCAACTTGCCATTTTTGCGGCTGCTATCCGGACAAATTCAGGAAATGCTTTCGCTGGGATATACCCTTCGCCCAGGAGGAAATGAGGAAGCATATCAAGCAACATATGGAAGAGATTGCTCTATACTTGCTGCCTGTCATGGACGACGTGGTTGATGATGCACCCGGGGAGAACAACATGAGTGATGATGCTGTTGGCACACAGCATCATGGTTTGGACGAATTGAGTGCCGTCCCCTGGCGCACGACGCCACAGCAAGAACATCGCGATTCTGAGGATCGAATGGAGTCCACGAATACAGTTGACGGACAATTACAATCTGACTTTGAGATGGAGGCTCAGCCTAATCATCCCGGCAAGAAGAATGATGGACTGGAGCGGTCCCAAGAGAACACGAACGGGGACAAGTCAGCCCAGGGACGCGTTGCTTGGAGCGATTGGTCGAAGGGGCCGTCAAGCTCGTCCCCTGAACAGAGAACCAAGGCTAGGATTTCCTCCTATACAGGCTCGAATTCATGAGGATTGCGGGATACTTCAAGGAGGTTGTCGTGTCTATGCCAAGTTTGTCACAGTTGAGCGCAATGCCAAGGTCTATTTTGTTGGATCACTTGCTTCAACGGGCATAGGGATACTCGATGAGGCTATTACTGCGTGTTGGAATAAAAAGTGTTGTTATAGAGAGCCGGCGTGGGGACGTGGATGTTACTTTGGCTCCTACTGTTAGTCTCCGTACAACATTATGGGACGTCTCCCTCTTTCGTCATTTTTGGGTACTGAAGAGGATGGTGGTCAATGGAACATATAGAATGTGCATATCATAGGCATTCTTACATAATAGATTAATAACTTGATGCAATATTGGTGCTTTGGCGACAATGAAATGCACTCCCTAGGTTGGATACGCCATAGTCCATAGACTGCGCGCATAAATGTAGCTCGTCTTGGAGACCATGTATTTCGACATTCACTTGCCTTATCTCTCTGGAAGCCTTCTGATTTATCAGGTTGGGAGACATTTGTTAGCGCCTTGGGCGCATTACAAAATTGACTTGTAGAATGTAAGTCATGTCACCACTGTCATATTACCGGGGCTGTAAGCACAGAGTGGCTTCTAGCCATTGTTGGTCGATCGGCACGCTCACACGCTTTGGTTTTGTGTTGGTCTGCACTGTACCCGTGCCAGCGTGGCAGCCGATTTTGCCAACAATAACAGCCCTGTGCTTATGGTACTTCTATGCGGGATCACGAGACGGTGTGAAAGAGAAGTGGTATCGGGCTAGGGATTTAGTAGAGGCTCACAAGTAGGCATTTTGAACCAATAGGCTAGAAGCGATAGCATATTTAAATTACATCTGCATACACAGATTAGGTGTGTGGTCATGCCGGGTAGTGGACGATTGTTCCCATATATACTCGCAGTTCTACTTTCCAGCAACCACCAAATGCAGCTTCTTCCATGGTCAGTTTAAGAAAGTCAGCGTTGGAAATAATTATGCCATACATAAGGCTTGAATACTTGAATATAACCGTGGTCTATGCATATGGCTAATAATACTCGAGCGGTTCTATACGTACTTCATGCGTAATGATGGCAAATAATACCGAACCACGTTGGCAAAAGAAAAGGAATACATCTACCAGCAGTACCACCAAAAAAAGGATTCGAGACGCGCCAAGAACCAAATACAGCCTTGCTCCATGCTGCACAAAACTCGGCGGCACTGTTACGATCTAGTGAGCGGTGAGCATTTGAACCCGCAAGTCCAGGGGCTCAGCCAAGTCTCGAACCCCTGTGTAACTATAGTCAGGTCCAAGGGCCGGTCCGTGCCGCAATAGGCATGACGTCCATGTAATAGCTGTTATGCATGAAGACTATCGAAAGCATGGTATCACCGACACGTAGGCGGAGGATTGATCCATCGTTGTGCATCTCGAACAAAGCAGTCGGCTCCATCAAATCCCTGCCACAAATCCTCGGTCTGGGCTTTCGGCCCATTCCTCTGGGATTTGTAAAGAAGCTTCCCTCAGGAACCTTCTATCCCTGGTTGCCAAGGCAGTACAGCTTGTCATTATTGGCCGCGACTACTTGGCGTGTTGGATGGTAACACATGTCGCCTACTCAACGTAGCCAACCTTTGACCTCCATGGACTTTTCTTACCGAGTTTTCGAGTTTTGGAAAACGGTTTTACAAAATCAATGGAGCAAGCAGTTGGGAGAACTGAAATTGTCAATCGAATCCGAGTATAAGTAGGAGCTGGGGTCTAGCCACATTTCAAGTTCTACGTAGAATCGACAGCTGCTGAAGCAATTGACTTGCCCAACGCCTGCTCTTCCTGTCTTTACTTGTCAAAGAATAACTGGCTTCATACCAAAATGTTCAAAATGCCCCACTTCAGCTCTTTTATAACAGCAGCGCTGCTGTTGACGACAACCTCCGCCGCCGAAACGCCGAAACGCGGCCTCGCCGCCAATGACGGCATTCCCATCAACAACTTTTGGGGAACTTTTAAAGACCACAAGTCCCAGATTAACTGGCAATACAACTGGGATAGCACGACAAACCAAAAACAACCATTTGCCGAATTCGTACCCATGCTCTGGGGCACCCAGAGCTATCACACCCAGCAATGGCATAACAACGTTCGCTACTGGATACAGCGAGGAACCCAGCATTTACTGGGTTTCAACGAGCCCGACCGTCCAGACCAGGCAAACATGTCCCACGAAGCGGCAGTAACAGCATGGAAGACGTATATGGAGCCGTATGCAGGTCAAGTAAAGCTTGGCGCACCGGTAATCTCAAATGCCGGCTACGACTGGCTGAGCGAGTTTCTCAACCAGTGCCAAGGCTGTCATATTGACTTCATCCCTGTCCATTGGTACAACAATTATACCTTGGAGTTTGACCTGGAGAACTGGGTTAGGAAGATCTGCTGGTTGGGCAGGGGTCGTCAAATTTGGATCACAGAGGTAAGTCGCCGGACTCATAATTTGCACGGCAGACAGGTCATGTTGACGCGAGGTGCAGTTTCAAGGATTTGGGTCTCCCGCTCAGCAGGGCGAATTTTTGAGGAAGGCCATGCCGTTTTTGGATAAAACTGCCTGTGTTGCGCGGTACGCGTACTTTGGCACTGCGAAGAACTCTCAGGTTCTTCTTCAGAGTGGTGGGCCAGCCCTTTCACCTCTAGGAACGCAGTATGCTTTCAGTCCCTACGGGTCTGGGACAGTTTATGGCCGCATGTTAGGCTTCCGTTGATCGTAGAGTGATTTTTGGGTACGGAATAGATTATAGATGTTCGAGTCTTTGAGTATACTGTGTGCGGTTTGGAAGAGGATGTTGCTATGGGCTATGCGTTGCATGGTCGGGTCCGATTGTATGTACTTTCACTTCACAAGTCACAGGTGTTTGCTGCAAATCCAATTGATGTTGCTACTTGACAATTGAACGTCCCGGAGTAAGTGACTACTCAAGCAACGTTGCCATGTCCGGAGCACTGCAGCACGGGCAACATCCATCATGAAGCAAAACCCATGGTCAACTGCACGTGGCGCCAGCAGGAGATCGAGACAGAAAGCGCCCAGGGGCACGAGGACTCCTCATTTGTGACCCAGCCGCTTTAGATTGACCACATGCAGACACTAGACCCGTTGTGGCTACCTAGAGCAGGTCATCGTCGATCGATCTGGCGCCGATCCTTCATCCTGCTCCTCCCAGGCTGCCAGGCGTGGGCGTGTTTCTGCTTTGGTTGAGAATATCATGTCAAATGTCGACCGTGTAACAACTCAATACGTCTGATGCCCCTGTATCTGGTACTATCTGGAAGAAAGGAATCCCATCATTACCCATTGTCATCATGGCCAACAAAGTGACGATGTTGTTTCTCGCGTTTCTCATCATCAACATCAACCCCGTCGCGACCCTTTCGGTCGCGTCCAACCCATACACGGGAGGCGACACATCGGGCTGTGGAAAGATGCACACTGCTCAAGTCATCGGCCTTCCGATCTACCGCGGGATACAGTCTAGTGGCGTGCATCGCAGTTACAGCGTGCATCTCCCTTCCCAATACGATAAACACCATGAATACCCTACTATTCTAGGCTTCCACGGCTCCAGTAGTATCGGGCTGTTCTTTCAGGCCGATACCAAACTCGACGAGGCTCGATTTACCCGCGACAAGATCATGGTTTATCCCAACGGACTGGGCGGCGCTTGGGCCGGAGCCAACTACTCCCAGGCCACTGTCGACCAAGACTTGCAATTTGTGTGGGATCTTCTTGCCGACTTGCGTCAGAACTTCTGCATCGACAGTTCGCGCATCTATGCAACAGGTTTGTCCAGCGGTGGCGGCTTCGTGGATACCATTGCCTGCAACAGCACCGTCGGAGGCGAGTTTGCTGCCATGGCCCCGGCCTCCGGGTCCTTTTATACTAATAACGATGCAAACCACCATTTATGCGAGCCTGCACGTGTGCCCATGCCCATTTTAGAGTTCCATGGAGGAGCTGACGCGGATGTCAAGTATGGTGGCGGTCAGGGTGAAGGTGGTATTGAGCCTGCAATCCCGAATTGGTACGCGCATCAACTTGACAGATTCATGGCAACAACGAATGCTAATAGTAAAACATGTCAAGGCTCGGCTGGTGGGCGGCCCGGAATAAATGCGACACGCCTCATCATCAGGAGGATCTGTTTGACGGTGACGTACACCATCTTAGCTGGGCATGCGGCGGGCAAGAAGGGGTAGTGCAGCACTACAAGACCGATGATCAAAGTATAACCCAATCCTGCTCTTTGAGACTTGGGGCTATGTTGGAACACTTGCTAACCTTTTTGCGGGCAGAGCACGACTGGCCATCGACAGAGCCAAACTTTTCGCAACTAGCGGCTGGTGATAAGCCAACGCATATTCAAGCCAGTGCGATTATCCAGGATTTCTTTATGAGGTTCACACGTCCTGAAGTTTGAGCCATGACCCAAAGAAGCATTGGCAAAATGGTGATATTTGCGGGTATTGTTACTAAATATCTATAATCGCGGCAAAGAAGTTGACTTCACGTCTTGATGAAATGTTGGGAAAATGATGATCTTGATCTTATTATACTTTACTACTGTTTCAGAAATACCCATTATGAGTTGGTGTAGCAAGGCCGCTGCTGCGTTGTCAATAGCCGCGACCAGGCAGGACATTTATCCATTTCAGTATTGAACATGGCATGGTAGCATTTGAATTCTTGAACCAATACGCTCATTCCAATTTATACCTACTAGTTGGAGAAATAAAAGGCTTACACGACAATTTTCTTACTCTGGCAACGTATGTTTAACATATGAAAGCTTGGTGCAATATGCTTGAAGAACAAACACTAGAATTTGTACAATAGCTTAGAAATGCTTATACCTGGACTAAGGATTACCATATGCAACACATTGAGTTATTATTTAATAAAAATACAGCTCATTATTTCTGATAGATCTTATACACCAATTAGCATGACATTGACTTGGACAATATAAAATTCAACCGCTGATTCGTGTACTCAACACTATTTATTGCCAGTCATTCCCGGCTAGCCTTAGCACTTGTTTCTGCTTTCCAATTGACCTCTGACGGCACCAGGAACAGCCAAGCTAGAATGAACGTCTGTGAAAAATGCAGACGGGTTTCTCTCAATCTGCTCAACATGGAAGCCTTGGCCCGTATCCTTGCCGTCCACCTTTACGCCAGTAAGGAACGGTCCTCTTAGGCAGCCAATGCTAGTTCGACGTCCCCCTTGAGAGTCTTGTGGATTGGGAAACGCAATACTACATGGCCATTCAATTGTTAGCAACTCGCTTACAGTAATGTGAAGCGGAGTCTTACCGTGGCGGCCCAGCCTTTCCTACTGGTGCTTCGTGAATGTGAGTAGCCGTCAGAGCAGGCGACTGATATTCACCGCGGAATCCATCCAGGGTGAGATTGTAGCAGATAATATTTTCATAACTGTCGATGCCGTATTGAAAGAGCCCGGATGCACCGGCTAGTCCGCCGGTAGGGTTGTTGTCGGCGTCGACAACAGCCCTTGGGCCAACCTTGACGCTGTAGGTCGAGGTGAATTGGAATAGTTCTCCTGAAGTCCTATGCTTCCCAATGTGGATGTTTAAAAGGGGGCTGGCCGCGGCAATGGAGATGTAGCCTGTAAAAAACACTGATGTCTTCATGTTTGTTTGTCAAGTGACGGGGAAATGGCCAAGGGAGATGAGATGAAGTACTTTTCATCATGACGAGAAGAAGCTCGAATTATATATTTCCAATTTCCAATGCCAGGTGAATTTGGAGCTACTTGAATACGAGATTGAAACCAGGTAATTCAAGCTAATTTGATTGTCGCCAAGATAGGCAACACCGCACGAGGGCAAGAATTCCCCGAAAGCCTGTACACAGCCTTACTTTTTAGTCTAGATTAGAATCACGATGCACTCACTTCCGGAGTCAGTGTTCACTTGTGATGACTGCCGAGCCAAATAGAGCAATTGGAATGTTTTAGCCTCGTCAGCGCCAAGGTTGCCGCCTTGCTTGGCTCACGACCCGCGCACGCCACATTAATCTGCCAAGCTGCCGACGTCTGTTGTCATATCTGCACAAGTTCTTACTTTTTAGGGACGGGACGACATTACTACCCCACCAGACATGAAGGGCTTAACCAGACGCTGCTGAGATGTAGCGGTCTTGATAGGTTCATCATTCAGCGGGATGCCACCCATAGCTGTGTTTACACGAATTGCCTTCAGCGCACGGCAAAAGGGAAGCAAACCCTCGCACGTAGATAATGAACCATTACATTTCCAGAAATTCAATAGAACATATACTCGGCTTCGTGTGTTCATAGCGACTTCCCAAGTGTTATGGTGCGCAAGGTGTCTGGTTGCCAAGAGCCAAGAAGCGCCTTGCGCGCGGATTACCAAGATGCCGGACAGTAGCGGCGGACAGCACAGAAGCCGGGCCAAGTGCCGTACCATATCTCTGGTTAGTCTATTTACAGTGCCATTTTTATCATCTTGACTTGGCATTTGCTTGCTTTACGTAATGTAAAGTCATGTGAGCCGACCTTGGGTGGATGTTTAAGATTGTTCCCCTCTTAGTCGCGCCCAGCCATTTTCTCACAGCAAGTAATCCGCGGTGGCATCAGTACCACCCGTCTAAACAATTCATGACTTATTATTTCTTGTCTTCTGGATAATCAAGCGCGTGTATCAAAATATCGCATCTCTCAAGACTATGTTAGTACCTGTAGTGATTCGTGTATTCCGGTCCCGAGATTCAAGAACTAGCTAGCATAATCTGGGCATAATCTTTCCTGACAGCATGTTATGCCCCAGAAATGTCTATTGAGAATCTAAGCAGACCGCATTTGACCCATTTTACAGAATCTTTTATTAGCTAATAACAACACAAGCATTATGCCAAGTCATGCATCACAGCGAGGTTGTCTCAGCTCATCATGCAGTAAAAGCTGCCTGGAGCTAGCCTTGCAAGGTGGAGGTAACAAGACGACACGACGCTTTGAGATGTCCAAAGTCATTTCCCAGCCCTTTCTGGACCAAGACAGATCCCCTTGAACAACACCGCACAGAAGCATGTGTATTGGATCTCGAAGTCGTGGAAACGATGCTCGGGCGTACGTTCGTTGATTGAACAACTTGTGAGCGTGGCGATAAGAAGACAGCCGTATCACGTGTGGACGCGCTGAAATACAGCTCCGATTAGACGTACTGATTAACCAGAGCAAGAACGGCTTGACAAGCTCTATCTGTTACACGAAAGTCACGTTCATAAAGGCGTGGGCCGAACATTGAACCCGACGATAGTTACAGTGGGTGTACACAAGGGCTCGAGACGTGCTTGCTTGAGGCCTTGGGCTTCCACGCTCGCTTGCTCACCGCTGCTTGATACAAATAAGGGTCACCCGCCCTTTGAGGTCTTGAGAAAACCAAGAAACTTTAAAATTAAAGCGAATCATTAGCTGAAGACCAAATCGATCCAAGCGACCTATAACACAAGCCCTTGTCACATTATCATGCTCGAAGAGTTGAGGTCTTTTATCTTCAACCACACCCTCCCCCAACGGCCATAAAAAAAATGCGCATTAATTCAGGCAGTTGACCAGCTTTTAATCTGGCATAACCCCACAATTTAAACCTTTTCGTCTTGCAAGTTTCTCAATTCGTCGTGATTTGTTATAGTGCATAATCCTAGTCTGTGACAAGGGTTGAGTCAGAACTTTAAAGCACCATGACTCGATTCATCTGACAACAGTCTTCTGTATTAAAAGTCCTTCGTTTTTTTTTAAGCCTAGTTAACTAAAGAGTTCTTTAAATATAAGAAGTCGGCGAGCGTCTTTTTCCCGAGGTCCCGCAATCGTAGCCCTCATGTAACCCAGTGTGATGTAGTCCCTGCTGGCTCAAATACTGTCAATTTTTTTAATCAGTGGTGGAATAGGGCCGGGCCAACTACGTCGGAACTGCACATGTGCACATGTGGGTCAAATATTAATGCATCATCTTTGACCAAGGCACATGAAACATGCGACTAATCTACCAGCGTACTTGAAACACCTATTGCTGTTCACAAAAGGCGTCGGTGTAAAATTAAATAGCTGTCTCGGCAAAATCCCATTATATTTATTGTTATCTGTCCTTTTTCATCCTCTGTCTGCTTCCCCCCCCTTTGATTTAATTGATAACGTAATCATAACCAACTACCCGTGCCACGCTATTTGCAGCTCGTAAGAGAGCTGCCTTCAGACCTGGGATTCTACCATGGGAAATCCCAGTAAATTTGACTCCTACGGACTCTCCCTGACTCGTATTTAAGCATGAAAGTCTGGTAGATTATAAAATCGTCGAAGCACAGAAATCGACCGGTTGTCTTGATGACACTGATTTGCACATGAACACTGCATCCATGTTCACTGATCAGGAGACAGTGCACTGTGACTGCCAGCCTTGTGCGAGTATTACATGGGAAGTCGACGGGCTAAGAAGCAATCAAGACTGGAGCATTTGAGTTTGATAACACCGAAATTTGGTATTCCGTAGCGCGGTATAGGATGCGAGCGATCATTGATGTCAAATGCACTCGCTTTGTGGGTGCCTGGGACTAGACACTAACAATAATCCATTGAAATGCCCGAGCTTCTGCCCTCCTTACTGATATATTAAGTTGGTCGCCTCTTTGTCTTACACCTAAATTATTTGGTCTTGTACGTTTCTTCTATATCCAAGAATAGCAGCTAAGAATCCTATAGCCGAAAAATATAATTAGCTATAGTATAGTGTAGACGGCCTAAAGACACAGAAAACGAGAATAAGCTGTTTTAAAGTAATACAGAATGGTATACAAGATAAACAACAGTTTGGTCTAAAGAAATTAAAAGTAATAACCCGGCATGTTATTCTACTATAGTAGATAAACCCTAAACTGTTTGTTAAACAGAGCGCTAAAAAGGCTAAGAGAGATATTAATACAGTAGTTATAGTAAAATAAAAGCTATCTATATATTTACGGATAAAAGCAGTATAGACGGCCATGTAGGCGATGTGCACGACTACCAGTCAAACCAAGAGCGCCTACATGGGCGATAATTATTACACGGAAATAGCTGTTTACACAAGGGCTACGGTCACGGGATTAGAGCAGAAAGTCCTCACTAACTATTATATAAATAGATGTTTTTAGTCCCTTAAGGCCTTAAGGAAAACTAAGGACCTTTAATTCCAAAACTATTATTAGATAAATTAAGTAAATGCTCTAAGCCTCTAGCCCTTGTCACAATAATACTATGTCAATAGTATAGGCCGGCGAAAATAACTAGACAATTAACAAGTTTTCAGGTTTATAGCATGGCTAAGACGTAAATCAGGGTTATATCTTCTCCTAGAAATAACACGTTAAATACAAGAACTACAAGAGCAAGCCTTGCCATGATATTAGATAGGATAAAAGGACTAACAAGGCCGAACGCATAGCGAATCAAGTCCTGCACTTACTGCAATAAAAGGTAATAAGTATAATAGCAGCAAGAAACTAGTAGCCGGACAATCTTCCACAGCCTTAACGTTCGATTGGATAGATTTGTAAGATATCTATAGTTAAGTGTATATATATGCTTGTACATGTAGCGATATTATATATTATCTGTTAAAATGCAGCGCCGAATTATCGGGTTTGCTATCCAACTCAGCCCCAGAGAAAACATTGTAGACGCCTACGAATTATTACTGTAGCAGCTGTAATTATTATATTTAACTTAACACGAATAGACTTAGTATACTATCTTGTAAATAGTAGTATTTACATTTAAGCTACCAACTTATCTCTAGCATATACAAGGGGGAAAACCTTGCCAAGCAAGCCTATGACTTACTTGGTTGGACGAAAAACCCTTCTTTGCTGCCGCTTTTAATGCATCTGAAATTCTCTATACCTCACAGCCTTTAGCACGCAATTCTGCTTCTCGCTCCTTTGTCGACTGGATTTTTTGAAAACCCAGGCACTCTTTAAATGCATCTTGACCTTTGGTTATGCACTCTTGGAATTTAGACTTCTCTCTGCATTGATCGAGTGCGTCCCTGCGTATTTTGTTGCACTTCTCCTTGGAAGGCTTCGCTTCATGGGCGTCGAAGCACTCTTGAGGCGTCTTCCAGCCTTGGGGATTTTCGCATGCTTCCACACGTGGGTAATTGATCATCTCGCAGAATAGTTCTGTACCGCATAGATATTCGTCAATCCCCCAGGGTCCGCATTCAATAGTGTTCACTCCTTTCTTCCAAGGTAGTTTCTTGCTCTGTCGAGTCTCAATAGAGGCCGCAAGAGAGGCGAGAGCAAAGACAGGAATAAGGGTCGTAGAGTACTTCATTTTGATAGCTGGATTTTTTTTCTGGAAGAAAAATAAAAGGTCAAGATAGTTTAGAATAAAGAGATAGCAAGTGAATAATTTGTAAATAGTTGGTAGATAGCAAATTAGGGTTACCTAGAGTTGCTGCTAGAAATTATATATCAAATACTAGGGCAGAACTCGCTATTTATAAGGATAAAGTCATGTATATGTAATATTAAGGAGCCTGTTTGCCATGACTCTTGAATTGGGCCACCCCCTATAGCATAACTTTGAGGTTTTATTTATATTAATTTAAATGACTCGAGGTATCCAAGACTCCTAGTAGCGCTACTAATATATAAGCATAAATACATGTGGACTCGTAGTATTATTTGATGTGAGTTATACTGCAATCTATTATCTATATTCGTCAATGCAAAATTATTCGCAGCTATATTATATTGACACTCTACTAGCGCTTTATTTTAGTTTTAATGTAGCAACTATAGTACCACGACTTGTTAAATCAATAAGACAGCTTTTAGCCAACCAGTTCATTACAGTTTGGAATTCTCTTTATCCAACTATCAGGGTTGATTTTTCCTTTAATACAAATATCCCCGATGTAAATACTCCCAAGCACGTCTCCCTATAGTCGCATATTGTATTAGTACCACGCCAACAATCCGACTTCCGATGCACATAGACTAGGCCACGTACGTCGTCTGTTGCAAAGTTACAGCCTTGAATGCCTGATCCAGTTCCAAAACAGAGTTGGTTTTTGGGCTGTTCTAGGCCTGCGATATCTGGTAATGTCCACGCACTGGATGCAGCTAGGCCCGCAAGGACACTGAAAGGGGTTATCGAGCCCCTCATTTAATGCGGCGTCAAGATAAATAATCTGGAAAGATACATAAGGGAGGATATATTAGCAATATGTCGTCACCTTTAACTGGTACCCAGCTGCTTTATACCTCTCTTTTCTCGTGTCCGCTCTAGTCATGTAGCTTGCTACACTAGTGATAAATCTATAAACTACGATGTGAAGCCTACCATTCGCCCCGCTCGCATTATATAATATAAACTGAAGACGCTCTTGCGTGGCATCAGCTGACAGTTGTATCCATTACGTGTGCACCGGGATATGCAGGAATATTGGTCAAAGACCACACATGGGCTGCGTAAGCGGATTGCGGGGAAAAGGGTGTCGAGGCCGCCTTCTGTTCCAACAAGGCAAGAAATGAGCATATAGGGGGAAAAACAGGAAGGTGCGGTGAGAATATTTCCGCCTAGTGTGGCGAGCAGATTCCTTCAAAGGAAAATGGAGCTTGCCTAGACGAATTGGACGAGTTTCTCAAATCTCTTGTAACCCATTAATACTTGGTTTTTCTAAGACAGGCCAAGCCAAGCCAAGCCAAGCCAAGTGGAGAGTGAGTTGTAATATTACTTTTCATGCTGTACCCACGGGTGTCACTGTGACAACTAGGTAGTAAGCAATTTTCTTTACTCTTCCTAAAGCGACAAGGATCAAACGGCTGGGATGAGGCCAACACGTGTCAGGGAACGTCAGAAGAGCCTATCAGTGGTAAAGAGATGATTTGTGCAGGAACTCGTGTCCCCATTGCTACAACACTGCTACGCAGCTTCGTGGATACTCGTCTGTGACTGGACTGCCGAGTAGCCTCGGTACGTTAATGGTCCGACCAAGGCCACGTTTGCATGAATCAGACCATATTTGAGCAAATCCACCCGCCATGCGAAACTTCTATCGCTGTCTTTGGAGTAGAGGCCTCTAAGTAGCGGATAGTGAATGCTACGAATAATATTCAGACTACTGCGGCTGCTTAGTTGGCATCTTATAGGAATATTGCTCTTATTATTACAGTATTAGTCATGATTTCAATAAAAGGTAAGCTGTAACTCACTCGATTATTACCATAAAGGGACACTTACACTGGTACGTAGGTCTAGCGGCGCTCCTTCCTTGTCCATCTGGGCCTGGGCCCGTCATCTCAAGCAGGTCAAACTCGTGAGTAACTGGCGTATTCCCGGGGCAAACAAGATACGTGCCGTACTCGCACTTGGAAGTGGTCTGAGTTGCGACGAAGCTGTTCTTGCCGCCCTATACGGGCGACGAGTAATTGTAAGCGGCAACAACGCAGCTGTTAGTCTAGGCGGTCATGTTCAAGGCGGCGGTCACGGCCCCTTGTCCAGCACCTATGGCCTCGCCACCGACATCTATCAAGCCCCAGTTGTCACGACAAAGGGTCACATTCTCACTGACGAAACTCAAAACCAAGATCCTTTGTGGGCTATCCGATGCGGTGCTGCCGGTCAGTATAGCATTGTCACCGAGCCCGTCTTGAAAACGTATGCTGCTCTAACGACACTCGTGAATTCCATCTTGAGCTTGTCGCTAGCCGATAATACCGTTGACCTCAGCTCCGTATTAAGCGACCTGGAAGGAATTCGCCGTTCTGCTACAGCATCTTCCTGATTTAATGTATTCAGGTCTAGCTGGTTCCATGGTAGCACAGGGTAACCCAAGCTCGGCATGCGTGTTTCGCAGGGTTTTTATGCATTCAATATGACTCCATCGGCCGCCATCATCTTGTTTAAGCTAGCTATTCAACGCATGCAAGCAGTGGCCGGATCTAGTACCGATATTCTCTCGGCCGTGATCTTTAGGGCGACTTTATATCTTAGCCACCGCGCTTTCTTTAAAGGCTCAATAGCAGAGGGCTCTAGCACGGCGGTCAACTTGCGTCCATGCAATGAGCTACAGTGCCAACTTTTACAAGACGGTCACGCCAAAGAAGATGCCAAGTAAGATGGCGACTTGGCGGAACAAAACGACAGAGAAGGTAGGAGAGAGTGGGCTCCCACACAGACGCATATGTGAACGAGGGCAACCCATCTACTCTATACTTTCAGGAGGATTTTTATGGTGCGTCCTATAATTGACTATTAGGGATGAATAAAAAGTATAATCCTAATGGGAGTCTATTTGTCTTGTCTGGGTGGGGAGTAAGTATTGGGACTATAACTTAATAAATAGAAGTCTTTGTAGGGTTAACTAGTAGTTAGTTTGTAATTTCAACTATTTTAGTATGCTAAAACTATGTATGTATTTATAATTAGCTTGTCTTCTTTTAACTACACCTATAAAATCCCTGGTCCCTTGCCTCGTCTACCTCTCCTCCTCGTCCTTAACTTGGCTCTTTCCTTGACCCCCCTCCTTATTATTCTTACCCGTTTTATACTATTGCTTTCTGGTTATAGTCTATCCTATAGCTCACAGGGCGAATTAATTGACATTACCAAGCCCCTCTTTCGATCGATCTACCATCTACCTACCAGTTCCGCAGTTAGCCTCTTGTTCCAGTTTGCCGTCTTATCTTATTACTACTTTCAGTGAATGTGAGCTTGAATGAATCCAACTGAAAAGATGGTGGAAATAATATGCGAAGCGTTACATTCCTACGTAAAAATAACAGTGCTATCTTACTGGATTCTCATAGACACTGAATCAAGCAGGGGCCTAGCTGATGTTTGAGGTGAACTTTGCCATTGAATTTGCCGCCTCTAGATGCGAGATGAATGGCTCTATGAGTTAAACTCCAGATGCCTTCCGATCATCTCAAAACCATGACACATTTCAAATGATGAGTGTGACAAGGGCCTAGCTTGGAGCAATTACTCAATTCATCTAATAACAGTCTTTGGTATCAAAGGTTTTTGGTTTTCCTTAAGGCCTTAAAGATCAAAGACGTCTTTAAATACAAGAAGTTGGTGAGGACCTTCTGCCCTAATCCCGTGACCGTAGCCCTTGTGAAACCGTGTGACATTGGCTCATTTCCATGTGATAATGAGCATATTTGCCGAGCTCCTGCAAACAAGTGTTTTGCTCAGTCTGATTCTCACATGGCCCACACGTACCAGACGTAGTCAGGCTGCAGGTACCCCAGCTTTCTATTTTGTACGAATTGGAGCTACATGAACTGAAAAGACGTCAAGCGGGCTCACACCGCGTCAGAGATTTCAAAAAATGTCCCGTGCCGAGGGTCACAACGTGGAGAGGTGTTAACCCTAGGGCATGGGCCCCTGCATAGCCTCCATAAAGCTATTCCAAGAATAACTTGTGCCATGTTCGTTGAAGGAATGCTTCATAGCCGAGATGTTGCATTCACTCCGTACACTTTGTTTTCACCGTACATCTAACCTTGATCTTTGATTCTCACAACCAGCCGTCTATATCCAAGAATTATTTCTTTATCAAATATGCGCTTCATCATTTCAATACCCCTGGCGCTCATTCTTGCGGCAGCAGCTCAAGACAGTCTAGATTACGATGGAATCTTGCGTTGCAGTACAGAAACTTCGACTCTTGCCATCAATAGCAGTTCCTTGATGGAGAAGCGGCAAAATCAGGCACTCCAACCAATTAGCATTGACTTGTACTTGCACTTCGTGGCACCAGACGACGGTGCTCCCAAAAAGCTCGTATGTTGTGATTTATCCTGTTGCGGAGAAATGCTCATCCCATTGCAGCTTAGAAAGGCGGCCAAGAGACAGCTCTATGTGTTGAACAACGCTTTTCGTCCATCTGGTATTTCATTCACAATGCGACACGTTTTGTTTTGGAACGATGCCTTCCACGCTACTATACAAAATCACCAAGATCTCGCCTCCATGATTGCAAGATACCACAGGGGTGATGCCAACACTCTTAATTTATTTGTTCCCAAATTCCCCAGCCAAAGTCTAGGAATCGGCGCGTGCATATCCTTTGACAACCTCTTTATAGACCAAACCGTCCCCTTGTCTTCCGATGGCTGCTTCGTAAGCCCTACGACTTTTCCTGGCACCGCTACCGCTGGATATAACCAGGGGAAAACAGCTGTGCACGAGGCTGGTCACTGGCTGGGGCTGTTGCACACATTTGAAGGGGGCTGTGATGGGCAGGGCGACCATATTTTCGACACTCCCGCCCAAGCAAAGGCCACTTATACTTGTGACGAGTGGCAAGACACTTGTCCATTCTCACCAGGTCTCGATCCCATCCATAATTACATGGGGTATTCCTACGAGTAAGTCCAACCGCATTGCTTGTAGTCGAAGCGAACATCTAATGTGAGGAAGCGATTGCATGACGGAATTTACCCCAAGACAAGCATTTAATATGCACTACATCTGGCACACGTTTCGCACCAAGAGCCCGTAGCTAAAGGAGTGAGAAGACAATGCATCTTGGCTTGAGGTTGGAGCAACGGCTGAGCCCCGTGTTGACCCGGCCTGCTTTGCGGTCGAGATGCTTCAAGACGCATATGCACCTTGCACGCGCAGACAACCAACGGCATGGCTTCATCTGCCTCAAAACTATAACAAATACAACACAATTAATGCTCGTATAGGCTACCAGATAGCACTTGTGCCCCCAGACACAAAGCTTCCTTGCTCAAGTTGCCCAACTTCGTCTCGCTCAAAAGAATACACGCCAAATGACTACCCACGCCACGCCGTAATAACCAGACGCCCACGCATCCCAACCGCCCAACCTCGTCGATTCCGATCGAAACACCTTGACGCGCCCATTGACAGTCTTGTCCATGTACGTAAATTGATTCGGGGTAGGCGGGTAACGCTCGCAGTCGCTGTTAAACGTCGAGTTCAGCGTCACGGCACCGACAACAGCCCCCGACTCGAGGCGCACATACGTCTCGACAGCCAAGTCGGCAAGCTCGTCCTGCCTCACGACAATCTGCCTCGCGCCGCGGATCCAGTCGCCGTACCCCCCGTACCCCGAGTGCTGGCCGTAGCACAGGCTGAGCCCGTTGCCGGCGACATCCATCCCCGGCAGGCGGGAATCCCACCGGTGGCACCAGGTCTTGCCGTGGTCGTGGCCGTAAAAGAGCCCCATGAGGCCCGGGACATCGACCAGAGCCTGCATAAAGGGCTCGTCCTGCCCGCCGTAGTCGCACGTCGCTTGCTGGCTGTTGTTGCGGCACCAGCCCTCGCCCTGCTGCGAGACGGCCAGCTTGTCGTTTATGCCGGGCTGGTAGTCAGGCTTGGGCTTGGCACGGGTTTGTATCGCCCACGTCGCGTGGATGGGGATGTGGACAAAGGCGAGCGAGGGAATGGCCCTTTGGTACTTTTTCGTCAAGAGGGCGTTGGTTTCGCGGAACCAGGCGACGACGCTGGCGTGTACCCAGTTGGCCTGCGCGGCGCCTTGGAAGTAGTAGCCTCCGCGGCTGTCGAAGAACCACAGGATGAGCTCGGGGGCGCAGCCGTCGCGGGCACAGGCTGCCGAGTACACGGGGAGGTGGTAGTTTGTGGTTCCTGCGTCCTTGGCCGTCACCATTTTGCGCGTTCGCGCCCCGGGCCACATCTGCTCCCGCTTGAGAATGTCGGCGCTGTCCGCGGAGTAGCTGTGATCGTGGTTTCCGTAGGTGGAAGCCCATGTGAGGTTCCTGCGCACCATGGGGGCGACGATCTGGTCAATGTAGTGCGTGCTGTTGTGGCTCTGGGTGGTGTCGCCGTTGATCAAGTCGCCGTTCAAAACGACGAGGTCGGGAGGGTCAAAGTCGAGAACATCGCCAATGACGCGAACCGTGTTGCGGTCTTGGGCCGGACCGGTGCTGGACTCAGCTAGTGACGAGATGGGCCGGGTTAGCGACAATTGAAGCGGCTGTCATGGAACCGTTGCTGTCGGCGCTTACATTGCCCGAAATGCATGTCTGAGAAGATGGACATCTGGAACGTGCCATTGTCGTTGAACTTGAGAGGGGGGAGGATGTCGTCGTTGGCCGCCCGCGGCATCAAGAGCTGTCGCGACACTCGGCTGGCCAGATCTGCCGCAAGATATACTATTCGTAGCATCTTCCTTCCGGTTTTGCTGGTTGAAAAAAAAAAATCAAGAATCAGTCAACCTTGGAGTATGTGGCCACTGCAGAAGCAGTTCCCGTCTTCCTTCGATAAAGTTTCCCCCAACGAGGCAATGGCGCAAATGGCGTTGGCTAGCACCATCACGGAAAGAATGATGTCGCCGGCCGAGCGGGAAATCTGCCTCCAGAGGTCGTCTCTCTCTCTCTCTTGGTGGCATCGTACACGGGTTGGTGTTGGAGGTGTTTGGCTGCCGTCATGTCTTTTTGCCATTCTTGCCAGGGGCCATGCGTTATCAGGCCCCAAGTATACACGACCAATAGTGGCCATGTTGTGGTTCATGGATCCTGCATGATGTTTTGGGCAAGGCCGCGGGCGAAAGCAAGCCACAAGAACTCTCCATGGTCCCAGGCGTGTTTCGCCCGGTCATGGCCCTATCCACGCAACGGCAGCTTTCGGTTCACCACAGCCACGACAGCCAGATGCCAGTCCTGCCGCGCATGACAGGTATGCCGACGAAAGACTCCTCTGGGAAATGTCCAGGTCGGCAGGGAAGGACACGGATCCATGACGTGCTCCGAACCCCGCCTCGTGTCACACCAGACGGCAAAGGACCAGACAACATTGAACAAAAAAGGAAGGTATCACGAGAGCCCGGCTCACGTGCGGGTTAGGGTTAGGGTTTATAGAGACCGCCGGTCCCTCAAGGCCTCCTGGAAACCAAGGACGTTTGATACCTCAAAATCGATTATTGAATTGACATTTGAACACACGTTCCCAGCCCATTTACCCTGCCCTTGTGTCAATAGGATAAATGCCAAGGCCTTCCTAATCCGGCGGATTACCCATAGCACCCGGCGCCGGCTGCAACGCAATAAAGGGTGCATAAGGAGTGCATCGCCACGACACACGAAGTGATGACTGGTCAGGGAGATGAGTTGGGGGATAAGAGGTAGATACCCAAGGCAGCAATGGCTTAAATGCCTCAGTCACCTAGGTCAGGTTACGCACATATAGGACATGGTGTATATATAAGGGTAATAAATCAGGACCTAGATTCAAAAAAAACCACGGACTTTGAAAACCGAAAGATGCATGCAATTGTTGGCTGAATTTGAAGCTATTCACGAGCCCTGAGTGAGCCTTTGTCACACCTTGTCACACCTTGCCACACCTTGCCACACCTAGGAGTACAGCACCGGACCACAGCGCCAATGTCTGGAGTCCTAGACTTGGCGAGCTAGCATTTTCCATTCAATACCAGACTTCTTTGCCAACCACCACGCAAATGGACAACGAGACCGTCTCCGGACCGCTGCTGGACCATGTGGTAGTCCTCGTGTCTCATGCGACACTCGTACAACTACCAAGCCGACTCCAGCATGTCCTCGCCATTTCCCCCGGCGGAACGCACGCCGACGGAGCCACAACCAACAAGCTCATTCTGTTCGAGGACGGCTTCTACATTGAGCTCATCGCATTCGTCGACGGCCTCGATCCCGAGCTCCGAAAGAAGCACCGCTGGGGGCGGGAGAAGGAAAACACCGTCATTGACTGGGCCTACACGCTTGGCCACGAGGAACAATTCGAAGCCGTGAGAGAGCGCGTCCGCCGCGCCGGCGCCTCCATCCACTACACCGCCCCGGAGCCGGGCGGCCGGACGAGGGACGACGGCACCGTCCTGGAGTGGGCGGTGGCTACGGCCCAGCACGACGGCGGCGGCGCCGTGCAGCCGGGCAAGCTGCCCTTTTGGTGCTTCGACAGGACGCCGCGACATCTTCGCGTCCCGTACGAGCAGGATCCGCTGCGGACTCGGCATCCGTGTGGTGCGCGTGGCATCTCGGCGATTCGTGTCGTGGTTCCCGCTGGCGAGCAAAAGGTTCTCGGTCAGGTGTACCACGCGATTCACGAGCCTAAAGTGCCCACCAATCTCTGGAGGTTTGGTGTCCCGTCCAAAACGTCCACTTCTCGGGGTAGTGGTAGTGTCGTCTTGCTCGGGGGCAACGAGTTTGCTATTCATGAAGTCATTTTACTCGGTTCTCCGGACCGCAGGATAGAGCTGCTTCCGGGTTTGTATATCAGGATAAGCCCGCATTGATGGACGGTGCACGGCGCCGTGTGGTGAAGGGGTTGCGGGCGAGCTCACAATCTAGGCGTGGAAACAAGTTGCGATCAAGCCGTCGTCTTTCGTTCAATGTTGGCCTGCTGCGCTCGTTGAAGCTGCGGAGCGATTCAGAGTCTGCCGGGATCTTCTAGTCACAACCATCCTTCCTGTCAAGCTGGTCTGCCTATGTAGTGCGTCATGGCACAAATGTACATGCACTCTGGTCCAGACATGTCACTTATCAGCACATTCATGTTGTAGCCCAAGACCGTGCTGGCGTGACTTGTATTCGCATTTGCACGAGTTTAGTAAAGGGAAGGATATCACATAGCCTAGCTTGTTAGCACACGAGATAGCAACCGATTTTGTATCATGTCGTAGTCTCCATTGATGGGGCTCTCCATGGTCGGTGTCGCCTCTTGTATTACGAAATACCAAGCCCAGCGCCGAAGCCATGCATATCGGCCACTAGTACTCGGCGCTCCTTTCCCTTAGCTTACTCGCCCTTTAGCATGGTGTCATGAGATCAATGGCGATCAACATGTCGACAGGCCCTCCTTGACCCATCATATCGTCGTGGTTTAACGCACGGCTAGTCTCTAGCTAAAGGATAAACTATTCATTTAGGGGTGGAGCGTATAAATGGGTGCGTTCCTGTATAGCGTTGTGATTAAATACAAAAATCAAGTTCTATCTACCGAGTTTTGAGTCTCAAAGCTACCGTTAATTCCCACCTGATTACGGACGTTGAATGTGACAAGGGCTATATTTATAGGGCTTGGAACAATGTTCGATATTCAGCTAATAATTCGCTTTGATATCAAAGGTCCTTGGTTTTCCTCAAGGCCTCAAGGGGCGGGTGACCCTTATTTATATCAAGAGGCGGTCAAAGGGCTGTCCTAGATGCCTAAGGCCTCTGTTAGGTCTCAAGCCCTTGTGTAACTATCGTCATGTTCAAGGTACGGCCCGTGGCTTATGGCAACGTGACATCCGTGTAACATTGAAAGATGCAAGTTTCCAAGAGAGTACAGATGACTCATGAACTGAGCAGGTAGTATCTGTATTCCTGCTTTCGGGAGGCTGCAAAATATAGCCCAAGGCTTATCCCGAAACGTGTTTGCTCATCAGCAAGTATAAACTGATAGTATGTTATAGCATATTTTTACACCTCAATTTCATTCGATGAGCCGCCAAAAACTCGCATTCACTGTCGTTCATCATGGTCTAGTGCGCAATAGCTCAGTGCTTTGGTCTGATCAAATACTACTTGCTTACCACTGTGATAAAGACGAGTACACCAAGGAACCGCATATATCGCAACGATGACCCCCGCTGCTTGTACTGTTAAAGTCGAGTGTCCATCGCAAGGTATTTTTTGGTGTAATTAGACCTCCTTTACCAGAAAGAGTTGCTTCAATCTACCCTCACTGTCACAGTGCAACTGCAACCATTTCACGCAATTGGTACGAGGAACTTTTTTTTCTCCATCACTCTAACAGTGCCTTTAAGCCTGGGGAAAACCCGTTTCCCCTCCATGACTCACAGCCTCTTCTCTACAATTCTCCTTACATCACCCAGATCCAAAGCCGGTACATGTCTGCCCTTGTACCCCGTCATCGACTCCGCCATGAACATGGCATTGTAAATAGCCTCCTCGGCCGCATCGGCAGCCGCCTCAAACAGCCCGTTCATGGTGTCATTATCCGACATGCTTACCACGCGCTCCGCCGGCGTGAAGTCGTTAAACCCAGGCTTGGACTGCATGGACACATCGCCAACGGGGACCTTGTTCGCCGTCGAAAAGGCAAGAAAGATGTCTCCCGAATTGTTGTTTCCATAGCCGCCGACCTTGCCCAGACCAACAGTGGCACGTCGAGCAAGCCTCTGCAGCTGGATAGGGATGAGAGGCGCGTCCGTAGACACGATAATAATGATGCTGCCGTCCTTGCGTGGCTCCGGCGCGTCGGCCGGCTTAGCCAGCTTGCCCTCTCTCTGGAGGATGCGGCCGACGGGCACGCCGCCGATGCAAAGCGTCTCGGCGAGGCCGTAGTTGGCCTGGACGAGGACGCCGACCGTGTAGTCGACCCCGTTGCCGTCGGCGCTGTAGCCCTTGACGACGCGGCTGCTGGACCCCGTGCCGCCCTTGAAGCGGTGGCATATCATGCCCGTGCCGCCGCCGGTGTTGCCCTCGGGCACGGCGTCGGCGGTGGCGCTCTGGATCCCCTGCATGACGTGCTCGGGCGTCACGGCGAACCGCGCCGGGTCGCTCAGGAAGCCGTCGTACGTCTCGGCAATTACGGGCAGCAAAAAGAGGTCTACCTCGCCGCCCTCTCGGCGGTGGTGGCGGTAGACATACTCGGTGACGCCGCGGTAGCCCTCGCCGACAGAGGACGTGGCCGTGATGATGATGGGGGAGCAGAGCAGGCCGGTCTCGTTGAGCCAGTGCGAGCCCGTCATCTCGCCGCAGCCGTTGAAGCGGAAGACGCCGGCGAAGCTCGAGTACTCGTGCCAGTCCGGCCGCGGCAATATGGTGGTGACGCCCGTGTGAACATGGTCATCCGGCTCAATCGACTGCGTATGCACCAGGACGCCGGGGACGTCGGTGATGGAGTTGAGGCGTCCGGTCGGCCATCGTCCCAGGTAGATGTCTGGGAGGATGTTGCGAATCCTGTCGCGCCCGCGCTTGTCTGTGCCAGCCATGGCGAGGTCGAGTACGTACGCCGCACTGGAAAATCAGCCCGGAGCAGGATGAGCTGGGTATTGATTGGCCGGTGATGTTGGTGTGCCTGGGGTTTATCTCTGCCACATTAATGCATCGCTGACGTTGAGCCCCGAGAGCGAGATGAAGACGGAGGGCCCCGTTAAGAACGACCGGGAGCAAATAAGCAATTGAGGGGGTAAGCGTCTGCGCCACCGGGGAGAGTCGCACGCAGAATGGGGACATGTGTACCGCCGCTGAATAATGCCATGTGCTGGCATTGAGAGCCAAGATGTGCGGAATTGGCGGTTCCGAAGGACTTGGCCGTTGACGGGCGCTATCGCAACCCTGCCCCCGTTTTCGGGCTCAATGCAAACGATTACGTGGGGATAATGCGCAGACTTCATTGGGCCGGTGTTTGGTCAAGACGAGTGTACGAATCGAGACGGGAAATGCGTCGTCAAGTGCCTTGTCTGTTGTGAGTCTGTGACCAAAGGACACCACATCACGACATCGCATGCATACACATGCCGGTCTACCAACATAGTCACGTCGGGCGCTCAGGCTTTTCGGATTGACACCACACTCTGCGCGTTTCTATTTCGACTAGCCGTACTCTGTCACAACATTGAAATGAACAATGACTCGTGTCTAGTAAAGCTGCCCCCCAGGTCGACGCCCAGCGCGTCTAGGGCGAGTGCCATTTATCCATTGATTCCTGGGGCTGAAACCGGTTACAGCTCCCTGCTCGTTGACTGACGTGCTGCCATGGCTCGATAAGCTTTGGCAGACCGCGCTCTCGCCTTCTTGCCCCATTTCAGAAGAAGCACCGGTATAAGGAGAATCAGACCCAAGATGCCGGCGACCAAGATGTGAACGTTTTGCAGGCCCATGCTTTCAATCCAGGGGGTGAGCGCGAACAGGACCACGACAGACAGCACGTTTCGGGTGAATATGATGCCTATCATGGAGCTGCCGACAATCTGCGAGGCAAAAGTCAGTCAGTTAGTCAGTCATCCGACGGCAGGGCGGGAGTGTAAAGGAAAAATAAAATAAAATACAAATAACACCCGGTTCCCATCACCCGGGTGCAGGCATGCCAAGTTACTTACGTCGTGATAGCAGTCCATGGCGTAGGACAAGGCAATACTGCCAGCAACAGTCAGGGTGAAGCCAAAAAGACCAAACCCAACCGCGAGCAGCGGCCACGCGACGCCCTGGCGAAGCAGTTGATTAGCATGGACTGGTTATAGTCGTAGTAATAAAGATGCCCACGAAGCAAAGAGCACTCAGCCTACATTTGCCAATCCCACGCCCAGCAAGAGAACGCCGGCCGGCCCGGCAATCGCGCAGGGCAGGGCCAGCCAGAGCCTCATCTCCGGCTCGTACACGCCGCCGTTCCTCCTTGAGAGCCAAAGAATCGACTTGTCGTTGAGGGTGCCGCCGATGAAGACGCCGGGGATCGTGCCCACAAACGGGGCGATGTTCATGAGCCCGACCCCGGCGGCCGAGAAGTTGTACGGCGGGCTAAAGAGGTAGATGGCCTGCACCGACACCAGAATGGCAAACACGGCCAGCATGCTGCCGTACGTAATGGCCGTAAACGCCACCGCCGGAAAGGTAAACAGGACAGGAAACGGCTCGTGCATGTGCCGGAGGATCGACTCGTCAGTGCGCGTCACCAGCCTCATGCGCTCGCGGTACGACTTCATCGGGATACCGCCGTCAATGTAGCTCCGGGACTCGGTCCGCTGGACGTCGTCCTCGCTGATGCGGAAATCAGACTTGTACGCCTTCTCCTCGACGTGCCGGCTGTCCATGTCCGTCTTGACCGCGTCCTGTATAGACGCCGTGTCCGCCACGGGCTGCCCCTGAATGGCGCCGACGTACTTGGACTCCTCGAAGAAGAACACCACAAGCAAGAGGTTGACGCCGAAGAAGATGACGCACCACCACCACATCCACCGCCACCCCTGGCTGTCCACGATGTACCCTGCCGCGACGGGGCCGAGAAAGGCGCCCACGCTGGTAAACAGCAAATACACAGCATTCATAACGGCGTGCTGGTGGATGAAGAAGATGTCGCAGATGGTGACCTGCACCACGGTCTCGCAGACGGCGCCGCCAAGTCCCGAGACCAGGTTGGCCAGCCACATGTCCGCCTGTGTATTTGCGCGGGCAAACCACACGCACGACGCGAGCTGCAGCATCGTGCTGACAATATACAGCGGGCGCCGGCCGTACTTATGCATGAGCGGGATAAAGATGAAGCTGCCGACGGCGAGGCCGGCGTAGTTGAGGGCCGTGGCGCCGTTGAGCGTGCCGACGCTCAGGCCCAGCTCCTCCTGGTACTGGTTCCACGCGGTGAAGCCAATGTCGAGCTGGACAAAGGTGAACAGGACGTAGATCTGGACCAGCCCGTAGTTGACCGTCTTTCGGAGAGAGGACCAGTTGAGCGGGTCGTTGGGGTCCGTCGTCGGCACCGGGTGCAGGACGACCTTGTCCGAGACATTGTTTACTTTTTTTTTTGAAAAGCACGTTAGCCTGCGTCTGTGTAGGGGGTACGAGATGTTTGCTTGAAGGGGGGCCGTTACAATCTTCCAGAGATACGGTGCCCGGCACGTCGGTTTCGTCGGTGCGGTGCTCCATGCTTGCGAGGGCTATCCAGTAGACCTCAAGCTGCTATCTAGAGAGGTTGGCGTCAGAATACCGGGGCGGATGTTTCTTTTCGTCGCAGGTATACATACTAGGGATGTGAAATTCAAAGACGACGTGTTTTTTTGGGTTTTCCGCCCGGACGAGGGTTTGTTATCTAGTTGCTCGACTTCTGCTCCACAGTGACCATCGGCTCCGACAAGACTGGAGGAGTCAGGACCTTTGCGTTCAATGTTACAGGATAGGAATGGGTTACGGTATCAATGGATTACTCCAGGCCGCAGGGTCCACCGTAGATTGGGGATACGGTATCAATCGAGATTGCGCCCTTTCTCATCGTGGAGATTATTGGACCGAGACCAAAACACTGCCATTGGAGGTGCCCGACCTTACGCTGGAGTCACGGTAATGCCAGCCAGTTCCGACCAGACGGCACTTTACGCCTTTGCAGCGCCTGGCCATCTGGGGTAAACCTTGTCACCCGAGTCCTGTCGAGACCGGCCCAAGTTTGGGGTTCGATGTCGGGGGTGGAGAGAGGCGGGTTCAATGTTTGATGCCGTGCGGACAAGACTGAGGCCAGCGCAAGTGCCGGCACCAACGCACCGGATTCGCCGCACGACGCCGAAACATGGGATTAGAAAGAAATCATGCACTGGATTCACAGGTAATGCGCCGAGCAGTCGATCAAATTAAGCTTGTTTTACAGTCGCAAAAGCGCCGGTGCATTATTTATTCACACAAGACTTGACTACATACAGTGTACCTAGCATGGAACGGTTCGCGGGTTCCATGTTCCGTAAAAGACGGCAGTTTCAAATGTTCACGCGGCACTTGGCCCCCTCAGGCTGAAACCAGTTCGTCCATGCCGCCCATGGCCCTCGTCTCGTCCATGGCCTTGCGCAGGGCGGCCGGGTGGCGAGGCACGAAGCGGGCGCGGTAGCGGTGCGGCAGGGCCACCAGGCTCGTCGGGTCAGAGTTGCCCGTGACGGGGTGGCAGTCGACCGTGTCGTGCTTCTCGATGCGGAAGCTGTTGAGCAGCCGCATGTAGACGAGGTACAGCTCGCGGTTGGCCAGCAGGGACCCGGCGCACATGCGGTAGCCGACGCCGTACGTGAAGAGCGGCGCGTCGGGCTGCTCGAACCACCGCTCGGGGCGGAACACGTCGGGGTCGTGCCAGACCTTGTTGTCTGCAGGGGGGGCGAGGGAGTGAGCAGGCAGTCTGGTGATGAGAGAGAGGTTCAAGGTTGGTATCAAATTCTACTTACCCATGTTGCAGGCCCACGCGTTGAGAAACACAATCGACCCCTTGGGGATGGTGCATCCTCCGTACAAAACGTCCCTCGTCGACGCGCGCGGCAGCGCCAGGCGCAGCACCGTAAAGTACCGCAGCGACTCCTTGACCAGGGCGACGACGTAGGCGCACCGCTGGTCGTCGTTTTCGTCGCACATGGGCGTCTGCTCGTCGTAAAACTTGCGAATCTCGGCCACGGCCCGGTCCTGGATCTCCTGGTTCTGCGACAAAAAGGCCACGAACCAGGCCACCTGGGTCGTGACCGTGTCCAGGCCGCCCGACAGCATGGTCAGGCTGATGGACGTGAGCTCCTCCTTGTTGAGCTTGGCGTCCTCGTCCAGGATGACGTTGGCCTGGATGCACGGCTTGTAGGTGCCGTTGGCGATGCGCTCGTCGAGCCCGTCGTTGAGGTTGGTCAGGTACACGTCGCGCCGGCTGCGCATCTCCTTGGCCTTGGTCGAGTGCATGTTGATGGGGTTGAGCCGCAGCAGCGGGATGAAGTCCTGCAGGTTGCCCGTCGTCGACCGGAACCGGCTAATCTCCTCCTCGACGTGCGTGATCTCGTCAAACAGGTTGTCCTTTTGGCTCTTGAGCCGCACGCCCCAGTTGAGCGTCAGCGCGAGCGAGAGCGACAGCCGCTGGATCATGGGCATCGGGTCCGTCGGCGTCTTGCCCGCCTCGCCGTACTCGTACAGCTCGCGGACAAAGTCGCGCGACTCAATGTCCAGGTGCGAGATGTACATCTGGATCGAGGGCTTGTTGAGCGCCGACGCGGCACCTTTGCGCCGCCGCTTCAACGAGTCGCTGTATGGCGACGTGCCGATGGTGGTGCCCGCCGTGTCGGAGAGGACCTGTCATGTTTGTGAGCAAGCGGCAGGAGGGAGGGTTGTGGGAAAAAATAGTAATAATGATGATAATAACAAAAAAAAAAAAAAAAAAAAAAAAAAAAAAAAAAAAAAAAGAGGCAACATTGAACCAACCTTGTGAAACGTGTAGAATTCAGGCCGCGAGCTCATGGCCTGCGCATTTTGGCCGAAAATAGACCTCCCCGCCGCCGCCGAGTTCACCACGACGACGGGTATGTTGCCCAGCTGGATCTGGTAGACATCGCCAAACTTGCGAGCCCATTCGCGGTACTTTTCCGCCGCATTCACGCGAATGTCCCAGAGGTTGCCAATCACGGGCAGGCCCTTGGGCCCCTTCATGCCTCCTATGCGCGCATGGTAGCGAATCACCTCGTTGACGAGAATGTAGACGAGCGGCGCGAGGATGCAGGTGACGGCGAGCGTCTCTAGGGTAAACCGCCGCTCCTGCTCTCTGATCAAGGAGAGCAGCCCGACGACGGACAGCATCGCGACTGTGTGTGTGTGGTGGTTTCAGATGGGGGACGCAGGGGACGCTGTTGCTTCTTGGCGGCTGCGCTGCGTCGAGGTTGATCACGGCAGACTGCTACACTCAATACGTCGATCTGGGCCCGTGTGAGAGGAGCCCTGGCCAGGACTCAGGACGTGTCACTTATTATAATGCAGAGGCACAGCGAGGGGACGCCGCGGTTCCTGTCGGTTCCAGAACCGCCGCCGCCCGCCTGGGCATCGGGACACGGGGAGCCTGTCCGACGAGTCGACGACGATCTGGAGGCGTAGATTCCGCACAATACGGGTCGGCCTGGCTGGTCTCGTGCCGCTTGACCGCCGACGGGGAGCACCAGCAAGTCAAGTCGAGAACGTAGGGCGCTAGACGAGCAACAATGCGCTGCAGAGCGTCGCTCAGCTCGTCTTCTCCAGGATTCAAAACGCGAGTCAAACAAACGTGACCCTCCTGCCCCGCTCCCGCCGTGGCCAAGAGGATGGATTGTTGGGTGCGTTGGCCGGCGAAAACGCCATGGCCGGAAATCCGGAACCGGTTCCGGCGAGGCGCGGAGACGCGTTGCATAACTTCCTCGTCCCACCCATTCACTGAAGATTGGTTTGCAAGCCGTGGTCATCTTTGCTTTTTTCCCACTCGGAAATGCCACCACGCAGCCGAAGAGCGTTCCGGAAATGACACCGCCCGTCGATATGGAAGACAACTCGTCGCCCGTGAGCAACCAGACGGCCGACGTGGAGCCCCCGAAGCGACCTGTGCCGCCCAGTCTGTCGTCAGACGCCGCTCCCAAGCCGAAGCGAGGCAAGTACACGTCGGTGGCATGGTACGTTTGACCGTTTGACCTCTTGCGTAGACGGGTGTGCCTGCCAGACACCCTGGCCAGGGCGGCCGCCGTCCCTCGCGGGCAAGAGACCAGTTGACACTGATGATGAGGACCATGTTTGAAGCAACGAGTGCAAGAAGAAGAAGCTCAAGTGCATCCCCGTCAACGGCTCCAGCTGTGAGCGATGCATCGCCGGCGGCGTACACTGCGTATTTGCCGCCGTCACGCCGCAGAGCAGCAAGAAGAAGGAGGAGAGGTGGGTGGACGCGATCCCCCGTCCCATATCATGTCACGTCACGGACTCTGAGCATGCTGACCGACGCCCGGCGACATAGCAACCACCAGATGCAGGCGCTGGGGGATGAGCTGGCCAAGCTGCGGCAACAGGTGACGGATCTCTCCAGGACCGTAGACGAGCTCAAGCACCAGTCGCCCGGGGCGCGCACCACCATGGCCGGTCACTTCGACGTGGTGGCGGCGCGCTCCCCGTCCAACACGTCCAAGGACAACGTGCCCAAGCACCCGCAGTTCGTAGGGCCGACGCGGCCGTCGTACGGCCTGGTGATTGCCGAGCGGTCGCTCACGCGCATGGGCATACCGGCCTCGCCGTCGCCGTCGCCCAGCGGCGCGCCGTCCCCGGCCGAGCCCGAGCAGGCCGAGGCCACCGACGTCGAGTTCTGGGCCGAGTGCTCCCCCGAGGAGATGGCGAGGCTGCTGGCCGTCTTCGAGGAGGAGGTGGAATCCGTGTACCCCTTCATCAACATCCTCGAGCTGGCGGCGCGCTCGGAGCAGATCCTGCGCGTCATCCGCCACCCCTCGCTGCTGGACGAGGCGCCCAGGGTCGACGTCCACGAGCCGCCCTTGACCTGGACCGACGTGCGGCTGGCCAAGCTCGCCGTGGCCACGGGCATCGCCATCGAGGCGCACGGCAAAAACGACCTCTGCGCCGCCATTGCCGAGTCGGTCGTGGCCGTGACGGCGCGCATATCCAGGACCGAGGTGGAGCTCAAGGGCATCCAGCTCTTGATGATGCTGGTACGTAGCTCGCGCGCTCTTTTTTTTTTTCCTTTTTTTTTAAACTTGACAAGACGCAGCGGCAGCTGGACTGACCGTCGCCCGCAGAGCATTTACTACTTCCACTGCGACGACGAGCTGCTGGCCTGGAGGACAATCGGCATCGCGGCCCGCGAGGCGCTCGAGATGGGGCTGCACCGGCGGAGGAGTCTCTACGACAACTTTACCGATCCGCAGTCGCGGCACGCCGCCCTGAGAGTCTTTTGGTGCTGCTACGTCCTCGACCGGCGGTGGAGTTTCGGCACGAGCCTCTCGTTTTCCCTGACGGACAGGGACATTGACCCAGCGCTTCTCGAGCCGGTCCGTATCTCGGCCCCTCACCCAGTAACCCTAACCCTAACACAACCCTGAATACTAACCGGGACCACCTCTCCAGGACATCGACTCGTCATACCTCAAATGCATGGTGGGCTACGCCCGGCTGTGCTCCAAGCTGTGGGACGCGATCCCGCCGTTCGGCTCGGCGTGCCAGTCGATCCCGGCCGACGTGGCCAACGCGCTCGACGCCAGCACGCAGACGTGGCTCGAGTCGATCCCCCCCCATCTCCAGATGCGTCACCCGCGGGCCTTCTACTCGACGCGCTCGCAGCCGCGGGTGCTGCACCGGCTGCGCGCCTTCCTCTACCTCCGCGGCAACCTCACCCGCATCTCCATCTACCAGCACCACCTGCTGAGCGCGGCCACCATCAAGGCCGACCTCGCGCGGGCCAAGGTGGCCGTCGACCTGGCCCAGGACACGGTCCAGGTGCTGGTGCACCTCAACGCCACGTCCGACATCTACTCGCGCCAGCAAAACGCCTTCAACTACTTCCTGCTCGGCGCCTTTGCCGTCATCTCCCTGGCCATCTGCCACGCGCCCAACGTCTTCGCCGCCGGCTGCGCGCAGAGCTTCATCGACGCCATCGGCCTCGTGAGGGGCTTCAGCCGCCACAGCATCGCCAGCCGCCGCCTGTGGAAGAGCATCCGGGGCCTGCTGCCGCGCCTCAAGAGCCTGGGCCTGCAGGACTGCGACGCCGGCGCCGGCGGCGACCGCATGCACAGCCCCTCGGCCGCGGGGACCCTGGGGAGCGACGCCTCGTCCATGTCGTCGTATATTGTGCGCGGCCGGCCGTCCGTCAGCCGCGCCGACGACGACCAGGTCTGGCCGGCAAACGGCCGGCAAACGGGCCCGGGCGCCCTGACACATCCCGGTCTGGGCGCCGACATTCCCGACATGACGGAGCTGAATAACGATATTTTGAATCTATTTGACACCCTGGGCCAGGGGAGCCAGTTCCCGGACGACTTTGACTCGGGGCTCTACAATGCGCTGGATGCGGACCTCGTCGGCGGCGACGGGCTGGACATTTCGCGGCGCTTCTTGCAGGGGCTCATGTGACGGCTGATGATGCAATTATGTGTATATATATGGCATTTTTGCCTTGGCGCTTTGGAACTATATATATGGTTTTTATTTAATTTTTTTATTTCATTATTTTACCCCCCGGGTTTTGATACATGCATTTACAGCCCATTCTCCAAATACACCATCATGGCGCCCGAGTGCGCCTTTTTCGCAAACTCCTTGAGGTTTGCATGCGCCGCGCAGCTATTGTCGTAGTACTCCATGTCCTCGAGGGACGCAAAGACGGAAATGGCGGCAAATGTGAACCCCTGCGCCCGCTGGTCCGGCTTGGTCGGCCCAGCCGTCACCGACTGAATGTACGGCTTGCCATCCTGTGTGACGAGTGAGAAACCAATGTTGCAAAAGGAGCGGGCGGCGTACCTTGACTGCCTTGGTCGGCATCTGCCGGTACAGTTCTAGCAAGTGCTGCCGGTCATTTTCGCTTTCAATCTTGAACAGGGTGACGCGGTGAATCGGTGCCATGGTTGTGCGTCGAGGGGGTGGTGCGCGAGCAAAGCGGTAGAAATGGGGTTCTGGCACTCGACAGCTGGGTTATACGTGGGTTCAATGTTCTTAAATGCTACGTACCTTTTTTGTAGTGGAGGGCGCATGTGTTCCGGTAGACTGCCGTGTGTTCCAAGTGTGAGGCTGCGAGTCGGAATTCGGAAACCCACACGGCGAGATGTCCGCCACGTCGGAAGTAGATCCGGCGATTCGCGAGACTGGAGAAAATGAGACGGAAAAAAAAAGAAGAAAAAAGAGAAAACTAAAACTAAACAGCGGCGGAAATTTGACAAATTCTAGCCAGAATCAAGTTGCCGGATGGATATATCGTCTCATGGGCGGCTCGTCATCTTGACCCCGCGATAGGACACAACTACGTGATGCCGAGGGCAAGCGACTACATGTGTAGATAACAAAATATACAGGGGCCAAGGAATCTACCCGCAAACAAATTCGCGCAAAGATGCCCTGTGACTGCTCACGAGTGAAATACACATGCACGATGCACGTCTGGCCATGCGGTGACAGGCTTCATCGGTCTGTACATGTCGATGCAACATTGAAGATTGGACTACTCTATGCGCGCACAACTAGCCTACGTTTGACTCCAACTAACTCTACCCCGTCCACACCATCTACACCATCTACACGCCGTTGCCATTGACGGCGGGCTTGCAGCACTCCCCGTTGGCCAGCTTCGACCCGCTGTCCAAGCTGGACGGCACGTCAATGGCAGGGTTGCCCGTGAAAAAGTCGGACGGCGTAATGTGCACCTGCAGCATCTCCACGGGCCTGAATCGCGTCAAGTTAGCAGCCGCCTACACACAGAAGTGAGCGTAAAGGGGAAGAGGGGGATTCTTACATGACGGGCCAGTCCTCGACCCTTGGATTGTGCGTCAGCCCAAAGACGCTCCACACGACGATATCTTCGTCCTCGACATTGTCCCCCCGGGCCGCCGCGTCCGCCAGCCCGTCGACCTCGCGCCGGCTCTGCAGCGTGTACCGCCCGCCGGCGTACAGCTCGTCGTCTCTGTACTTGGTCACCCACAGGTGGTGCCGCGCAAAGAGCGCCCGGTTCGACTGGATGCTGCCGGGCGCCGCGAGCAGCAGCTGCGTGGGCGGCGTGGTGATTTTGTACCCGACGGGCTTGCCGCTGATGGGGTTCCGCCTCGACGGGTTCTGCACCTTGAAGACGCGGTTGCGGAAGGGGTCGAGGTCCATGCCGGCCGACGTCTTGACCACCGTCGTCTGCACCTCATACAGGTTGCCGTTGGGGTTGGTCGCCGGGTCCACGGCCACGGGGACGCTCTCCTCCCGCACGAGCGAGTTGCCGTGCCCGTCGACGGCCGGGTCGATGCGCGCGCAGAAGATGTGCTGGTGGTTCTGGGCCAGCGTGCCCGGGTTGACCACGTTGCCCCAGGGCGCCGTCTTGCCCTCGTCGATGTTGACCACGGACACGATGCCCGTGGCCCGCGCTTCTAGAGTAATACCCGCCGCCTGGTCGAGCTTGAAGGCAAAGATGTACTCGTAGTTGGCGAGCGTGATGATGAACTGCACCACCAGTTCGCGGCGCCGCGTGACTACCGCGCGCCCCGTGCGCCAGTTGGTGTGCTTCCAGTTGATGCCGTTGTCCTGCTCGTGAAGGCAGATGACGTTCTTGCTCACTTGGGCCGAGCCGTCTGGGTTGGTGAGAAGCCCGTCAAAGTACTGCGCGGGAAGAAGCATCAGCAGCTGTGGACGACGAGGTGGGAGCGGGATGCAAAGACGCGGCGGCTTACCTTGATGACTCCAAGACAGTCGCATCCCAGTGTCAGGTTGTTGACGCAGTTTCCCAGTCCACCGTCGCCAAAGTCGAATGCTTGCTTGCGGTGAAAGGGGGCTCTGGGGTCGGCATACGGCACCGTCTGCGTGGTGCCAGGCAGTACTGATTAGCTTGGATGAAGAATTTGATGAGAAAGGAGGGGGTAGGCGTCTATACCATGTCACTGATGCTCAATCTGTACAAGACGTCGCGCCCGTCGTAGCGGACATCGTGCAACACGGCGCCTTCTCGCGGGTTAAAGGTGACGCGGAAGCGCCATTTCTGCCACTCAATGAGGTTCTCATCAGACACGGTGAAGCTCGCGCCCTCGGGCTGCACCACGGTCAGGGGCTTCACGTCCTTTCTCGTGCCGCCCGGGATGAGCTCGGGCACGTATTCCGCAGACCGGCAGTGGTCCAGGACCTGCGTCTTGTGCGAGGCACCGCTCAGGGCGTCGCCTTTGCCGCCCGTTGCGGGCTGGTCGATGCGAATCACCTCCTTCTTTCTCGCGTCTACAATGGGGATAAAGGGCAACGGGTACGCGTAAAAGTTGGAGTCTGGGTTCCCGCTCCTCGTGTCTCGACCAAAGCACAGGGCTTGGAAGAGCCGAGTCTGGCCGTCGGCCTCGTCGGGCCCTCCATACGGCCAGGGCTCGACGACGAGCTCGAATCCCTCGGGCAGCTGGATGGACTTGAGCTTCTCCTGGAAGACTTGGGAGTTTTTCACAACCTCGACTACTCTCTCAAACTCATAGCTACACGGACGGGTGAGCCGGTGCGTCTGCTGGCAACGGGGCGGTGCAATACCTACATGGACAGACTGGCATGGTGTTCCTGGCCCACAACAGTGTGCTTGACCCGTTGAGCTGTTGCGACATTGATAACAGACTCGTGGTACTGCGTGGGTTCTGAGCCCCCAATGACATCGTACTTGACCTGGGCAAGACGGGCAGGGCGAGGGCTGTCGGGCGTGAGCTTGGCGGCGTGCTCCAGAGCCAGAAACTTGAGCACGTCGGCCTTGTTGGGCTCGAGCAGATAGATGGCTCGAAAGTCAATAACGGCGCCGGGATGCAGCTTCAGGACGGCATCTCTGGCGGCGTTGGACTCTTGCGCAGAGAGGTCAGAAAGGGGGTGTGGGACCGCAGACATTGTCAGTGCTCGAATGGATCAATTGCCTATTGCAGAGGATTGCAGGTCGACGAGAGAACAAATGCGTTGATTAAATGAGGCTCGGAGGCGGCCACTTGCGTCAGTTTGGTGAGGGGAAGTCGAGCGTCTGGGGTATTCGGAACACGGCCTTTGTTTTCCGAGTGGATTCGCCATCAATCAATCATCGTGTCGATGTTTTCCCCAGTTGAGTATCCACAGCATCGGCATTCAATGCTGATGACCAATTGCCCGAGTCTGGGACTCTGGGGTTGACATGGCACGGGGCGCGTCTCCAGACGACTCCTGGTGCCCGAGCCTCGGAGCCGGGGAGTTTCACGACTCCATTCTATATCGACGCTTTGGTACCTTGTCGAGATGGGGACTGTCATAGTTGGAATGTATGCAAGATCCTATTAAGAGCCGACCGAGTCAATATATTGAATACCCTCTCCACGATATTGACATGTCCCGCTTGCCAAGACTCCGGGGCCGGTACTTGGAGACCTGCCCGGACGGCCATAAGAAAAAGAGGAAGAGGCCTGAATTCCAAAGTTAATAACAAGAGGACATGGATAGGGGGTCTGGTTGAATCCAGCTCCAGTTGACACCTTGGGCCACTCTGTTTTGGACGCAGCCTCTCAACAACCACTTACCCCAACTCCCTCCCCAAGTACCATCGACTTGACCACTTGATGCCTTGTACGGTCGCAAGGGCGTCATGACTGTATTAGTTTTCCATGTTAATGACAGGAATTCGAATCCCATTGGCAGGCTACCCGGCATGGCCCGCCACTCCGCAGCCCTCAGTCTCTATACTCGGTCGTGTGTCAAAGCCGCCCCTCAACTCGCACTCACCCCGAGCCTTGTCACGTCTTTGATTATCAATAGTCTGGCAACCCTGTGAAACGGCGTCTGCCACAGTCCCCTTCAGACACCGGTCGACGACTCCTACGAAGTCGGAATCGGAAACTAAAAGGCGGGGAGCGCCAGCCAGCCATGTCCAGCCACAACACGGACAGCAACCGCTCCCTTATCGCAATGGCAATATCGACGTTGTATTTGGTCGCCAGGCGGATGCCCTGATTGAGCCTAGGCCGCATCCTCGCGAGGCTAGTTTGATCGTCACCACAAATTGTCCATCGTGATGGCCACCAACGCACCTCTACCGTCGACGCTTCCTTTAAAAAAGTAGCCAGCGCAATCTACACGGCGCGGTTGTTTAGAGCGTCTGAATAGTTTTTTTTTTCTTTTTTCTTTTTTTGTTTTCATCTCGACCGCATTGTACGCAGAAACCATGGATGAGGAACGGCGTCTTGCCCAGCTGGGCCATGAGCAGGAGCTCCAGAGGCGATTCTCCCTGCCGGCCTTGGTCTCGCTATGCATCTGCCTGATGGCGACGTGGGAGGCCACTTCGACCGTGATTGCGACCGCGCTGGTGAGCGGTGGCTCTCCCTGCCTGTTCTACAACTAGTAAGATCATAGAGTCGAGAAAAAAAAGCATTGACAGGCTGACCAAGCGTAGCGTCTTGTCGTTTTTCTTTTCCATGTGCGTGGCCGCCTCGCTTGGCGAGATTGCGTCCATCTATCCCACTGCTGGAGGTACGTGATGCACTTTTCAGCATAGTTTGTGGCATTTTACCAATTTTTGCTCGCTACAGGCCAATATCACTGGGTTGCCGCGCTGTGCCCCGGGCCCAGCAAGATGACGGCCGCCTATGTGACGGGATGGATCTCGGTAGGCGGCCAGATCATCCTGACGTCGTCGGCTGCGTTTGCTGCGGGCCTGCAGACGCAAGCGCTGATTGTTCTGAATGACGACGGCTACATCCCGCTGCGATGGCAAGGGATGTTCCTGTACTGGGGCGTCCTCACCTATGCCGCCATCCTGAATATCTGGGGCATGCGGGTGATGCCTCATGTCAACATCCTCTCAGGTAGGTGTCCATGTCTAAAAGACGTCCAAGTCGGCTCCTTGTTTTCTAACCTCGTCAGGCATCATCCACATTGCGGGATTCGTCGGCATACTTGCTACGCTGGCGGCAATGGCCAAGAAGACGACCAGCCAAGTCGTGTTTCTCGACTTTGTCAACAGCAGCGGCTGGGACAGCGACGGCATCTCTTGGCTCGTCGGGCTTGTCAGCGCTGTATATCCATTTCTTGGGTAAGACGTTGTGCCCCGTTGTCCGTGACAATATTTGCTGACCCTGGCTTGTCTGCGCAGCTACGATGCGGCGTGCCATCTTGCCGAAGAGTTGCCTCAGCCGAGTCGAAACGTGCCGCTGGCCATGATCGGAAGCGTCTTTGTCAACGGCGTCATGGGTCTGGCCTATGTCATTGTGCTGCTGTACTCGGCTGGATCTACGGACCTGGAAAATGCGCCCTTGGGCTTCCCGTTCATGCAGATCTACCTTGACGCTACCAACTCACGCGTCGGCACCACAATCATGTCCATCATGGTCATATTGATCGCCGTCGCGGCCACCATTGCGGGCATCGTGTCGACGTCGAGAACCGTTTGGGCTTTTGCTCGCGACCAAGCGACCCCTTACCACGAGGCTCTATCTCACATCAGTCCCCGTCTGCAGATTCCGCTCAACGCAGTTCTTGCCGTGGTTGCGCTCCAATTCGCACTGGGCTTCATCTACCTGGGTAATGACACGGCATTCAATGCCATCCTGTCCATGGCAATCATTGGGCTGTACTTGTCGTATCTATTGCCCGTCTTGTATATGCTTTTTCACGGCCGGTGGAACTTGCAGCCGCACCAGTACGGCAGATTTCGTCTTGGGTTTGTGCCAGGCATAACACTCAACATTTTGGGTGCTATATGGATGGTTACCGTCATCATATTTAGCTTGTTCCCGACGACAATGCCTGTTACGGCAAAGAACATGAACTACTCCATCGTCGTGTTTGGTGGTTGGATGGTGTTTGGTCTGGTCTACTATGTATTTCGTGCCAGGCACAAATTTCAAGTTCCGTTGGTCGACTCGGATGCCATCTCGGGCATCGAGACGCAATTGGATGAATTTGAGAAAAGTTAGAGGGCAGGTATCCCGATATCATATTCTCTGTTTATTTAGCTAGCCTTTTTTGTATCAAGATTTTTTTTTTTGGCTATATTCCTAGCCTAGCATTTATATTGCAAGACAGGAAAGTCCCGAGGAATACATTGTGATACGCCCGTTGCTGGACCCGTGGAAACACCCATTTTATTTCAGCGTGCTGGTTGGTTCTGAATCGACTGCCCGCAAGGAGTTGGGAGTAAATGCGGAATTACAATATATATCTGGGAGATGTATTGGTGTCTCTTGCCAGCCAGAATAGCACCAAGCCTAGGAAATGAATAAAAGCACAGGTGATTTTTTGACGTCAATTCTTTAAAAGATTTCATTTTCTCCATGGAGGTATTTATTGCTGAATTAAGGCACCGTGATAGTAAAGCACGCTATATCCATCCAAGAGTATCTTACGTATTGCAACAGGCTAAGCCAAAGCCGCCCAGACATCTATCTATCCATGTTTTGCTCCGGCTATTATAACTGTAAAGGGTCCCGAATGCAACAGTGTCCTTGGATCATGAGCACCTACAATATCCGGGAACAACACAAGCGCTCATTATAGCATTAGAGAGAGGTATTTCCGAGTAGAAACCAACAGCTTTAGACAGCTTCAATAACTCGACCATTTATAATTCGCCAGACAAGTAGGTTCGGCGGGGGTAATCCAATAAGTAGCTGCAATAACTACTATACTATTAGCACCAACTCTATCGTCGCCATACATAAAACGCTTAATAAATTCTATAATCTAGTTCCGAGGACGTTTATTTCTGCGCCCTCTTCTACCAACAGCTGCATTCGCTTCTGCACGGTTATAGGCACGTCAATTTCGTTGGTACCGTACCTGTGCTGTCGGTAACATATAATCGTAAGCCAACATTGAATTTGTAGCCTGTATATTGAAGCGCTAGAAGTAAGCATTATATGAAAGCAGTCTTAACTTGAGTAAATATTATTCTTACATACCACTTTATACGTTTTTCTTCCCGCGAGTCGTAAAAGGCAGCATTGCGAATTCAGGTTCTGACTCTAGGGTACCCTCATTTCAACAAGTTGAATAACATCAAAACCCAAAAAACCAATGCCGAGATTTAATAAACAGCATCTAGGCAGCACTAAAACACGAGATAGATTTTCTCAAGTTAAGCAAACTCAAATATTCAGAGTACCAGACATTTATATTTAGAGACTAGCCTATAATTTCAACCCAAGATCAACAGTCAGAGTACAGCGAACCATCCTCTCCCACCAAAACCACACAAAGGACCGACAGATTAATTATTTTCCTCCAGTCAATGCTTCCTGATACACATCTCGAACCCCGCCGATATACCAGCCTACTCCATCACGCACCGTGACCACATGCAAGTCCAGCATCCCCCCACGCCGCAAGCAATGCAATGGTGCCACCATCAGCACAAAATAGTATATGCAGGAATGAAAAACCAAAAACACCAGACATCAATCGAATGGGAAACTGGCCCGTCAGCGTGTACTAGTCATAATCCGACCTCTATCAAGGGGCCGAGATTTGCATTGAATGCTTCCATGTTTTCCCGCAGCCTCGACGAGTTTACAACACAGGCGTCATCTTTACAAATATTACATATCGACCAGACGAATCTACAGCTTGACCGGGGTCCACAGCAGAATGTCTACAGGTCTCCCGGAAAGCGTCACCCACAGAATCGGCGGCTCACTACCGACCTTGGTCGACTTCAGAGGCCCAAGGAGCGTAGTGGTGGCGATGCCTCCAGGAAAAGTGACGGGCACAGGGGCACTGCACGTGTTTCCGTTAGCCGTCACCGTCACCTTGGTAATGGTCTTGCCGTCAGCAGAGTACGTATACGACGACTTTGGCTGACACGCATCGAGGGCCATCCGGTTGAGGAAGTAGGTAGCGAGGTCGTCGTGCTTGAGCGACAACAAGGGCCAGTTGGTCAGGCGCGTCATCTCCTGGGCAATGGTCTCGACCCAGGCCATAATCAGGGACTGCTTGCCCGTCTGCGAGCCGATGGTCAGAGGAGCCACGTCGGTCTGGCGCATGTTGGCCTGGTGGAACATGTACGGGTCGGCCTGGAGGCTGAGCAGGTTGCGCGTGTTGACGGCGCGCGCGTTGTCGAGGAGGCTGTTGAAGTCGCCCGAGCCGCCGGACGTGTCGATCCACTCCTTGACAGTGCACGCCGGCAGGTCGCAGTTGTAGTAGATGGTGGTGGCGAAGCGGGGGATAATGGTGATGCCCTCGCGGCCGTTGGTCTGCACGGTCGAGCGCAGCGGCCAGTAGACGCTGTTTTGGTTGCGTAGCACGGGGCGCGTGTTGTCGCCGACCACGTAGATGATGCCGTTGTCGGTCCACGCCTTGATGGCGTCGGCGTTGTGCAGGCCCGTGATGGCGGGCGGGATGATGCCCTTGGGGGAGAACCGCGCCGCCCGGTCGATGCCCACGGACTTGAGGAAGGCCTGGTTGAAGAAGATTTCACGCGTGGCGTCGTGGTACGTGGCATTGTTGAGCTCCTCGTGCGAAAACGTGTGCGACACGTGCGCAAAGGCGTTGAGGTTGTTGGTGTTGGTGAACCAGGCGCCGAGCGGCTCGAGCTTGGAGCAGGTGGCCGACCACGTGTAGCTCACGAACTCGGCGGGCCAGAGATCCACGCCGGTCCCGGGCGGCTTCATGAACTCGAGAGGTGTATCTGGGGGGGAGGTGTAGTCCACGGCGTAGGCTGGCTTGCAAGTCGTTTCACCGCTTGCCGTTGCCGTGGAGCCGATGATGTTGCCGTTGCCATTGTGGCCCATCTCGAGCCAAAAGTTGGACCCGGCGGGCAGCCGGGTAGCCAGGTTCTTTTGCCAAGCGACATGGGCATCCAGATCTCCGGGTCGGAGCCGGAAGGTGGTGTTTGGGGGGTAGTAAAGCTCCGTGTCCAGAAGCACGTCGTCAACCTGGGTGCTCAAGTAGCTTTGGCGCTTGCCAACAAACAAGCTGCGTGTCATCCAGTGAATGTAGGCGTGCTGCAAGAAGCTCGAGGTCTGGGACCAGGTAGGATCCCAGCTGATGAACCATACCATCTGCTCGCGGCCATTGGCGGAATGCACCACGGCAGCGGTTGTCTTTGACGCAAAGCCGGCGGCCGCCTCAAAGCCCGCCACTTCCTTGGTCGTGGTTGTGTTTGTGATGGTGGCCGGGTAGTGCCAGAGACCCTGCGTAGACACGCCGGCATTTCTATTTGCACTCGTTAGCTGCCGGTATATTTCTCTTTTCTGAACAACAAGACAGAGAGAGATGTCATGTTTCAGGTGGGCACATGCACGGTGCAGTGCGCGTGAACGTGCTGCGTTGCATCGCGGCAGATGAATGTGACGTACGCTTTGAGATTTGCCCCGGGAAACTGGGAAATATCGGTGAGACTGATCTTTTGCTCGGTGTTGCTTCCGCAACAGCCGGGCTCAGCAGTATTGGCCACGATGGTACCTTGGAAAAAGTCAGGACGAAGCGGACAGAGTAACGACATGGACGTTGCATCCCGCGCAACTCACCAAATTCTGCGCTAGGAAACTCATTAATTCGAACCATGCGCACCTTGAAGGTGGACTGGTAGCTGTTTATTTGAGCCCACTGCTGGGGCGTGAGGGCGCTGGCAAAGGTGCCATTATTATCATATGCAACATTGGAGATGACGACGATGCCGCCATAGTTGCCCTGCGTCGCCGAAGAGTTTAGAACAGGCAGGTTTGTTCCCCCGGCGGGAAATATAACTTTTTGATAGGGTATGCCATAGCCGTCGAGGCCCATGGCCGCGCCTTTGGCTTCCGCATCATCGCGGGCCAGGATCAAGACGGTGCTCCCAACGGTGATGGCGGCAGCTGGGAGGATATTGCCCAACAGGCAGAGGGCACAAGCGGCCCTGGTGAGGGCATCAACAATACCGGACCGCATGCTTGGTGCTGTCTTGTGCTAGGGAAACAAACGGTCTGGTGGTCCTTGTTGTTCTTGAGAAACCGGTTTCTTTACAAACTGGTGTCCAAGCTCAATTATTAGTCCAAGGCAGACGACCGGCGAGTGTCCCAATAAGAGAGCAGTGGTTTTAGGTTTGCGGGTCACGGACACTCTTTGTTCTTAAACAATCAAATGCGTCTGCAAAAATTCTCATGAGCGACGGCGTGCCATGGTAAGCGTGCGGCTGAAGGGCATGACGAAACAAAACTCGCTCGTTCTTACGACAACCCGGCCCAGACCAAGATAAACACAACCAGCGTCCCATGCCCAGAAAAAAAAACAAAGCATGTATGTACGCTTCCTCAATTAGCTTGCTCGGCGGACAGGGAGATTTGGCTAGGGCCTGGCAAAATCATGCGACGAGGCAAATACGAGCTGTGGCACATCCAAGTGTCCATCCGGAGTTTCGTCAGACCCTTCAGCCTTCACCGGAAACTGCTGACTGGTGCGTCCGAGAACGAGTCAACCGGGATAAAGAGGCGAGACGTGTCTGGCATGGACCCCTGTCCTGGCCTCCGCGCTTCCCAGAGTCTGGATCGGCTGGTACGACGATGGCACGGCCATCCCGGCGCTGAACCCCCTGGACGGGCTTGTGAACCATGGTCAAAGCCCCAAACGCTCCAGATGTCCCAGACACAGTGCACCTTGACCCCAGCCTGCTGTGCTGGCAGCTCCAAGGCGATCGAGGCCGTGGGCCACGGTGGGGCGATCTGGGGGCATTCGGATGGCAGAGTCTCGCTCGAGTCCGACGAGGCCAGCCCAGACCAGACCGCCGCGCTGCATAATAGCCTCGCCGCGGCTTGCAAAGTCAATCGTCGAGTCTGGTCGTCTGGAACAACGCGAGATGCACTGGAAGCAGCCCGCCATGGATCAAGACCTGCAAGACACCTCGAAACCACTGCGGCCCGCCCGCGCGCCGTGGTGGCGGTCCAAAAAGTTCATCATTGCCGCCGCCATTGCAGCCGCCCTCATCATCATCGGATTGGCAGTCGGCCTTGGCGTCGGCCTGACCAGAGGCAAAGGCGGCGACGACGACGACAATGGCCAGGAACCACCGGGCGGCGACTCTGGAGTCAACCGAACCTCCGTCTACAAGCCCAAGGCCGGCACGACGTGGCAAATCATCCTCAGCAAGCCCGTCAAGCTGGGCGACAACGGCGACGTGACGCCCAAGATGGAGGCCTACGACCTCGACATGTTCGACAACGACGCCGAGTCGTTTGTCAAGCTTCACAATGCCGGCGTCAGCGTCATTTGCTACTTCAGCGCGGGCACCTACGAGGACTGGCGCAGCGACAAGGACAAGTTTGACCAGGCCGACATGGGAAAGCCGCTCGACGACTGGCCCGGCGAGAGGTGGCTCAACGTGTCGAGCCCTACGGTGCGCGACATTATGAAGGCGCGCATCAAGCTGGCCGCCTCCAAGGGCTGCCTCGCCATCGACCCGGACAATGTCGACGGCTACGTAAGTGAAAGAATACTACTCCCCCTAAAAAAAGACACGCAGCTCACATGCCACGACTAGCAAAACGACAACGGCCTGGGCCTCACGACGGAGCAGGCCGTCGACTTTGTCAAGTTCCTGTCCAGCGAGGCCGCCTCGTACAACATGTCGACGGGCCTCAAAAACGCCGCCGACATTATCGACGACGTCTTGGACGTGGTGGCCTTTTCCGTCAACGAGCAGTGCGTCGAGAACAGCGAGTGCGAGTCGTACGCGCCCTTCATCAAGGCGGGCAAGCCCGTCTTCAACATTGAGTACCCGAGCGACGCCGGCGCGGCCAGGGGCGTCAGCTCCGCCGTGTCGACGGACATTTGCTCGCGCAGGGGCAAGTCCCAAGGCGCCGAGAACTTTAGCACCGTCATCAAGAAGATGAACCTGGACGGCTGGGTAGAGTACTGCGACCAAAAGGTGTTTACGACCGACATCTTTAGCTGATGCAGGAAAGGGGGGACGTTTCTGGAACAAGCCACAAACTGCTTTCCAGAACGACCAGACGTTTTGAGAAAAACGAAAAAAAAAAAAAAAAGAAAAAAACAAGCGACATGCCAAGCAAGCAAGGGGAAGCCGTTTTAGGAACAGCCACCGGACGTAATTATTTTTTTCAGGGGAGACTTTACTGTTTTAGAAGACGAATAGCCTAATTTGTATCGTTACTATTACTACTAGCCGAATCTTTAAGCCACATTGTTTATTTTTCAGGGGAGACTGTTTTAAACGACGAGTCAAGTAGACTACTCTGTACTGTAACTATGTACTACTAGCCGATTCTTTAAGCCACATTTATTTTTCAGGGGAGACTTTACTGTTTTAGAAGACGAATAGACTAGTTTGTATCGTGGCTATTATTGCTAGCCGATTCTTCAAGCCACATTTATTTATTTATTTTCCAGGGGAAGCCGTTTAAACAACGAGTCAAGTAGACGACTACTTTGTGCCGCGACTATATACTACTAGCCGATTCTTTAAGCCACTTGACATTTAGTTATTTTTCAGGGGAAGCCGTTTTAAAAGACGAGCAGACTAACTTGAACCGTAGCTACGTACTATTAGCCGATTCTTCAAGCCACCAGACATTATTTATTTTTCAGGGAGACCGTTTTAAAAGACGAGTCAAGTAGACTACTGTGTGCCGCGACTATATACTACTAGCCGATTCTTCAAGCCACATTTATTTATATATTTTTCAGGGGAAGCCGTTTTAAATGACGAGTAGGCCGCTTTGTCCCGAAACTATATGCCAGACTATACTACACTAGTCGATTCTCAAGCCACATTCATTTCCAGGGGAAACCGTGCGGTGTCCCAGACGAGGGGCCAATTTCGCACCCAAACGACCACACACCACCACTGGTCGAGTCTTCAAGCCACACACACCTTCTTTCAGGCGACATGGCCGTCAGAGAAACAAATAGCGCCAATCTCTACTCTGCACCAGCCCACCAGGCTCTTCGTCTCAACTTTCCGAGCACTCGGCAGCCACGGCGGCGGTTAGCTCGGTCCACACCGCCGGCCACTGCGTGTAGCCACCGTCCTGCTCGTCCGTCACGTAGATGCCCGCCAGGCCACACGCCAGCAGCCCCCTCGTCAGGTCGCGCACCTGGCCGCCCTGCACGCGGCTCGAGTGCACCACGGCGGCCGTCTTGCAGCGCACCTCGTCGGCGGCGAGGCGCAGGCGCTGCTGGCCCGCGGCGTCCTGGTCCCAGTGGCGATGCGACTGCTCAAAGACGACGACGTAGTCGGGGTGCGCGAAGAAGGGCCGCGGCACCACGACGCCCGGGTTGTAGATGACGAGCCCGTCGCCGCGGCCCGTCGTCTCCTGGCGCCACGTCGTCTTGACGTGCTCCGCGAGGCCGGCCATGTACGCGAGGTGCGCGAGGTCCGAGGGCATCTCGTCGAAGAAGATGCCGCCGAGGGTGATGCCGTGGTGCTGGTTCCAGCGCGCGTACCGGTCAATGTCGCCGCGCACGTCGGCGGCCGGGCGCTTGCCGTAGCTGCAGTAGACGTAGCCGACGGCGCAGATGTTGGGGATGGCGTGCATTGCGTCCAGCGCCGCCAGGTAGCTCGCGTCCGGGAGGGCGTCCGGGCCCGGTCCGCTGTTGGGGTTGACAATGGCGACGAACCTGACCTCGGGGTGCGTCCGCGCCGCGGCCAGCAGAGGCTCCCACGCCGTCGGGAGGGGGTACATGTACAGCGGCACGATGAGGAACGGCCTGGCCATGTTGACTGCTGTTTTTTGGCGCCGGAGATGGATGGATGGGGGAGTCGAGCAGGACGCAGGTTCAATCAAGTTTGCGAGTTGGTTGCAGGCGAGGTAGGTGTGTGCTGTCTGGTGGTCAATTTGCTGCATGCACGCACAGCCACGGTGGACGTCGACTCGTCGAGAGCACTTGCCAGCGCACCAGACCCTTGCGATTTGATGACGCCAAGCCGTGGTCCGGGCGCAAAGAACGCTCTGGGGCCGTTTATTGCCCCCAGGCCGGCTTATATAACTCCATGTTTTTAATTCATTTGCTAATTCACCGAGTCGATTTCATTTGGCAGTGAGGCGCTCGCCCGAGGTGGGTCCCTGACCCGTTTGGCGGCGCACAGGGACCAAAAGTGCCGACGGGCCCCACCCTTTAGACTTCTACAGCGACCCCACCTGGATTGACCTCATCCAGGTGTGGCCCTGCGCAGCCGCAAGTCGACATGGACGGTTCTGCACGTCGCACCAGCTGCATCATCCTTTAGACTCGTCGAGCCACCTGAAACAAGCAGACGCCACTGGACCAGACACGACCTGAACTTGCTGGAAACGTCGCAACGCTCCGGGATGGCCCAGGGACCCGACGTTTGGGGACAGAGCCCCGCGTGTCGTGCACGACGTCATGGCCAAGGGAAACGCCACATGTCGTTGTTATGTCTGCTAGTACTTGTGAACTTGTGAATTGAATTCAAGACAGATCTTCTATTAACCCGGTACCGTCTCCACAATGCAGATTTTCCACGACCAGATGCCCTATTACATGTATGTACCTATTCCTGGCACCAGCCTAACACATCAATTGATCCCTGCCCGCCGAGCCCGTAGCCATCGGCACTGTACTCCAGGGATCATTGATGCGGCTGAAGCGCCGGCTCCTCAACACTTGCACACTCGACCAAACTACGACGTCGGAGCCTGCGCCTTGGATACGAAGTTCCACAGGTCCTCGGCGCACTGGCCGACGCTCTCCTTGGCCTCCCAGCCCAGCTCTCTGCAGGCGCGCTCGTTGGAGGCGACGCACGAGCCGACATCGCCCTCGCGGCGGTCGGCGAGCCTCACGGCAATGGGCCGCTGCGAAGCCCTCTCGAGGCTGCGCACGGCCTCGGCCACCGTCGTGCCTGTGCCTGAACCGAGATTAAACGTACGGAAGGGCTCGACAGCCTGGGCGGCCAGCGCAGCGACGTGGCCCCTCGCCACGTCGGACACGTGCACGTAGTCGCGGACGGGCGTGCCGTCGCGCGTGTCCCAGTTGGACCCGAAGACGTCGAGGTGCTCGCGGGCGCCGGTGAGCACCTGCGTGATGACGGGGAAGAGGTTCGTGGGCGTGCCCCTGGGGTCCTCACCGAGGAGGCCCGAGGAGTCGCAGCCAATCGGGTTGAAGTATCGGAGGCACGTTATGCGCCACGCCGAGTCGGCCCGCGCAATGTCGGCCAGAATCGCCTCGCAGAAGAACTTGGTCCTCGCGTAGGGGCTCTGCAGGCTCGCAAACGACGCGGGCGTCACCTCGGCGCCGTTGTCGTCGACGTACGACTCGGGGTGCACCAGGTCCTCCTCCCGCAGCGGCCGGCCCAGGTCCGCCTTGCAGCCGTACACGGTGGCCGACGAGGAGAAGACAAAGTTGCGGATGTCGTGCTCGCCCAGCAGCGAGATGAGGTTGACGAGCCCGCAGACGTTGTTTTGGTAGTACTGCACGGGGTGCGTGATGGACTCGGAAACCGACTTGAAGGCCGCAAAGTGAATAACACCCGATATCCGGGACCGCCGCGCGCTGTGAGGAGCCTGCGCGTCGGTCTCGGACGCCTTCCAGCTGCTTTCTGAATACAGGTCCAGGACGCTGCGCATGCTGTGGCTGCGGTAGTCGAGCGTGTGTAGCTGTAGGGACGGCATCTTGGTGCCCCTGCTCGCGTGGTGCTTGACTGCCAGGTCTCTGATGCGGTTAAAGGCCACCTTGAAGCTGTTGCTGAGGTCGTCCACAATGGAGACGCTGTATCCCGCCTTGAGAAGCTCAAGCGTTGTATGTGATCCGATGAAGCCAAGGCCGCCAATTACCAGGACCACCTGGTCGGCGTCGTGGCCGTGTTGACACTCGCCATCATCAGGCGTGCTGGGACGTGAAGAACTCAGTGATGTCCCCCCCGACGACGGGAGGGATTCTGGATGGGACAAGGACGGCATGGCAAAGGAATGGTGCGTGGCAGCGAGGTGCTTCGTATGGTTCCGGCACCATCTGGCCAAGACGGGATTTATATCTGGTCTGAATTTAGTGTGCCGCCGGGAACCAAGGAGACACTGGCGGCCGCGGGAAAAAGGACGAAAAGCGTGCCTGCGCACAGTCGAGGCAGCAAACTTCGAGCCCGAGCTGACGCCATACGACTCCAAGGTGACAGAAACGTCGGCCGGAGCTGAAACGGCCTGCCCAGATTGCATGCCTCGTCCTATAGAAACGCAATCAAGGCATCCGTGCCACTAGCTGCCTCCTATGCATGACAGATGCTGCTGCATTGGCTCCTCTTGCCATCCCATGCCGTATGCCTAGACCCTTTGGGTTCGGAACTAACTTTTGCCCTCTCGCGGAGAAAGTCCAAGAGCCAGACGGCAAGGCAAGCCACCGCCTGCTCGAGGAACCCGCAATAAAACGGCCTCTCGACCTGACACACAGAGACTGCCCGTAACTGACAATCGTGGTACGGTACTGACTATTACGAACGGCCGGCATACGATTTTCATGCTTAAAAAAATGGAAATTTCTCGTATAAGCTTGTCTGACTATGCATGCGGCGTTTCAACATGGATAGGCGCCGGCTCCTATTGGGGCAGCGCCGTCGAGCGTCGACTCACGTCATCCCTGACTATGTAGCACAGTACCCGTTTATGTAGGCTGCGAATCAGCACGTTGCGGCTGAAAGGAGAAAATTACCAAAAAAAAAAAAAAAAACCAGGCCACCGGCCGGACTAGTGAGATTGGTCGGCCGGACAGGCTACTTGGCACCTGAGCGCGATTCCAAATATAACTTGGCGCCCTTTTGGATTTGCATCGGGATTTGCGGCCCCCAGACCCTGGCAATTTGCGCCATTGCAGGCCAGGGGTCAAACACTTGCAGGGATCGGCTTGGAAACGCCCGACATGGACATTGAACATATGGGGGTTGCATGCCGCCACCTCGGGGTTGCACTCGACGACACGCGTGTAAATCACGGCCAAGGTCCTTTGCAATTGCTGAGCAAGCCGCCGTCAGTTTGCTTGGCGGTCCAAGAGTGCCTAGTCTCGCCGGGCCAAAGGGACTGATTTCCTCCTTGCCCAACAAGACCGACCTGTCAACCAACTGGTCTGTTTCTACAATACACTTGGACCTTTTTTTCGAAGCTTGCCTCTCCTCTCAATCTAATCGTCTGTTGATGCTCACATGTTGCAAGGCGGCCAACGGGGGCATTGTGAGCTGGACATGGTGGTATTATGACCTCGTTCTTCCAGCCTGGGTCCAACGACCCGGCCATTAAGGAATGCGGCAACTCGACCTTTGCCGTGTACTGCAACTCGGCCATTCCCACGCACACCCTCCTCCGGGAATGGTATCAACAAGCGACTCTTGCCGTTGGGGGTTTCTCTCTTATTTTTCCCATTTTGCTTTTCATCGTCTTGCTTGCGCGGCAATCATGGTTCTCCAACACGTTCAAGCGCCTCGTGTAAGTTGTCGAGATGAAAAAAAAAAAAAAAAAAAAAAGTTAAAAAAAAAATAATAGAGCAAGACTAACAAGTGACGTCGTAGAGAGCGCCTGCGGAGGAAAAAGTCGGGATACCAGAGTATCCCGCCAGCGCCCAACCTGGTGACGTTTGAGTCGACCAGGTCGTTCAAGGTCTACTCCATGATGGAGACGCGCGAGAGCGTCGACGTCGGGACGTCGACCGACAGAAACTACGACCTGGCCATCTTCCCGCTCACTATTGGGGACTTGGGCGGCGACGAGGGATGGGACGGGTCGAGCATGACGGGCACGGCGTGCCACGAAGTCACCAACCTGGCCTACGTCAACCTCCAAGACATGGACCCGGCCTCGCTGCAGCCGCTGGAAATCACCTCGACCACGGAATACCTGGTCCGCAGCTGCGTCCGCAACCACCTGGCCGGCCTGGCTCTCCGGCCCTCGTCGACGATCCCGACCGGCCAGGTCGAGCAGCTGATCCAGCGGCTGCACCACTGCGACGTCTCCGTCCTGGTGCTCTGCCACCACGACTCGCCCGACATGGACTCGCTCAGCTTGCAGTACGCGTCGGGCGTCATTCTCGAAAACGCCTGCATCCTGCCCAACGGGCAGCGCAGGGACTACTTCAAGGCCAAGCGGCTCCGCGAGGTCATGGTGCGGTGCGCCACGGAGCGCAGCCAGAAGCTCGGCTTCTTCATCGGCTTCTCGGAGCTGTGGGAGACGCGGCCGCACCCTTCCGTCGTCCGCCGCGCCGTCAAGCTCGCCGAGCACTTTGGCGCCGTCGTCGAGCACGGCTTTGCCGACCCGAGCATGAAGCTCGAGCGGCCGCCCCGGGATGCCACTTACACACTCAGCGCCTTTGAGTATCTACGGCGTGGCGTCGTGACAGAGGTGAGTGAGCCTGGGAAAGTTTGCGTTTATATGCCTCCCCAACGCGTGACTAACAGCACCTGCGCAGGTCCAAAAGAGCTGGAGCTCCGAACTGAGGACGGTCCAGGTGTCCACCGCACCGGAACAGCTCAATCAAGAGGGCGGCAGCGGCAAGGGCACCGTCGCCGAGGGCCTGCGTTGCTTGTCCCTGAGCAAGGTGGACGCCGCGCTGCCCTTCGCCTCGCTGCTGCTGCAACAGGAGCCTCTGCCGTCCTGGCTCACCGTCCTGCAGGAACAGGAGGTGGTCATGGTGCAGCCGCCCAACTATCTCCAGCAGGCGCCCAAGCGGACAGACTTTTGGAAGTACTCCGCCGACGGGACGGAGCTGTCGACCGCCGGCTGCTTCTCCATCCTCGCGGAGCCGTCGGCGCAGGACTACTCTGCCGTCCTGCAGACGCAGTGCCACCTCCGCGAGCTCAAGCTGCTGAGCGCCGTCAAGGGCGCCGAGATTCACCGCTGGGTCAAATCCCTCCAGGAACTGACGGAGCCCAAGGAGTGCCGCGGGCTGATCAACGACCTCGTCACGGGCCTCAAGTCGCAGAGCGTCCTCGTCTTCAGGGGCCTCGACACGGGCTTCAAGATCCCCGACGGCAACTCGTACTTCTTCGGCGTCTCCCGAACCCGCGACGAGAGGCAGTACCTCGCCCTGGACATTTACATCTCGCAGTCGGCGCCGAGCGACGCCAGCGCCGTGCTGCACACCTGGCTCGCCCACCACGGCGTGTCGCGCGCAACCTGCTTCGAGCTCGAGGCGCGCCTGGAAGGCCTCGCCGGGCCTCTCCCCCCCGGCGGCAAGCTCCCGCTCAGCATCCGGAGCGCCGTCGAGTCGGGCACGCACGCCGAGATACTCCAGCTGCTGCAGCAGATGCGCGTCGCGCACCTGCAGGACGCCTGGCGGTCGCCCATAGAATCCCTCTGCGAGGCGCGCCTCACGACGCAGACGTCCAAGTCGTCGTGGCTGCGCGCGCACGCCCGCCGCATCCTCGACGGCTCCATCACCATCCAGGACATGCTGCTGAGCCGGCTGGAGAGCTACGTCGTCGCGGGGGCGACGGAGCTGCCCTCGCTCGAGAACCTGGTGGCGCTCTACGAGGCCATGAGCGCGAGTATCCGCGACGCCCTCTTTTACGGCGACAAGGAGAAGCTGAATGCGCTGACGCACGTGCTGATTGACGTCTTCGAGTTTGGCACCGTGGGCGAGCTCGCCGAGAAGATTGACGTCAACGCCGACATGTTTGCCCTCATGTTCTTCACCGCCATGCGGAGGGAGGCGTTTGAGGAAGTCTACATTGAGTCGACGGACCGCTGCCCCATCTTCCTCTGCGCCGACCAGGCCGCCGTCTTTTCCGAGCTGTGGGTTCTGGGGTCGCAGTGCGAAATCTTCCTGGGCCTGTTGCCTCGCGATCTCGGCGACATCATATACGACCGGTACCGGGGCTTCCTCGAGGCCTGCCCCCCGGTGGCCGCCGACAGAACCGGAAACGAAATCATGACCATGTACTCCGCGCTCGAGGCCAGCTCGCCCCCCGGCGACGCCAAGGCCAACGGGGAGAATGCCCAATCCGCCGGGCCGAGGCTGTCGACGCACGAGACGCTCCAGCTGTGGAAGAGGCAGCTCGCCGAGGTGGGCGCCATCACAATCTTCAGCTTGCCCGCCATCATCGACGTCCTGCTGCTGACCTTTCTCGGCCGCGGCCTGTTCATGACGGCGTTTATGGACCCGGCGCACATTGAGGCGGCCGCGTACGCCCTGCTCATCTCGCTGCTGGTGACGGCCGGTGTGACGGGCTGGGTGGGCAGCACCGGCTCCTACTACCTGAACCACTACGCGTACGACAACATGACGCATTTCCACGTGCAGCGTCTGTCGGGCGGCTTCATGCTGACCCTGCTGATTGCCGTCGGCGGCTTTGTCGGCTTCACCGTTGCCCGCTCCGTGACCAGCGGCCTCGTCTTTGTGGCGTTTGTCGTCGCCGTCACCACGTACCTCAATCTGCTGGGCATCATGGCCACGATGCACCAGCACGGCAGTCCCATGACCTCGGGGCGCACCGTGCTGTGGCGGACGATTCCCGTGCTTCTCATATCCCCCGTCGTGACGACCTTTGTCAACGGTCACGACCTCGCCATCTACCTCCCCATTACCTACATGACCATTCTGCTCCTCTTGTACCAGTATCGCCAGCTATGCCACGAGTGGAACGGGTGGATGAAGAATATTCCCCTTGTTGCGGAAAAGGACATTCTGACGTGGTACGAGTCGAAACTCGGCTCCAAAAAAGGCAGCGGCGCGGCGGAGCAGTCGGATGGCCGCAGCAAGATGGCCCAAGAGGCCCTCCGCGACGCGGTCACTTGCTACGTGCGACGTGGCCGGGACGACAAGGCCGCCGAGCTGAAGAACGATGCGTTTGTGAAGCGCGTCGCCGCTGGTATGCCTTATATAGACTGGCTCTTTAAAAAGACCAACCCCGACGGCAACTTGCCCGAGACGTTTAGCAGCGCCTGGTACACGCAGCTCGGCGAGTCCAAGAAGCAGCAGGAGC